AAACAACGCTCGCTCGCCCTCGCCACCTCCACGGTCTCCCCCACTCCGCCCCCCCTCCCGCCCCTCCCCCCCCCCCCCAACCGGCTCGCTGCACGCACACACGCATACTTACTACGCACAAGCACGGCATCGGCATCGGCACCACCACCATACCATGACATGGCCGCTAGGATCCCCCCTATCTGCGCTATCGCAGCAAATGAATCCAATCTTAGCATCCTCATGCCCCCCTCCCCCCCCCCAGCTGGCTGCTTCAGGTCGAAAAGGGGGCTCTCCTCGGCCAGTTCGCAGTTCGCCGGCGGCCCGCTCGCTCCCGGCTGCCAGCAATGGGCAACACTCTCTGCCACCGACGCGCTTGGCTCTCCGCATTGCTGTGATTGCACTCCCACGCCCCCTCGACGCCTATCGCGCTATCGATAGCTTTGGCGACTCGCCAGACAGCTGCCACGCCTCGGAGCCACCACCAGCCCGCCCGTTTCTTTTCCCTCCACTATATGCAGCCTCCCGCGGCCACCAATACTCCGCCTGCTCCATCAATACTACCACTGCTATTATACTGCACCTATGCTGCTGCTGCTGCTGCTGCCACGGCTGCCTGTCCAGCGGCTTCTCCACCAACACCGGAGCCCGTCCGCTGACACGGTCGCGCCAGATGGATGCCTGGTGCCTGTCAAGAACCAGGCCCAATGCTGTTGCGCAATACGCGACACGCTTGCAACACGCGCCCCAAGCGTGTTTCGCATGGGCGCAACGTCACCTCCGCCGACTCCCCTCTCCATGTTTCGCGTTTGTTCTCTCGCTCGATTGACAGGTTTCCAAACGTGATAGTCGGCTACATGTTTCTGCCTCGCGATTGCGCGCCGGCCTGCGATCGAGGCTCGCGCTGGTGATGGCCATGATGGTGGTGGTGGGGGACCTGCGCAGCTGCACATGACGTAAGCGCGCGATGCTCGACCCTCTGTCCGGGCCGCCATGACGGAGCACAACCACGCAGCAAGCAGTCTGAGAGTGCGAGTGCGAGCAGCCGGTCAATGTGCCACGTCAACATGTCGTTGAACCACCCCAGACTGGCGATCCAAACACCGCTAACCGTCGGGCATCCAAGACATACACCGGTGGACATAGGTGTATTCACGACAGTCTCAAGCTAGCACAGCACCAAAACGGAGCCATGACGCCCAGGCATGGGTCATATGACGATGGCACCCAGAACAAAATACTCGTCGTGCCATGGCCATGCGTCACCGTGGGCAAAAACAAAACAAACACCCCCAGGGTCCCGACACTGCCGACACAGGCCTCTTCTGCGGCCTCCTCGCTACTGGCGCTGGTGCTGGTGCTGGTACTGGCTCCAAACAACATGGCCGCTAGCTGCTCGCCCCAGGGTGGGATGCAGGAACATGCCCGTCGCATCTTGCCATGGCGTACCTGCCTTAGCCTGCCCATCCAGCCTGATATGCGTAAGCAGCCACGCAGCCCGGCACCGAGTACGAGCCTCATCTACGCCTTACACGAACAAGCAACCACCATGACGTAGCAACTCTCGCCATCCCACTCGCACTCGCACCCCGACTCCGACAAGCCGGGCCCCGACAGGCTGCTTTTTGCCCAAGCTCACTGCTAGATGCCTGGGTCTCTCCATCTGACACCTGTCACGTCGCAGAGCTACTGCACCAGCCCTAGCCGCACTTGCAGCGGCTATCGCCATGACCATGTGGCAGCGATCCTTGCAGCCTGACACCTCGGAGCTTCTCTGCCCATGTTTGACGCTTGCCGCCAAAGTCAATTGCCGGGGTAACAAACGGCCACGCTGCTCGTTGGGCTACAAAGCAGCCAAGTATGCACAAATGAGGCGCTGGCGCCATGCTCGCTGCCGGAAGCCGGATGCCGGTTCGGGCGCGACGCCCAATGCCCGTCGCCATGCTTTTGAAGCTGCCCTCGACTCATCGTCGTCTGCGACGCGGCGGCATAATGATTGACAGGGTCTGGACAGGGCCGGTCCCCAGTCTCCAACCCGCCCGCCAGGGACTTGTCTTGTGCAGCAGACGCCCCATGCTGCGCGCCGCGATCCTTTTCCATGCTGACTTTGCGGGGTTGCCCTTGGGCTCTGCTGCCGTCGACATGGATCATGGAGATCATCATGACTGCTATTCCAAGGGTTGATGGAGCAGCACATACAAAAAGGGGTCTTCTTTCGGGCGTCGAGGTGGGGCCTGGGCTATAGCGTCCGGCAGACTGCGCCTCATTCTGTGTGGGCGTACGACGCCGTGCACTGCCCAAGGACGGTTGTATCTGCCCATCTCCTTGCTGGCCGCGTCTGCCAATCGAACAAGTGCCATGGCTTCCGCGTGTGTAAGCGTGCATTTCGTTTGGGTTCCAGTGCCATTGGGTGTCATTTCCTGCGTAATTAGACATGCTGCATGAGCCTCGGGAGATGCGGGGTAGACCAAGTGAAGGCTTTTGCAGAGTGCAAGCAAATTTCAGCTCAAAAACCATGGTAGTCATGCAAGCTATTCCCTCTTGGCCTTGACCGGTGCAAAAGGACCATGTGCCGGCCGTACTGCTTGGTACGCTGCCTGAACCGGATGGAAAAACGTTGTTCCTACCGCTGCAGTCGAGAGCGGGGTGAGTCAAAAAGTTTGGCGGGGCATATCTCCCAACGCGCAGCCCACACGAGCCAGACGTCTCCCACAAACCACCGCAACAATGGCCGACGAGCAACCCGCAACCCAGCCCCCGGCTGCCGAGACCAAGGACCTGCACACGGATCCCGTCACCGGCGAGAAGATCTCCAAGAGCGAGCTCAAGCGCCGCCAGAAGCAGCGCGAAAAGGACGAGAAGAAGAAGGAAAAGGAAGCGTCGCTACCAGCCCGCCCCAAGAAGGAGAAGAAGGATGATGTTGAAGAATTGAACCCAAATGTATGTCTCGCAATGTGACCTCTCGCCCCAATCTGTCGCTAATATATTCCCAGCAATACTTTGAGATTCGATCCAAGAAGATTGCCGCGCTCCAGGCATCCCAGGACCCCAACCCTTACCCGCACAAGTTCCACACCAACTACAGGATCGCCGACTATGTGCGCGACTACTCACATCTCAAGAAGGGCGAGACGCTGCCCGAAAAGGAGATTCGCATGGGTCTCCGTGTCATGACGCAGCGATCTGCTTCCAATGCGCTCCACTTCTACGTTTGTATGTACACGGCGCAAGACACTGCTTCATATCTAACAATGCACAGGCAAGGCAGAGGGTGTCACCATCCAGGTCATGTGCCAATTGCAGGAGTCCAAGGCCGACGTGCCCTTTGAGAAGCAGCACGAGAACATTCAGCGCGGAGACATTATTGGTGTCATTGGCTTCCCCGGCCGCACAAGTCCCAAGAAGGGTGGCGAGGGTGAACTTAGTATCTTTGCCCGCGAAGTCATCCTCCTCACACCCTGCCTGAGGATGTTGCCAACAGAGCACTTGTAAGAGCCAACCCACAGCCTGGCAATGCTAGTACTAATCGTGCGGCAGTGGTTACAAGGACCAGGAGCAGCGTCACCGAAACCGATACCTCGATCTCATCATGAACGACTCAACGCGCAACACCTTCATCGCGCGTACCAAGATCATCAAGGCTGTTCGCAGGTATCTCGATGAGCGCGACTTCTTGGAAGTGCAGACGCCCATGATGAACAAGATTGCCGGAGGCGCAACAGCGCGACCATTCAAGACGTACCACAACGAACTCGACATGGAGCTGTACATGCGCATTGCTCCTGAACTATACCTCAAGGAGCTGGTTGTCGGAGGCCTGGAGAGAGTATACGAAATCGGCCGTCAATTCAGAAACGAGGGCATTGACCTCACACACAACCCCGAGTTTACCACGTGCGAATTCTATATGGCATACGCAGACTACAACGACCTCATGGACATGACCGAGGAGCTTGTCAGCGAGATGGTCAAGGAGGTCACTGGCAGCTACGAGACAACTTACCACACCCAGACAGGCGAGGTCTACAACGTCAACTGGGCAAGGCCATGGAGGCGAGTCAACATGATTCCCGCGCTTGAGGAGGCTACCGGCGAGAAGTTCCCACCAGCGACCGAGCTGCACACGGCCGAGACCAACGAGTTCCTCAAGAGGGTGCTCAAGAAGGTCAATGTCGACTGCTCAGAGCCCCGCACCAACTCAAGAATGATTGACAAGTTGGTTGGCGAGTTCATCGAAGAGACTGCTGTCAACCCAACCTTTATCGTGGGCCATCCTGAGGTCATGTCACCGCTCGCCAAAACCCACCGAGACATTCCCGGTCTCTGCGAACGTTTCGAGGCCTTTGTCTGCAAGAAGGAGATTGCCAACGCTTACACCGAGTTGAACATGTCAGAAGTACAGCGTCAGCGTTTTGTAAGTCAATTGTTTAGGAAATATTTCAGGTAAATACTAACCCACACAGGCCGAGCAAGCAAACCAGAAGGCGCAAGGTGACGACGAGGCACAGCTCATCGACGAGACCTTTTGCCAGGCACTCGAGTACGGTCTGCCGCCCACTGGTGGTTGGGGAATGGGCATCGACCGTATCGTCATGTTCTTGACGGACCACTACTCCATCAAGGAGGTCCTGACCTTCCCTTTTATGAAGGACGTTGTCGAGGACAAGAAGACGGCGGCTGAGGTTGCTGACGGCACCGGCAAGCCTGTCGAGGGAATTCGTAAGTGGATGGCTATGCTCATCAGGGTTTGATACTAACAGTCGACAGCACACAAATAGTTTCAGCGTAGCATTTCTGGCGTATGGTAGGAAAATGGCATGAACATGGTATGAACATGAGTGATGTAACCTGCATGGTCGGGCAGGATATGATGAATAGAATTGGATCATGTGCAAAACGGATTCTAGTTCTGACTACTATAGAAACATGGCTCATTTTCCAATTTAGCCTCAATCTCCCAGGATCCGATTTTGGTGTTGAAGGCTGACAAGGTCAGGAAGCAGTCACGTGCCCAAGTCAGCGCGTCAGCACATCAGCACATTGACATGTTCACACAAGCTCAGTTCTCCGAACCCGCAATCTAGAACCCAATATTTTCCCTTGCTTTTTACGGTCAGCTCGTGCGTTGTTACTGTGTGCCAAAAGAAAGGACCGAAATCTGTATGGACGCGTAAAAGTGTGTCGTTGCGGCTGATGGATTGAATATGAGGGGAAATGGATGAATGGGTGGTTCGTTCCGTGTCGGCTCCCCACGCCCGCGCGGCAGCACACCGAACAACGGCGGCAGCGGTGGCGGTCCCGCCGTCAGAAACTTGCGACATGACCGTTCGGCATGGCGGTTTTGGAGTCGCGGCCAAGACATGAGTCTATTGGCCGTTCTTCCTGAGCGAGGGCAAGGTGAGGCCCGATGGCTATATATATTGGTGATGGCGGTGTGATGTTTGGTATCTTTCCTGCTTCCCTTTTTGCTCTCGATCTGGTTTCTACGATACTAATCAACGCGAGTTGAGAGAGAAAGTCTAATATCAAGTCACGATTACCTCGATCAAGCTGCTGTACAGGGTGAACTCTACACGTACGGAATATTCGGGAATTGGAATACCGCAGTTCTCTTCAATACGCTTTCTGGATTATACACAGTCGGCGGGCTTGATATACAGTTGAGCTGTACAAAGGCAGACAGCGAGAGAGCGAACGAGAGTCACGAGGGACTGGGTCCTGGTACATACGTGTGTCTTCAAAAAGAAGAAGATCAAGCAGGAGAACAGGAAGAAAGAGATAGGGTATTGTTTTTCACAACAAAATGGCGGCAGTAGGCACCAAGTTCTTCATCCAGGACAAGTTGGGTATACCGGCCAAACACCACGAGTCGTACGAACAGCTATGGGAAACAAAGTGGAAGAAGCCTGTATGTTTGAACCATCTCCTCCTCTTCCTTATCATCACCATATATCACATACATGCCCACTAACACATGTCGCACAGGCCGAAATGGGCGTCTACCCCTTCATGTTCGGAGCGGCGCGCGACTTCGAGCCCATTGTCTCGGACATGGTGCGCTCCAAGATGCGGGAGCCGTACGACTGGGACGAGTACGCGCGAAAGTACTTTCCGCAAGCCGAGCACCTAGCGTCGATAGCGCAGGGCGCCGAAGCCGCGGGCGAGCGCGAAAAAGCATCCGAATACTACCTGCGGTCCAGCGCCGTATACCGCATCGCGCGCTTCCCTGCGCCGCGCAGCCCCGCGCAGCGCGAGGCCTGGGAACGCGGAAAACAAGTCTGCATCAAGGGCCTCGGCATGCGCGACCACCCCGTGCATGAAATCCGCATCCCACATGTCCATGGCGGCCCGGGCGAGGGCCCCGAAATCCCAGTGTACCATCTCGTTCCCGAACACGCGTCGCCCGAGACACCCGTGCCGACCCTCATCATCTTCACGGGCCTCGACGGGTACCGCACCGAGCTGGCCGTGTGGATGGAAGGCTGGCGCCGCGTGGGCGTCGCGACCATCGTGCTGGAAATCCCAGGCACAGGCGATTGTCCTGCCGACCCTTCAGACCGCACGTCGCCCGACCGCCTGTACAGCTCGCTGCTCGACTGGGTGGCTGCACAGCCGCGCCTGGATACGCACAAAACCGCCATCTGGGCCTTCAGCACCGGCGGCTACTACGCCATCCGCGTCGCGCACACACACGCGTCACGGCTCGCGGGCGTCGTCGCCCTCGGCGGCGGCTGCCACCACATGTTCTCGGCAGAATGGCTGAACCACGTCAACCACCTAGAGTACCCGTTCGACCTTGCCGACACGCTGGCGCACAAATGGGGCTACGGCACCGACGTGGCGGCTTTCAAGCGCGAAGCCAGCGCCAAGTTCTCGCTGCTCAACGACGGCACGCTGGATTCTCCCGATTGCGCCCGCCTGCTGCTCGTCAACGGCACCGAAGACGAAATCTTCCCCATTGACGATTACTACCTCGCCCTGCTGCATGGCGCCCCCAAGGAAGCCCGCTTTGTCCAGGGCATCAAGCACATGGGTGAGCCCGAGAGCTTTGTTATCATCATCAAGTGGCTGTATCGCCTGTTTGGTATCGACGCCGATGTCAGGGCGCAGATGGCTACGTTGATGTTTAAACCAAAATATTAGGTACTTGTGTTGGCGTGATATGTAGAGGGGGGGGGTGGGGGGAGATGGGAAGTGGGGAGGCTGGTTTTTATGCTATTTTGACGTATATATGGGGTATGCATGTAGTTGTAGTAAAGTAATGATTTACGTACTATCTATATCCGTTTACATCTCTCTTTCTCTCTCTGTGTGTGTGTGTGTGTGTGTTTCAGTCGTGCTACTGTAATCAAGTTCACCTGGAAACGTGCGTTCTTCTTGCGATCCTTCGCCTTTTATTCTAACTTTGACTCTGCGCGGACACTGGAGAGAAATGACTGAAAACGATGGAAACGAGTACGAGTACAAAGTACACACACACAGAGAGAGAGAGAGAGAGACATGCATACTCTAGAACCAATTCCATTTCTATCTTCATATCCATATCCACATCCATTTCCCATTACAAATTACACACACACACACACACACAATAACTTCAAAACCTCCATTTTGAAAAATACATGTGTGTTTTCCATTTTCTCATTCTTGAAAACGCCTTCTCTTTCTTGGCATATCCAGCTAGATCAACTAGCGCTAGAAGAATACTCAAACGGCAAGTGTGGGCCCTATTCCATGATAACGCTCACACACGTGTACAGGTTGTAAGACAGGTGAAAAAGAAAGAGAGAGAAAGAGAGAGAGGCAATGACGCGGATTGCTGGACAGAAAGAAAGGAAGACAGAAAGAAAGAAAGAAAGAAAGAAAAAAGAAGCGAGAGGAAGGGGGGGTATCGCACAATGTATACGCGCACGCGGGCGCTCCATAGTAGACCAGACCAGACAAGACAAGAGAAAACAAGACAAGACAAAGAAAATTGGTATCATTGTTTGCGTGTGCTAAAAAAGTATGCGTTCATGGGATTTTTCCAAAAACCCAAAACATAAGCAAGAAAAGAAAAGAAAAAACCATAAATCAGGTAGCACATAGATGGCAGGATATGATGAAAGCGCGTTATTGGCGGTGTGTACGGCACCCAAACAGCTTGTTTGAAGCGTGAAGGAAGGAGGAAATCGAGATGCGTGATCGGCTTGAGCTGGAGGAAGAGTGCTCGGGTTTATGGCTTGCGCGAGCATGCTTGACATGTCCCACTACACGTCTAAAGCGCAAGTCAGTCACAAGTCAAGTAGACTAATCGTTCAGCCCAAAGACCCGCCTTAGGCCTTGGAACTTCTTCTTTTTTCCGCTCCGGCCGTAAGAAACAGAATGGCCCTGTGTATCGACTATGGGTGCAGAGACATTGGAAACAGCGCTGGGCTGTCGGCTGGCAAAGCGTGGCCTACGAGCCGCGACGCCATCTGAGCTCACTGGGCGATTGTCCGTCCCGATAGCTGGTGGTAGAGGCCAGTCAGGGGTCGATCGTCGTTGAAGCTTGGGTGATTTTTTAGGAGTGGTTGGAGTAGGCTCGAAAAACTCCTTGTCTTCATCAATAGGTGTCATAGGGATACCCTTGTCGCGGTTGCGCTGGGCAGGTGGCATGGGAATCTCATTCGGTGCAGATGTATGCTGCACTGGCTCAGGCTGGGCCTGAACCGACTCCGCCTGAGCGGTCTTCTTCTTCCCAAAGCCAAACAAACTGCGCCTCGACTTGCTCTTGCCACCAGACTGGAAAGAGGGCAAAGGAGCTTGTTTGCCATCACGGAGAGAACCAGCAGCTAGCGATGCGCCTTGTTTGTTAGCGCCGCCATTGACTCCATTCGTCTGTGGAGCAGGCTTGGAAACTTCCTCTGGAAGCACCTCATCCACTTCTTCCTCTAGATCCGTAGAGTCACCATCCTCTTCACCAGGCTCCCTGGGAATGCCTCGGACTGGTCTCAAACCAGGAGGCAGCTCATAGTCGGTGGGTTCGTCGTCCGAGTCCTCGAATCGGCTCTGGAATCGGCTCTGGAACCGACTGGGTATATCATCTTCGTCTTCGTCGCTCGAATCAGCGAAGCGGCTCTTGAAAGGCGCCTTGGTTGCCTTGGGCAACTTTGCGGGTTGCACCGCTGGTTTGGCAAGTTTGGGCTGCTTGGCGAACGAGGGCATGGGCTTTTCTTGAACAGGCAAAGAAACAGGGTCAGGTCCCTTGCGGAACCTGCCCATTGGTGACAAGGATCGGATGCTGAACTTGGATGACTTGACTGGTTCTGGCGTTGGCGAAGAGGGCCGCATGGACTTTCGCATGGCGGGCGATGGAGAGACTGGGGGCGAGATGGCTTGAACTTGTTTGGGAGCAGGAGCACTCGCGCGCATAGTGGGTGCCGGCCCCTGTCTCATTGACGCACGCATAGTATACCTCCCACCTTTTTGCCGTGGCCCCCGGTTTCTCGATCGTTGGAAACTGCTGACAGAAGCATCGGAATCGCTGTCATATGTAGGTACTGGCGCGGCGGCCATGGGCTTCGCAACAGGCATGCTCTGTGGCCTTGGCTTAGAAGGCGCTACCGAGGCTGGGATGTTCTTCTTTTGGAGCGCGCCTCGAGGCGGCTTTGTGTCCATGGGCCCCATGCTATGACGAGATGCTGCCAGTCCCATGTTCGAAGCCGGCGCTGTACCTGCTGACCGCATGCTCTGCCGCATCTGCGGCTGTGCTCTGGTCGAGTTTTCTGGTGGCCCCCGCATGCTTGAACGCATAGTTGATCCCATCCGATGGTCAGTTTGCGCATCCGTGTTTGCGCCTCCACGCATAGTTCTTCTCATGCGAATCTCTGGCTGGCTATCCCTAGGCGCCATAGTCTGCATTGTGTTGTTTTGGGATTCGGCTGGGCGCGTCGTTTGCGGTGTGGAAGTCTTCTTCAAGGCCGACTTCAGAGGCTTTGAGGATGGTGACGACGAAGCTGCGCGCGCTGTATGGTCCTGCGAAACTGGGGCTTTCACGGCCCCATTAGTGACCGGCTGAGCCTTTGAGGGCTGCTCAGCATGAACCTCAGGCTCTTGGGACTGTCGAAGTGACCCATTAATACCACTCCAATGCAGTTGTGCAGCGTTCCAATCCTGCGTAGGTGTCTCGACACGACTGCTCTCATTCGCAAAAGGCCCTTGCTTTATTGTGGGTGTTATGTCTGTATCGTTGGTCTCGTTTGAAAAGGTCTCTTGCCTAAGTGTCGGTGTCGGACTGTCTGTCGTGTCTGGAACCGCATATTTTGGCATCAGGCCAGGTGGAGGATCCACTGGCTTGTCCATCAGAGCATCGATACTAGCAAACCCACCTGCATCGGACAAATCCTCATACGCATCGCTGTACACGCTGCTTTCATCATCCGTGCTTTCTTCAACACCATGTGACGTAGACTGTGATGTCTGGCTCGTCGGCTGAGTGCGTGCAGAGGGTGCCGACAGAGACGCATCTGGCTTGGATGCTTGAACTTGGTCACATTCCTCAGGTATCCCTATGCTCTGGAACTTTGGCTCTGGCTTTTCGTAAGGGCTAGGAGTAGGAGGCTGGAACGCTATGTTTGGGACAGTAACAACTTGTTCTGTTATACCTGATGGCGCATCTTGGTGAGGTGCAGAAAGAGACTTGGGCTCCGGAGCTGGCACCCCTTGGGAAATTTCCTTCCGCTCCGTAGGCTCATGATGATCTGAGTAATCACTCGAGTCTGATACGTATCCACTGCCTTCAACGGTAGTGACCTGCGGTGGAAGAGGATCGCCATGTTCTTCCTGTTTTCGGGCATGGTCGCGGGCGAAAATATTGCCAAGCGCAAGGTCACTGGAGACGTGAGATTGACCAATGAAGTCTGTTGGGACTGTCTCGGTGACCTTCTCGGGCACTTCGTCGCGAGGGCGTCGCTCCTTTTCGCGGATACTACCAAACATGGGTAGAGCGGGTCGCGGCTTCCTGAGATCTTCAAACTCGTCATCTTTTTCAGCGATTGGACCCCATTTAGATACGCCTAGACCTGCGTAGGTAGGCTCAGAGTGGGCGGGCGCAGAGTGGCTCGACGCTACCAGGTCCTCCTCGAAGCTGACCCGGACATTTCTCTTCTTGCGCCTTCCCCCTTCATCCGAGGCGGTGTCAGATGCTTCACTCTGAGCACCTAGGCTATGGAGACGTCCGCTGGAGCTGATTGGAGACTCGCCACGACGCGAAACCGATGGCGACGCTTTCAGTGCAGATTTAGCGGGAGACACGGATCGCGGCAGCGGGTCGTGCTTCAGCCCAGTAAGCTCAACGGCTACTGGCGCAAAATGAGCGGTGCGCGGTGGGTTTAATGATGAGCTTCTCTCGTGACTGACACGTTCGTGATCAGGAACGACATGAGTACTGGCGGGCCTAGAGCTGGCCGGAGTGGATAGGCGAGGGTAGGCGCTGTCCTGGGGTTGGGCGAAAACGGGCGAATTTCTGTCGTCCTCGTGGCCGACTATGGTACCATAGCCAGAGTCTTCGAGTTTGCGGCCTGCATTTGCCTGCTCGGGAACCTGGACGTGTGCATGGACAAAGTCGTCCGAATGCCTCTCAACAGCGGCTCGTGGCTCTTCCAGGGGCGGCGAGAGTGGCTGTTGCTGGACATGGTGACGTATAGGGCTAGGTGGGCCACGGTCCATCTGATTCTCGGGTATGTAGACAGGATGAAACGTGTTGGTGTATTGTGGTTCGTGCTGAGGAGTGTGCTCGGGCTGTTCGTGCATTTCCCTGTGGCGCGCCATGGCGTCCTGCTTATGTATGAAGGTGCGCGTTGATGGGTCATAGACGGCATCTGGAGAGTTTGGATCAACGGGCCGAGGAGCTTGTCTGGGGGCGAGTATTTGCGATTGTACAGCTGTGCCAAATGGCTTTGGGCGCATGCTTGCGCTCGCCAGTCGCGCGCCTTGAACTCGTTGGGCAATGTGGTGCGTCGTGACTGGGCGGTCGGCAGCATTCTGCACCGATCTCTGGACATTATGAAGATGATGACTCGTGACGCCACTGGATGTCTTGGGTCGCGAGGTGGACGCCATGCGCTGAATGGCATCTTGATTGACAACGGGCCCGCCAAACCATCCACTCGACGTCGTAGGCGGCGATGGGGTCTTTTTCACGGCAGTTGCGCCGGGAGACATGGGGCGGGAAAAGTTTATAGACGGCGAGGCTTCTTCTTCAGACACGTGGGCAAGCGAGTTGGGCGGCCGTTGCGTGCCCTTTCTGGCGTTGCTGGCGTTGCTGGCGCCTCTATCCAGGCTGACGCCTCTGCCACCGCCTCTGGGGCCTGGCGACACTCCGCGATACGTTGGGCCGACGCTTGAGGCGCGGCGGTGGATTGTAGTTGTCTGCTGCTGCTCGTGTTGTATGCTTGTGGGCACGGGTGGAACAGGCGGCGCATGGGGGTCTGCTGGGCTGGCTCTGCCTGGCGACGGGGCACGGAACGAGCGCTCTGTCATGGACCCTGAGCTCGACTGGCGCTGCAGGGCGGCGGCAGGCTGCTTAGAGGAGCTGCCGTTGGAAGAGTGCGAGCCGCGGCGGGCCATGCGCTTGGTGACGGTGTCGCCAACAGGCGTCGGGGTGGTGACATGAGTGCGCAGGGCGGCAGCAGCGGCGGCGGACGAGAGATTGCCATTCGACTCGGCATTCTTCATAAAGGCCTTTGTGGCGGCCAGAGAGGCCGAGGCGCTCGGAGGAGGCGCTCGCTGGGACTGCATGGGCGCGGCGGGTTAGCATGCATTGCTTCAGCGCAAACAAGCGGTCCGTGGTGTTGTGTGCGCGACAGGCGCGCCCATGTAAATAGACACGGCGACACAGGCAGCGGGCACGTACCGGGTTGGAGGAGGCTCGCCGTCGCTTGCCAAACATGGTGGGCGGGGTGGATTAGGGATTATGGATTAGGAATTAAGGATTATTTTGCAGCAGTCGGGGCTGGATCTGCATGGTCTCGGGGTCGGAGGTGCAGGCGCAGGTGCAGGCCGAGGCCGGGTAGAGTGGATGATGTCACGCTTGCGAGCGGAACTGGGCGGACTGAGACACGGCGCGTGCAGCCAATTGCGACGGGCTGGCCGCAAAACAGAGGCGGGCGAGGCGCGGGCGACGGCGGCGACGGCGGCGACGGGGCGGATGGATGGATGGATGGACGGAGGTGGATGTGGGTGTGGGTGTGGGTGTGGGTGTGGGTGTGGGTGTGGGTGTGGGTGTAGTAGGCGTGGGTGTGGGTGTAGTAGGCGTGGGTGTAGGTGTAGGTGTAGTGGAGAGTGACCAAGGGCGACGGCGGCGTGGGTCGAGACGAGTGCGGCGGCGACTGGCTGGTAGCAAAACAGCTAATAGGAAGCCGATGGCATGGCCGTGCAACATGGCAAGCTTGGACGTATTGGGCGGCATGCAACAATTGCATATGGTGCAATATCCAATATCCAGCGCCGGCTGCGAGGGGCGGGTGGCCAGGGCTGCTGAATCCATGTCGGCGAGCACCAGACATGTCGAGGGCTGGCGATGACGACGGTGTCTCTTTTTTTTTTCGTCTCGCCCTCGCCCTCCTTTGTGCCAGCCGCTCGCGCATGCAGCCATGTGCGGGCGGCCGACGGGTCCCTGGTTCGCAGTGCCGGCGTGTGCACTAAACAAGACGGTGACTGTGCTGCGGCCCCATGCAGTCCAGGCTTCCGGCTTCAACACCAGGCTAGCGACGCGCTTGGCTACTACGTCGTCGCCTTTGACCAGCGGGGCTATGGACGCACCACGGGCTGGGACACTTCTTCCTTCATCAACACCAACCTGGCCCAGTTCGCTCTGACCAACCTTGTCCGCGATGTCGTCACTCTGGTCTATGCCCTGGGCTACCGCAAAGTAAAATGCATCGTCGGCCACGACTTTGGAGCAGTGACGGCAAGCATGTGCGCTCTGATGCGTCCCGATCTCTTCAACAGCCTAGTCATGATGAGTCACCCCTTCAACGCTCCCGATCTGCTTCCCTTTGACATTGCTCACGCCGACACTGAAGCACACGCCCCCACTCCCCCACTCCATGTCCACGCTGAGCTGGCAAAGCTTGACACGCCGCGGAAGCACTACAAGTGGTATAACAGCACCAGCGCAGCTGCGCGAGACTGGGCAAACCCGGCCCAGGGCCTGCATGTTTTCCTCAGAGGCTACCTTCACCTCAAGTTAGCCGACTGGAAGTAGAATGCGCCTCGCCCCCTCAAGAGCTGGACTGCCCAGGAGCTGGCCAAGCTACCCTACTACTACATCATGCCGCTCCATAAGTCCATGCCCGAGACGATTGCTGACATGATGTCCGACCAGAATATCGCGGCAACCGAGGCATGGATGTCCGACCAAGACCTCGCATTCTATGTACAGGAGTGGTCAAGGACTGGTTTTCAGGGTGGCCTTAATTATTACCGCATCATGACCGATCCGGTCCGCATGACCGATCTCCAACTATTTGCAGGCAAGAAGATTGAGTGCCCGAGCATTTTCGTCTCGGACGCTAAAGATTGGGGAAACTACCAACAGCCGGGCGCCATGGAAGCCCACCCAGAATCATGTTCGGATTTCCGCAGAGCCCGCTTTATTCAAGATGCAGGACACTGGCCCCAGCAGGAACAGCCAAGAAAGGTCGTGGACGAGCTAGTCGCATTTCTGAGCAACCTGTAACATATTCATCCGCTCGTTCCTCGCCAAGTCGTGCTGACCGGACCCACGGCCTTGGTATAGGTGCCAGGCCTAGATACACCAACACGTGCTTCACACGTGCTGGCAAAGGTGCGAAGACGACGACGACGACGACGACGCCATTTGTGCATGCGTGAAGGTTACAATACAACCTGGCCACCAAACTCTATTTCAAGGTCGCCGGCCTAACGGTGCGCAGCAATGACAAGAGGACTTGTCTCCGCGCTCGATTTGGTGAGCGCCACGCCATTATTGGTGCACTGGGGGGTCTATTTAGGAAATCATTTTAATTTTATTCCAGCCTGCTGGGTCCAGGATCTCGGGGCGGGACGGACGTGCCCCGCCGTGCCCCGAGCATGCATGCAGCTTACCAGTGCTGACTTAACCAGGTAGCGGTATAGCGTTTCACGGATGACACGTGCTTAGCATGCCATTCTCAGGTTCAACTGAAACAACTAAGTTGAACAAATACGAACTGGGTACTGTTTACAGTTCCAAACGGGGGCTCCCTGCACAAGGAGATAATGATAGATGCTTTGACTTTCGGTTCCACTCCCCAATGGGAAAAGGGCAGTCAGTGGTTGTGCAGCATTGTTCCCCTAATTCATCGCGAGCAATCCCTTCCTTCATTCTCTTCTCCGTCGCTTCACAGAGTTTGCTTCTGTCCTTGCTGGCCCAATGGCACAACTTGCTACGCCGTTGCCTTCCCCTGATCTGTCTTCATGCTCCCAGTCTGGCCAAAGTCCAACACGACATTCATTTCAAACTGCCCGAGAATTCTCTTCGTCGCCCAATCCATTCGATGATTCTAAAGCAACCATGCCCAAGGAAGACTCACGACCCGTCTCTTCCACCTCATCCAAAGGCTCCATATGGACCCAAATGGATGAAGACATGTCCGAAAAGGATTCGGGCATGGCCATGCCTCGACGCCATACCTTTTCCATTTCACTGTCAAGCCAAAGACCACCGCCTCCACGACGCCTCGCAATGCTATGTCTCCACTGGTTCACGACATACCGGATCCTCATTGCCCTGACCTTTATCGCAAACATGGCCGTACTCGCAGTCCTGGTCAACCGGAACAGGCCATTCACTCTCGCCGAGCCTCTGATTGCTACCGCCGTCAACCTCTTCGTCGCCGTGCTGGTCCGCCAGGAAGACATTATCAATCTGAGCTTCTCCCTTGTCGCAAAAACACCCATCTGGCTTCCCCTGTGGTTCCGCACAACCATGGCAGACTTTCACCACTACGGGGGCATCCACGTTGGCAGTGCCATGGCGGCGCTCCTGTGGTACATTTTTTTCGTCCACGTCAACACCATTTTCTTTCTCGACAGCCTGAATGCACACACGGCCAGGGTGTGGATGTGGGTCGACATTGCCACGTGCTACTCGTTTCTCGTGTCCATTGTCCTCGTGTGCATCACAGCGCACCCCAAGCTCCGCATGCGCTTCCACAACACGTTTGAGCACACACACCGTTTCGGCGGCTGGATTGCCATGATGGTCCTCTGGGCCAACACCGGCGTATCCAGCATCACTCAGCACACCAAACCCCTGTACTTGAACCCAGCAGTCTGGCTCCTCGCCGCCACCACCATGCTCATCATCATGCCCTGGACCCGCATCCGCCGCGTCCTCATCACAGCATCGCTCCTTTCTTCCCGCGAAGTCCGCATCAGCTTCCCCTACAAAAACATGCCCTACTCACGCACCATGCGCTTTTCCCACAGCCCCCTGCTAGAATGGCACGCCTTTGCCACGATCCCCACGCCCGACCACGCCAGCGCCTTTGTCCTCGTCTCGCAAGCCGGCGACTGGACCAAGGCGCTAATCCAGAACCCGCCCTCACATATCTGGCTGCGCCGGCCCCCCGCCGCAAACTTCCTGTGCGTCGCCCCGCTCTTCAAATCCCTCCTCCTCGTTGCTACCGGCGCGGGAATCGGCCCCATGATCTCGCTCCTCAGCAGCCCCATCATCGCCAAAATGAAGGCCCGCGGCACAATCATCAGAGTCCTCTGGTGCGTCTATGACCCCGAAGCTCCCCACTGGCAATTCGTCCTCGCCGCTATCCGCGCAGTCGATCCAAACCCTTACATCTACGACTCCAGCGACGGCCGCCCGGATATCGCCGGCGAAACCGGCTGGGTCATGCGTGAAAAGGGTATCGAGGCTGCCATGGTCGTTAGTAATCCCAAAGTCACCCGTGAGGTGGTCGAGGGCGTCAAAGGCTGGGGTGGAGCTGCATTTGGTGCTGTGTTTGATTCTTAGATTGAGCTATTGTCGTGTTTGTATCTGTGTCTGTGTCTGTGTCTGTGTGTGTAAGGGGGGGTTTGGTACTGATGATGGAATGTTCTTGTCGACAAAGTTTGTTTGTTGCCGCTTTGGTAGGCTGGGATTTCTCTCTCTCTCTCTCTCTCTCTCTCTCTTTTCTTTTCTTTTCTTCTCTCTCTTTTTTCTTTTCTCTTTTTCTTTTTCTTTTATCGCTGTGTCGTCGCCGTCGTCGTGTGATGTTTGTCGTCTCTCTCTCTCTCTCTGTGTGTGTGTCTGTGCGTGTGTAGTGTGTAGTCTGTCTTTGTCTCGAGCTACGTTGTCATGGTGCTGGATACTAATGTAAGATTTTTTTTTCTTCTTTTAGAATGTCGTATATTTACACACATACACTCTCTCCTTTTTTCCTATTTTTTTTCCTTTTTTTGGGCCAGATGCGGAGGATACTCAGCAGCAGCAGTAGCGTAGCGCAAGCAAGCAAGCAAGCAAGACAAAGGGGAGCAGGGAGGAAAAGCGGGGAAGTGATGGCTGGTGTGTGTGGGTGCGAGAAATACTTTAGATTGCATAATCCTCTCTCTCTCTCTCTCTCTCTCTCTCTCTCTCTCTCTCTCTCTCTCTTTTTTTTTTCCATTCATTCATTCATACATTCATTCCTTCATTCACTCTGTCATTTCCATTTCTCCTCGCAGCCCGTTTTCTTGTTCTCTCTTCTTATTCAAATCACTCATTTACAATTCCAAATCCCAGCATACTATCCTAATATCCCTTTTTTCTTTCCCTTCCTCCCCCCCCACCCATCTCTCTCTCTCTCCTCCATCTCTCCACCCTAGCAATCTTTCCATCCAGATACCACCTATTTTTATTTCTATTATCTTCTTCTTCTTCTTCTTCTTCTTCTTCTTCTTCTTCTTCTTCTTCTTCTTCTTCTTCTTCTTCTCTTGGTTTAATAGGTGGGGGGTGAGGAGTGTGAAACGTCGCATGTGGTGGCTGCGTGACGTCTAGTTAGAATTTTTTTCGCACGTGTGTATAATAATAGAGTAGATATATAATACAAGTATACAGTATATATATATGTATGTAATACGAGAGGAAAGAAAGGGTATTAACAAAGCGCTGTTATACCTTGAAGCGAGTAAGTATGTAAGCAGTAGTTATAGTTTAGAGCGTGTGGGGGGGGGGGGGTTCAATATAGACCATGGTGCTTTAGTAGAACATGGGGAATGGAAAAGAAAAAAAACTTAATAATAATAATAATAATAATAATACGGATAATACGACTTCGCTTAACCAGGGGGGGTGGGGGTACGGGGAGGGGGCGGGCTACTGCTTGTAAGCGACAAGTCATTATTACAGGGGAATTAATTCGGTGGGGTATATATATATACATCTTTTGATGGTATTGGGAATATAAAACGCAGATTCCCTTGATTTACATAAGCCAACCGGTATTTCCACAAGTGAAGTGTTTCTGCGTACCTCGGATAATAAAACAACGACAACAAACTGCTGAGCTCCCTGCTTAGGTGTTCCAAAAGAAAGATTAAAGAGTATGAGGAAAAATCATCCTGGCTTAGCAGCGACTCAACGAACTCCAAACATCGCCATAGTCTGGGTTTAACAAATCTCGTACCCCAACATACATACATACCGTCAAGCCGGATCACTCCAATCGCGCCAATCCCGCTGCTCATTTGCCTTTTTCCTCTCCCAATACTCCCACTCTTCCTCCATGGACGTCGCCTTGAGCGAGTGTTTCCCCTTGTCGATGAAATTCGAGTGTCCAGAAGCCCAGTCGGCATCCCTCAGTGCTTGTTGCCTGAACCGCGGCACCGTCATCTCAGGCCGCACATAGTCGGGGATGTTCAAATCAACCACATGGCCCTGCTGTGTGTATTGCTGTTGCTGAGATGGAGGCGATGCAGGAGGCGACACGTGATTCGCGGGTCGATACAGGCGATTCTGGCCTTCTGCTGCAAACGTCCAGTTGGGGTTGAACGAGGATGCTCGCACAACAGGAGGAGGGGCTTGCGACGTGCTGGGGAGAGGCCTTGCGGGAAGCCGGTCGTAATCCGAGTACGATTGAGGGGGTCCTGATCCGAAGATGGAGTGTGACGATGTTGGAAGCGGAGCTATGGCTTCTTCCCCGTAGGCTATGCGCTGGATCACCAGATTCACCATTGACTGGCAGTTACCGTTGAGCAGGTCGTAGCTGCTGCGCATTTCCTGTGTGCACACCAGCTTTGCTATTTCCGTGTGGTGTCAGTGGAAACATTGTCTCGTTTGCAGGAAGACTTGCCGCAATCTTCAATGGCACGGTCATCCAGAGTCGTCGAGCACCCCGTGTCTGTGTATTTTATGATGGACGAGTTGTTTTTCTCTTCCTTCTCACGATCACTCCGGCTGCGCGTCAGGACGCCAATACCACCGTTTGGCCTGTACAGTTCGAAAAACGTATCGTCCTGTCCGTTTCTGACATCGGGCGAGACGACGAGAATGCCCCAGTGCTGAGCCATATCAGGCAGTGGAATAACATTGCCGGCGCGAGTGTCACCGCCGATGGAACTGGGTGTTCCGGCTGGTGTTGAGAATTTGTAGATTTTGCGATACCTAGCAGAAGGCGCCATGGCGAGCTCTGTTCGCTTCAAGCAAGATTTTTCTGGTTCTTGAGTGAGTTGAGAATCTTAATTTCAAAAGTGTCGAGCAGCAGGGTCGCTTTATCGTCTTTGATACCGCACAAGGCTTGAGGACGCTTCACCAGGCTACCCGAATTTGGGGGCCATGGACGATCATAGCGCAAGCCTGCGAGGTTTAGAAACATGTAGGCAGCAATGTTGGCAAGCAATAGGCTCTCAGACAAAGCTCAACGCCATGTCTGCTCGAGCTCACCAAGCCCTAGTACGTGGCCCAATGCGCCGAAGCCATGCGCATTTGCAACCACCATAGCCCGACATGCTGCAATTTAGGCCAACGTCATATCTGACAAATCCTCTGTCCTTTGGGATCAGGCTGCCCAATAAATCTGGTATATCGGTGTGAGACGCCAATCATGGGACGCCCACTGACGCCCCTTTCTCAGCCTTGCAGCTCGGAAGAGACAAGAGCAGGATCCTTGTCTTCCGGTCAGCCTAAAGGCTTCGGGGCTGCATATGTCTATAATACCCTGCAGCAGTGTATTTCGGTCGACTTGCAAGGCTGGCCCCTTGATCTTTCTCAAGCCTATCCAACTCGCTCGCGGCCATCTCGATGTCATGTCAAGTCTACCAACAATCTTGCGGAACAGGTATGCGCGGATAGCAGAGAGACTCGAAAATGTGTGTATTCGCAACTCGCCTGCTATTGGTTAGCTAATCACAAGCTTCGAGTAGATTAAGCGGAAAATCTACCATGGCTTCGTTATCGCCTACTCACCTTCTGGTGTCTCCCAGATCATTGCACGATCCATAGTGCAAACCTCTCCAGAAGAACAAAAGGAAATCCTCGATCGCTTTGTAGACATGAAGCAACGAGAACTGGCAACTGTCATTGTATCAGTATGTATACCGGGATGATATATGCGAAGCGGGGCTTAACCACTGCTCAGTGCGCGCTTGTCACGTCGCTCGTCGCAACGCTCATGTCGTGGTCTTGGTTTCCTGTGCCGGCCTTCACCGCGAAGATTGCTGCTCTCTGCGCACTGATCCACTCGCTGGTAGCCATCGGCATCGCATCGCAGCAACTCATCGCTTTGACTCGCGCACACATCCATCCTCACCGTACTCAAATCATGCAGTACATTCTCTTCGGCTCAGTTGCCAGTCCGAGCTCGAGCCCGCACCTGCAGTCGCCTTTGACTGATACGCAGATCGATACGGGAAGTGCATGGCGCCACTTTTCCTGGCAGATACCTACCATGCTGCTCGGAAACAGCATCCTATTCACGTTGGTCGCGCTGGGGATTGCGGTGTTTGATGAAGGGAGAAAGGCTGCGGTCTGGCGCACTCCAGAGATGGTCACAGCAATCTGTATTGCAGTATCGTTGATGTTCAGTGTGAGCTGCTACTTCATCTCGTGGTTCAATATCGAGTGGCAGATGCAGGAGGCGATTGCCAAGGACTTTTAGCATACCTGTGGAATATCATTGCTGTTACAGAATGGAGTGCGATATAGCGAGATTGAAGAGTATGTTGATAGGCTGCTCAATCAACATAGAAGTGCGAAAGTCCAACTTTTTTCTTGCTGGTGCGTCCTGCAATTGCCAACCGGGGATTGTGGTGTGCAACCCCAACTACTCCAGATGCCGGCGATGACGTCATCTGTTGTTTGACCGTACTAGGTAATTTGGCTGCGAATGTAATTGCGGAAGACCGTATGCTCTTTTTTAATAAGCGGTACCCAAGTTCAATTCGCGTAAAAAGATAAAATCGAAACGAATCAATCCAACATCACGTCTAACTAAGCCATCACAGTTACGTATTCGATCACATATTGCTAATTTTAGACCTACCACGCCGTTTTGCCAAGATAAAAACTGCGAGTTATGGTAGCGGGGTAATGACCTGACTCGCTATCAATTCTAGTGTCGGGTACATCTCCAAAGACAACGTAGTGTAAATTAAATTTCAGCCTATACGCAATTATTCAGATAAACATGTCAGTATACCTGTTGGAAGTTGATATCATATCACATCTAACGGATGTTGAGGTGTGAATTTTACACGACTATCAAGGTCACACCCGATGCTACGTCTCCCAGCGTAAATCTAATACGGAGAATTAGAGAGAAGAAGGACTGCGAACGCACGGATTGCAAAAATTCCGATAGCTATGTACCGCCAACGAACTCCACAACCAGTGGTGCCTCGTCCTAGGCAACCGATACGCGAAATGGCTGAAGGAGCTTGATTTAGAAACGGACAAGTAAGACAAATAGACAAGTTCTCTACCTATCACTATATCTTATGCAGCTCTTGTTAGCTTCTCTATCCATTGTTGGATCTTTCCCAGCGCAATATAATCGTGATCTTGCGCCGAAACTGTAAAGTCCTCGTCAATCCATCCTGGCGTCCCCGCCGTGATAAGTGTCTTCCCGAATGGCTGGCATGAACCGTAGTCGATAATGACAGGATCATCGTGTTCGTCAATCATGATATTCATTGGCGTGAGATCGTTGTGCGCTCGCCCAAGTGAGTGAAGGTGGCAGATTGCAGACTTGGTTTTGCGCATGCAGTTATCAACGTCAAAGTGTTGTACATTCTTCTCTAGTCGGTGCTGGAGCGTGACTGGAAGGCGATCCAGGACAAGGCTGACGATGCGACCGCGTTTGATCAAACAACCATGATACCTAACGATGTGTGGATGTGGGTTACGCCGAAGAAGCTCCATTGTCTCGGCTTCGTGTAACATAAGTTTTGGAAGTAGGCCTGTACCTACAAAGTCTAGGTGTAGTTTTGGCCTTTTGGGGAAAAGAGTCTCGTCGATTGGAGGTGAAAACACTGTGATGTTCGAAGGAGCCTCTGGGTACACATCCTCATCTGGAAGGCGTTGCAAACTTTCTCTGATGATTTGATGGTTCAGATTGCATTTTCGATAATCAGATTGGCCGAAGTAGGCAACATATTCACCAGAAATGTAGCCAAAAGATGAGTATAGGAAGATTGGATTACCATCCTCGTCATCTTCCTCGGAGAAGGCTTCGTAGCGGGGGGAAAGGTCCCGAGCCGAATACAGTGGTAGCTCTTCGTCAACCATGATTCGATACTGCTTTGACGTCAAGGTGAGACTGATGGAAAGTGGTAATCAAAGTGGCATTTCGCGCAACCTCTCACAGCCGGTAGATCTTCGGAAATTCGTTTTGCCGGATCCGGTCCCCCTTGCTGAGAGACGGCGTACCGTAAGCTTCAAAGGTAACATCCAGCATCCGCACAGAGTGCCCTACCAATGTACCTTTTCCCTACTGTACCCTGAACTATCGTTAGCTGAAATCGAAATGTGTCGCTCTCAAGCTGAAGCTTCCGAATAATGTTAAACAATCTATTTGTTTTATGGGTGATTTTGACATGCTAACGAAACGGCTTTCACAACGCAGTAGAGTAGACTTGTTGCTGCAATATAGCGGAATGAGATATGTGATATCAAAGAGTATTTTGTTAGGCCGCTCGACACATGTACAGTGCGAAAGTCGAGCTCCTTCTTGCTGGTGTGTCACTGCAATGGCCAACCTGGATGTTGGAGTGGGTGAAGGAGTAGGGATGAAGCTATCGTGAGAGAGCAGCCTGTGAGCTATCTGGTGCTAAGAATATGCTAGCAAGTTCCAAACAGACCGGCCTGTACCTTCTACACCTGCAGTTGCCAACCCGGAGTCGTGGTGTGCAACCGCGACTGCTCCTGCCACCAACGACGATGACATCATTTGTTTGTTTGACCATCATTGACAATTTCGCTGCGAACCCAACTCCAGAGAGCTCGACACAACATCTGAATCAGTCCTTCACATCACGTACACGTACACGCATACCATTCCGGCTTCGCTGCGTCAGCCGAAACCACACATAGGACGAATTGCATCAAGTTAAGTACGAGTGCATACAACAAAAACGAAAAACCAATAAGTCCCACCCACTAGGTTCTGCCCACCGGACATTGAAGGACCACCAAGTCGGGCGGCAATAAAGTCAGCAAGGAGGCAAAAAAAATCAAAAAAACATACAACAGCAGGGATTCGCCAGTGGTCACCCACCTGACTACTAATCTGCCGGTTACTAGCTTATGTATTGCCGAGCGAACGAGAGACACAGAATTCTAGTACCTATGGTCGTATGTGGTAGAAAGGGGATGACGTGTAGGTTATGAATTTTTTTTGAAAGAGAAAGGAGCGTTCGAAGAGTGCTGTTCACCTACCCCTCACCCGCCGCTGGCCCACCACAGCCCTTTGATGTTCTCAACAACGCTTAATTTCACTTGCGCGTAGTCTCTAGATTTATCAGTCTCTGCTGTCTTCTAGTACTATTTCTTATTGAAAATGAATACAGAAATGCAGTTGCTAGTGTCGTCCTACAAAGTCACATGATAGGATAGAATAGTCACGTGAACGCATAGAATATACTTGGGACGGTAGTATGTTAGAATATAAGCTTGAATCTTCGACATGTTTCTCTCCAAAGCACAAGAGATAGAAATGAGTATGCCGCGTGTTATGAAAGTTTCGTGCAACTGACCAATTCTGCACAGCCACCGATGCGCATTGTGATATTGGACGTGTGAAGCGAGTCGCAGTAGCGAGCGGAAGTTGTTTTGATATGGCCAAGAGGGCTATGCTACCTGCGAGGCAACCGCCGACGCAAATAGTCCTCGCTATCGTGCACTGTCCACAGCTGGAAATTATTCTGCCTTGCTTTTTGATCTGGCCATTGCAACTCTCCTTCCTTGATAGCTACTCTGATGTTTTTTCCCTCTCGCGAGCTGCTGGCCCAAGCACGACACTGACTTGATATGCTTGATGAGAAAGCTTTCCTGCCACATGGTAAGTATCCAATTTCCACGCGCATAGCGACTCAGCCGAGCGAGGGCATGTGTATCAGATAGCGGGTGCGGTATTTGTATTATCATTGTGCTCGCAACACTTGCACCCTCAACGCAGTTTGGTAAATTCGGCATCTACTCCCCATCGCTTCCCCCAAACCTAGTCACACCGCCTTCCCCTGCATCGGCACTCTCCCCGTTTCCCAAACTCTCTCGTGTCACAACCCTTCTCCCCGCCTTCCCCTGCACACAGCATGCAAGCCACCCTGCACGCCATCACGCAGCCCTACGCAACACATTATCCCCCCACATCCCTGCCAACCACCGCAGCATCCGCAGTGCAACAAAGTCAAAAAGCCGTACCACGGTCCCTCGCGGCACGAGCATGCATGTACCTGACTCGCCTACTCGGTGGTACCTTGCAGGCTGTTCGCGCAGGCACGAACGCGCAATCACGGCAATCGGGAGTTTCTTCTGATAGCTCAATCGACGGCGGGAACCGAGTCAGTGATACAACAGAGGCAGAAAAGAAGCTCCTGTGACGAGAAACTCACGTCCATGGTTCCGTGTTCTATCCGATTCCATTGGTTGGCGTTCGCAGTGCATGGGGTACGCGACGACGCGAGGAACCACTGTACCACGCAGCTGGTAGATGCCTACGTACATATGCAAACGAGCACGATCAGCGCAGCCTTGGGAAGTACCTGGCCACCCTATCTGGATGTACCTGCATATAGTGATGGCCCACACAGTGGGTATGCAGATCCACCAGCTACCAACAACCACAACAACACTAGCACCAGTACCAACGAAACGACACGATGACGATGACAATGGCAATGACGCGTGCAAAGCCATACACACGTGCACACATGACACGTAGCCGCAGCCGCAACCATTGAATCAGCTGGAAAAAAATAAAACAAAGCCAGAAAAAAGAAGCAGCAAAGAACAAGACCCGAAAACAAAACAAGAGCACGAAGAAAAGGAAAAAAGTAAATGTGCTTGTACACGTGTAGTCAGCGCTTCGTTTCCTTGTACTTGGACTTGCACCTACATCTAGCAAGGTCTTCACTTACCTGCATACATGTACTACATGCACGGCTACAAAGTGGAAAACAAGGAAAGAAGGTAAAGAGAGCGAATATCACAAAAGACTACGACTGACGTGGCTGCACGTACGAACACATCAGGAATTACAAAAGTGTTAGTGTGGAGGCTGTATGCATAATGACGACAAGAACAACTCATACTCATACTCATGCTCATATTCATGTGCGATGTACTCAATGCCGAGTCTTTTTACGTTCAAGAATCGGACCTGGGAGGGAAAGGACTGATAGGGGATAGGGGAAACCTCTGGAACAATTATATATATATATAACTATATGTTGTGATGTTTCCTTTTTGCTTTTATCAAGAAAGATAAGAGAAAAGGAGAACGAGAGAGAACAACAGGAAAAAAAGGTAAAAAGAAAAGAAAAGATAGTTCGTTTCGTTTCGTTTCAGACTTGCTTTGCACGCAGTGCTAATAATCTACTTCCATACAACCAAGTATCAAAGGATACTATTAGAGCCTGACAGAACTGACGGTTAACAAAATCTCTGGGCGTGCCAAAACAACATTTCTTAAAACCTGCACCAACTTCCAGCACCAACTTGGTAAGTAACGAGAAGAAAAAAACAATATGATAAAACACACATTTCCTACAAATCTTTTTACCAAGCCAGCCGGATTGATTCGTTCCCTGGTGATTTCGCATGTGCGTATATATACAAGCAGAGTTACGTGCCGACTCAATGTCCACTTCTCCCACCCCCCTATTGCGCCAAAAAGGCCCCCTCTTTCCAATTATTATCCCATGTGATGAAGAAAGAAAAAAAAACAAGCGTGTGTGTGTGGCTAACATATCCGATGGATAAGGTATCGGTAGATGAGCAAACCAAGCCGCCGCCCAAGATGATTCCGGGTTCAGAAAAAGAAAAACAATCAGGTAAAAAAAAGCAAAAAAAGAAAACCAAGATAAGCACAGGTTGCGCCCTAGTTCCAAATATACAAGGCCCTTTTTTGTCGGGAAAGAGATCAATGTGGGTGTGGGTGTCGCGAAGAAAAGAGACTTTGTCCGCCGCCGCAAATGGAAGATGCCGGACCAGAAAAGGGAAACAGGAAAACGCCAGCCAACGCCATGCCGTCATGCAGGAACTCGTCCAGAGAAGGAATATTGATACGCGCTCGTTTCGATCGTCTAATGGTCGTACTTTGTGGGTAACGCCTGGCCGCCGCAATCGGGTATCTTGAGGCCGGGTTTGAGGTTGCGGTCGACGTCCATGAGGCCCCACTTGTCTTCCCATTCTTTGCCCTTTTCGTTGTATTGAATCTTCCAGGGCTCGTCGAATGCCGAGAACCTAGCGGTTGTTAGTTTTATTGATCGCAGTATCAAGGCATTAAACTCACCAAAAGTACTCGGTGCCATTCTTCAAACTAGGACATATCCAGTCTTCCATAAACTGGTTCATTTCGTCAATGCCGGCAACTGAGCCTCCGGTGCACGTGGCGGCTCCACCACAGTCGGTACCACCTCCGGACGGCCAGCCGACTTCAGCAATGACCTGATGAATATTGCTGTTGCTGGCGGTAAGAGCTACATCGTGGGTTGTCCAGAAATTCCAGGTCCATGCGGCCGCCTGCTTGACGTCAACGCCGGCGAAAAACGGGTGGACGTTGGACATGACAATGTCGACTTTGCTGGCCATGTCGGCAGTCCAGTTGTCACCGAGATCGGCCATGGCTACGGGAAGCTGGCAGCTGTGGTCCGAAATGTTCTTGCGAAAGTCGGTAATGTGGCCGAGCAGCTGAGTCACCGTCAGGTCCTTGCGGAAAAGCACCTCGTTGCCGATAATGATGCCCTTGAAGTAGTCGCAGCCATAGTCGTCGAGGATTTTCCACGTCTGGGCAATCTGTCGCTGGGTAGTCGTGTCGTTCTTGTCGAGCCAAACCCCGAGCCAAATCTTCATCGAGTCCTTAATCTCCAGACGGTTAATGGCGTGGATAACCATCTGGGTCTGGTTGCAGTCGGTGCCGTATAACCTGACGGCGTTGGTCAGCTGCGACATGACGGCCAAGTCACGAGTAATGTTGTTTTGCGATGGCGGCACGTGGAGACAGTCTGGGTACTGCGCATTCAGCGGAGTGTAGTCCATGCCGGGGAACACCTTGTGCAGATTGGCGTTGTTCATCAGGCCCTTGATTTCAGTCGAGTCTTTGCTCAGGTCGTCCTTGTTATCTTTGGCAACGCTGTCGGCTGCTTGCTGGTTCTTTGCAGAGTTCGAGTCGGAAGAGCCGCCCTTGCCTAGTGTGGCACCAAGTACGCCTCCAAGAATAGCGCCTATCAGGATAATTGCGATGATTACAATGGCTATCCACATTCGCTTCTTCCGCTTCTTCAAGTCGTCCTCTGCCTTCCAACTTGCAATCTTCTCGGGCAACAGCTCTCCGCTTCCGTTGACCATGGGTACTGTGTCGTACTTTGCTCCGTCACGCGACCCGGCATACGCAGCTGTGCCGGCGGCTGCACCAGCAGCGCCATTGTTTATTGAGGATCCCGGAGATGCGTTGCGACTGCTGCCGTCGCGCGAGCTACCAAAAGGCACAAACGAACGTCGCTTTTGAGGGGCGTTTTCGGCCGAGCCCATGCCCCAGTCGTCGTCATTGTCGACTTCGTATGGGTTGATCTGGCCCATTTGCGGAGCGAGGTTCTGGGCGGATGACGAGTAGCGCGTGTAGGGCGTGTCCGAGTAGGCGCGGTTGCTGTGCGACGAGGGCGGCATGCTGTGCAGTGAGCTGTTACTCGAGTACATAGCGGGGGCGAGGGGTGCGCCTGGGCCGGGGGTGCGTTGTGAGTACATTGGTCGCGACATCATGGAGGGATCGAGCGAGCCCTGGTCTTGAAAGGGCGACGCTGGTGAGACTGGGCTGGGAACGCCCATGGGGCGCTGTGGTGTGCCTTGGCGATCGGGCGAGACAACAGCAGCGTCGGGCATATTGTTTGGACCTGGAGGCATGCCCGGGGTCGAGTAGTCGGAGTAGTTGTTAGGGTCGGGGTACTGGTGCTGGCTATTCAAGTGCTGGTACTGCGAGTCGGGGTGCATGCCTACAGGCGTGCGATGGGCGGGTGGAGGGGGCGGGCTGTCGTCGGGAAGCGAGACGTCGCTGTATTGACCTTGTCCGAGTGGCCAGGGCTGGGTTTGGTGCGAAGCCATCTGGAGCGGCCTCGCGGGCTTTTTCCTCCAGACGTTGCTGCAGGAAGCGAAAACGACAGGCGCGGCGACGCTTGGAGGGCAGCTGAGGGCGGGCGGCGGCGGCGGCGGAGGCGGCGGCGGCGTACCGCTGTGTGGACGAGTGGACGCGGACTACTGGGCTGGGTGGACCGTGGGTGTTGGCGGCGAACGGGCGAGGGCAATTGGCCGGGGGATTTGTTCTGGCACGGCTGCTCAGGCTGCAGGCGGGATGCACAGGCAGCAGCAGCAGGAAAAAAAAAGGATGGCACGGCGCGTCGCGGGCGGGGAGGGGGGGAGTCGAGGGGAGGATGGCGGATGTGGATGTGGATGGCAGCAGGAGAAAGGGCTCTGGTGGGTAGGCAGGATGCAAGTTGAGGTAGGCGGGTAGGACGGCTGGGAGGACGGAGGCTGACGGGGCGCAAATGCTGGGCCTGCCGACGCTAGCCCGCCGCATTCACCCAGGAAACGCGAGGTGAGTGAGCAGGCGACGAACCCACCGTGACGTCGGCCAATACAGGGCAGGGCTCGCGCAGTGTGGGCTCAACAGGTTTTGGGGGCGGGCATGGGCCGCGGGATTGCGGCGACTACCTGTAGACGACTAGGCAGACTGCAGCGATAGCTACAGCGACAGCTCATACATTCATCGATACATACAGCCAAGTATACACCTACTGCTGTAGCCATGCCCACGGCTGCACCGCCCGCAGGCCTACGTGTTGCACCTGCCCTGCCCTGCCGTGTCCTCGGTCGCGGCTGCAGGCTGTGTTGCAGGTGGGTGCAGGTGGCAGGTGCCTGCCCCATGCGGGCGAGAAAAGAGGCAGGGGCGGCGCCCGTTGCTGGAAAACAAGCAGCTGCGCGCAAGGCTTGGCAATCGGTGGCGGGAAGCCGCATCCAGCAACACGGCAGGGGTGGGCCGCCTTGCCAATCTCCCCTATCAGCACCAGGTCCACCGCGCGTCACAGCCGCTGCCCTTCGGTATTACTGTATTCTCACCACGCACCACTCACCACTCCGCCAGCCCATACACAGTCGCCGCCCTCGCTTCCATCGGCTTCATTTCTCCCACGCAATAAACACCCATGCTGCTCACGCGTCGTCATGATGCGCAAGGCTATTCCCGCCATGACAGCCTGCATGCCCGCCGCACGCCGCCTCGACTCGCCCCTCATGTCAGCCACTCTGCACAGCGTGCCTCTCCGCTACCGCACGCTCGGCTCCACACAGCAACATGCACACCTACATATCGTCGATAGCCAGCGATAGTGTAGTAGCGCCTCCTCAGCACGTCGCCCCTTGGCGCTTGGGTTTTTCTGGTCGCACATCTTCGCCCTTATCTTGCCCGCGCAACACTCGGTCTCAACACTCAGTCGCTCGCTCGTGTCGGCCTTCAGGTGCACCCCCCGGTAGCGATCCGTGAAACACGGACACGACATGCCGCCCATTGGTCTCGCGTTTGACCAGACTGCTGCTCCGTGCAGGGTTCACCACTCGTCCTTACCCCGCGTCTCCGACACCAAATCTTATGTATGCCGCCGGTGCGTATCAGTGCTGCGTCAGCGGCCGTCATCACGCCAACCATCTCGCAATCTATCCGCTGCACCGCCATTGTCGACTTGCACTGCAAAGACGCTGTTGGGTGCAACACAAGCTTGCCTCGACGACTGCTGCGCGGAGCCGTCTGTGCTCCGCCGCCTCCGACGCGCCTTTCTGCCCACGTTAAAACTAAAATCAAATACGCGCATCATGCACAGTCGCATCATTCCTCCAACAACCGGTCCTGCCCCGGGCTTGGTCTCGGCTATAGCTTGCTAATTATGGACATTACCTCCAGTAGTCCATGTAGTGCTCAACCCACACAGGTCTTGCTGACACATTCCTTTACTACACGTTCGCTCCGTCGCAGCCCACAGGGCCATCGCCAGCCACTACCGGCAACTGCTACACCTCGCAGTCACCTGGACACGTCTGGGTGTGCTTGTCTAGCCACAGCCACGCCATACCACAGCTTTATCTCTGTCTCTCGGCACTTTCTTCTACCATCCGGCAGCCTTCTTCTGCTCCGCCGCCTGCAGCACCCCCATCGTATGCTCCCAAACTTTGGTCGCCGTATCCTGCCGTCTTACCCTCGCCCAGCTGACTTCGCTTCTCTCGTCTCCTTTTTGATCCAGTGCATAGGCACCGCCTCCTATTTCGTTCTGACTGCTACGTGCTACGTTGCTGTCGTGCCCATCTTCAGGCTTCAAGGTTCCCTTGGCAGGATATCTGGGTGTGCTGAGGAAAACCATGAGTCGCCCACAATCCTCGGGACTCGTCATGACCAAGCTTGCCAAAGGCTTCATGAGCGTCCACAAGATGCGGAACCACAGCGGGTTCTCCTGGATGTAAAAAGTGGGCCCGTCTACGAGACCCGGGTACATGTGTATGAAGCTAATCTTGCCCGCGTGCTGCTCAGCTAGCGACTCGAACAGAAATGTCTTCATGAAGCACGTATGCGTGCGCACTGCCGTGACACCGTAGCTGGCTGGGTCGGGGATGCCAATGGGCAGTTGGTCTGGCTTAACCTTGTCCTCGACCGACCCTGCGAAGACGGAAATAACATGTGCCTTCCTTGGCGATGCCGTAAGCAGAGGAATGAGGTTTTGGGCACACCGGATGCGTGCGTAGTAGAGCAACGACATTTGCGAGTCGATTCCTTCTTCGGTAGCTGAAACATGCATCAGTACTTGTGCGGTGGCTATCCTGCTGAAAGCAAGACTTACTAGGCGACGGTGCCAGCGGCGAGAGGGCTGCAGTCAGGTACAACGCGTCGAGCCTTGGGGGCCCACCATGGAACGGGTCTTGTTCCTCTTGTCTCATCAGGTCCTTGCACGCAGCATCCACTTGGCTTATCAAGGCCAGGTTGGTCGCTTGGATAAAGCGCCAGTCTGACCCAGGGCTCGTCTTGCGCCCGAAGCGAAGCACCGTGTCTGCGCGCTCAGCATTGCGGCCAACAACGTAAACGCGCAGTTTGGAGCCATGGGCAGCAAACGTCTCAGCAAAGGTCCTGGCAACGTAAGACCCAATGCCCGTGGTGCCGCCGACTAAAGCAACGACAAGTGGTGGGCCGTCGGCTAGTAAGGCGACGCTCGAGCGGATTGTTTGGAAGTTGGGCATTCTGGTAGGATGTTCAAAGCAAATACGAGAGGAGAGGAGAAATGTCAAAATGCTACATGTTCATCACGAACAACCACAGCTGGCTTTATAGTTGAACATCTGATAGATAGGGCATGTTTTTCTCAGCCATTGGGTGGTTTGGCGCAGGCGACCTTTCCTCTGCTCGTGTAACTGAATACACACACCCGTCTACTTTGGGTACATAAAGTGCCGCCTTTCCTCGACTCGTTTACGCCCCCTGACCATCTGACGGCAGCTCGCTGATTGGTGGCTCAAAAACGCATGTCAAGTCCTTAAGTCCGAAAGCAGCCATGGGAAGACTTGGTAATGTTACACTTCATAGCCCCAAGGTCGAGAGAGTCGGAGATAGGAACGGGAATAGTAAGTTTGTTTGGGGCGACGATGGAAATACTGGAATGGTAATGTTGCCTGTTGTCGCACCATGGCAGCTTGCAGTGCGCTTCTGGTCCGGTGGCGTAGGCTAGCAGCTGTCGCTGAGTGTCACGCCGGATGGCATTGCAGTGACAGCAGTATGCAGAGTCTTTGACGTAAATGGGCGACCCAAGCAGACTCGCATGAGGCGTTGCGCTTCCCAAGCAGTGTAGCATACTTGGCAAGTATCCATGCGATGCCTCAGACTTGCGACGAGACGTTTCGAGAATGCCCTGAATTCCAGCACTCAGCACGTGTATACTCTGCAAGCGCCATTGCCCAGACTGCGCCATGGCATGGTGCGTAAAGGCGCAGTGTCAAGTCGCCATACTCGGCATGCGCATTGGCTGGGCCTCGCCCGCTGGTGACGACTCAAGTTCGCCTAGGGTTGTCGACCCCACAAGAACCGTCCCTGAACAGCAACGGCGAGATTTGCCCGCCATCACAACACGTAGCATCTCAACCCTCATATCTAGCAATTGGCATACCGCTCACACATCAATTGCGGCCCCTCACCCACACCCCATTGGTATCTACTGACGATTTTGGCATCTCCTTCCGGTAAGTCCAAGGGCGCCGCTGCCCCACCCAGCACTGGAAGCTCTTTGGACACAGTAGCTAACAGGCCCCGTCGACGGTGCAGCGACCCGACGCCCACCATGAGCAACCTTTTCGAAGCAAAGGTCAAGAGCGTGCTTTCTGGCGATACCGTCGTCCTCCACAACATCAAGGACCCAAAAGCAGAGCGCACACTGAGTCTAGCCTTTGTATCAGCGCCACGGTTGAGGCGAGAGGGAGACGAGCCCTTTGCTTTCGAGTCACGCGACTATCTTCGCCGCCTGCTCGTCGGCAAGGTTGTACGCTTCCAGGTGCTGTACAAGATCCCCACGGGCGCGAACCGCGAATATGGCCTCATCGTCACACCAAACAAGGAGATACTACCGCAACAAGCCGTCGCCGAAGGCTGGCTAAAGCTGCGCGACGACGCTGGCCGCAAGGAAGACTCGGACGAAGCGGCGAATCTGCTCGAGAGACTCCAAGTAGACGAGGCACGCGCCAGGGCGGATTCCAAGGGCATCTGGGCGGAAACGGGCGGTCGCATCAACGTGTCTTCAGAGCTGAGCGACCCGAGCAAATTCGTCGAGCAGCACAAGGGCAAAGACATTGACTCGATTGTCGAAAAGGTGCTGTCTGGTGACCGCCTGATTGTGCGTCTCGTCCTTTCACCCACCGAGCACGTCCAGACCATGGTTCTCCTCGCAGGCATCCGCGCACCAGCAACACAGCGAACGAATCCCTCGGATGGCAAGGTACAACCGGCCGAGCCATTTGGTGACGAGGCGCAACAATTCGTCGAGGCTCGATTGCTCCAGCGAGGCGTGCTCACTCAAGTGCTCGGCACTACGCCCAACGGCCAGCTTGTAGCAGATGTCAAGCACCCTACCCAGGGCAGCATCACACCGTTCCTGCTCAAGAATGGTCTCGCCAAGTGCACCGACCACCACACCACACTCCTCGGCCAGCAGATGGGCATACTGAGGGGGGCTGAGAAGCAGGCAAAGGACGCTCGGTTGGGTGTGTACAAGGAGCACGTTGCGCCAAAGGTCACCAGAGCGGGCGATCAAGAAGCCACCGTCAGCCGGATTCAGAGCGCCGACACTCTTTTTCTGCGGAATAAGGCGGGTGCAGAGAAGCGCATCAACCTCAGCAGTGTCCGTCAACCAAAGCCCACTGACCCCAAGCAAGCGCCATGGGTGGCCGAGGCCAAGGAGTTCCTGCGCAAGAAGCTCATTGGCAAGCACGTCAAGTTCCACGTCGACGGAAAGCGGCCAGCTACCGATGGCTACGATGAGCGCGAAATGTGCACCGTTACCTACCAGGGCAAGAACATTGGTCTGATGCTGGTCGAGAGCGGTATGGCGTCAGTCATCCGCCACCGACAGGATGACACCGACAGGAGTCCCATCTACGATGACCTCCTGCTGGCTGAGCAAGCCGCGCAAGACGAGAAGAAGGGCCTGTGGTCGGACAAGGCGCCGTCTGCTAAGCAGTACGTCGACTACTCGGAGTCGCTCGAAAAGGCCAAGCGCCAACTCACCCTTCTCTCTCGCCAACGCAAGGTACCCGCCATTGTCGACTTTGTCAAGTCTGGATCGCGCTTCACTGTCCTTGTACCCCGAGAGAATGCCAAGCTCACCTTTGTCCTCTCTGGCATTCGTGCGCCTCGATCAGCGCGAAACGAGAACGAAAAGGGAGAGCCTTTCGGAAAAGAGGCACATGAGTTCGCTAACCGACGCTTGCAGCAGCGAGACGTCGAGATTGACGTCGAGGACTGCGACAAGGTTGGTGGCTTTATCGGTACCCTGTACATCAACCGCGAGAACTTTGCAAAGACGTTGGTCGAGGAGGGTCTCGCCACTGTTCATGCTTACTCGGCGGAAAAGTCTGGTAACGCCAACGAGCTGTTTGCGGCTGAGCAAAAGGCCAAGGACGCACGCAAGAACTTGTGGCAAGACTATGATCCTTCGCAAGAAGAGGATGACGAGGCTGTCGAGGCTACTGAGCCTACCAACGGTGATGCTGCCCCGTCAACAAAGGCAGACTACCGCGATGTCATGATCACACACGTTGAGAATGACGGCAGACTTCGACTCCAGCAGATCGGCAGTGGCACCTCGGCACTGACATCGCTCATGGACGCCTTCAGCAAGTTCCATCTCAACCCGACCAACAGTGCTGGCCTGTCTGAGCCCCCCAAGGCTGGTGAGTTTGTCGCAGCCAAGTTTACCGCCGACGACCAGTGGTACCGTGCGCGCATCCGACGCAACGACCGTGAGAACAAAAAGGCCGAGGTTGTCTACATTGACTATGGTAACTCTGAGATTATCCCGTGGTCACGCCTGCGCCCCCTTTCACAGCCTCAGTTCTTGCCATCAAAGCTCAAGCCACAGGCTGTCGAGGCACAGCTGGCCTACATCCAGCTTCCTGGCAACTCAGAGTACCTCCAAGATGCGGTGGATTTCATCTCGCAAGAGACGGCCGACCGTGAGCTCGTTGCCAGGGTCGAGGCTACCGAAAAGGACGGCATGCTCTGGGTCACGCTGTACAACCCCAGCCAGAGCAAAGACGGCACAGAAAGCATCAACGCCGACATCCTGAGCGAGGGTCTCGCCATGGTCCCCAAGAAGCTGCGGCCATTTGAGCGCAGTGGCGGACAGATTCTAGCTGCCTTGAAGAAGAAGCAGGATATCGCCAAGGAGGAGCGCCGCGGCCAGTGGGAGTACGGCGATCTTACCGAGGACTAAGTGTCGAATTACCAGGAGTTAGGGACGAGTTGGTGTAGGAATAAAACATTGGGAAAACAAAAAGCAGCCGAATGATAGGGTCAAAAGGACCTCGGGGCATTGCATAACGATTGTGTAATATAAAAATGCATCTTTTGAATTGGCGTGATTGCACCAAGTTTCCGCGCTCACGTCACGCTCACATGTACACATGGATGGCCTGATGGGTAGGTGTTTGTAATCCGGTTGCGATGGAGCCTCAGACTGCGATGCAAGTGGAGGCTCGCCTAGGCCATGTCCGAGTGCTGATATGGGCGGGATCGCGATCAGATATAGTGTAGTATTTGAAATCCCTTAGTGTCTCCGTGACTATGGCATGCCGGCATACCATGGCCACGCCTGAGACACTGGCGGCTAGTGCGATGTGGATGACTTTGCGACATGTACGCTCGCTGTTCTAGTGCAAGTAGCAGCGAGCAATCACATTGTGTGCCTGTCGTGCTCATCATGCCGGCCGCTCGCGCAGGCGTCCATCATTGCCTGCCCTGCCGCAGTGGTGGCGCAGGCGGAGAAGCGGGCAATGCGATTGGCGGCCTCGGACTTGGGCGTCTTCCCCACCATCCACGGCGCAGAGGCGGTGCCTGTAGGCAACCGCCAAATGCACCCTGGTCGCCTCCAACACGGGTCTGGCGCCATGACGACGGGCCTCAAGGCAGTCGCGTTGCAGACACCCCTCATGCACCCCCTCCTCTGCAGCTAATAACTGCCATCCCCCCCCATCGCGCGTCGTAGCACCCGTTGCGACGCCCTCTCCGCCCGAATCGCCATCATGGAAACCATCAGTAGGCTGCCCCGGCGCTTGACCCAGCTCTACTCAGACACCAAGACCACCTGCGATGCCGTGGTGGAGCAGGACGCCAAAGACACGCCCGAGTCGCACGCGCTGCACCGCAAGTTTAGAATACAAAAGGACAGGCTGATAACGTGGGGCGTGGACTGGAGCGACAACTCCAAAGGAAAGCAGGGCGACATTGATGCCAGCGTCGAGGAGGCCGGCATGACGGAAACCGTCACGAGTGTGCTGGGGACCATCAAGGAAATCCTCGATGAGGCCGAGAGGATGCACCCGGGCGCATCGGCTGCTGGTGTGGCAAAGACATTATCTGGAGAAAAGAGTCGGCCTGACCCGCCCTCGTGGGCGGCCGCCGACAAGTCACGTTACGAGGACTTGATCAAGGACCTCACCACTTCCATTGACATACTCTACGACCTGTCCCGCAACCGGAGAAGCCAAAGAGCCCACGAACGAGGTCTCAGCCCAGGCAAAGCTGCACCGCGACATCCGCAGCACAGCTCGTCCACGCCAGTCTTCCTGTCGCCCGACTACAGCGCATCCGACCTGACCCTCGTAAACCCAGCAACCTTTTCTTCCAATGCACACGCGCCCCGGTCTAATCTCCCTCCAAAACTAGATTCCGCCGACCTGATCCTTCCTGACGAGGAGCCACCGCCATACGAAAGTGTTGGCACTACATCTGTTCGTGTCATCGGCCGTCTACGATCGAGGGTTGCCTCTCATTCCTGGAGGACAGACGCCAGCAGGGATACAGAAATAAATGTTCTGGTGGACTATGCTAGCTACGACCCTACTTACCGCATTACCGGCGTTTCTCCTTCAACCAAGCGTCTCGAGACTCTGTTGGCTATATTGACAAAGCTGTCCAACAGTCAGTCTTTCCACGGCACATTGAAGTGTCTGGGGTACTTTGAAGACCCAAAACAACCGCGCTTTGGACTGGTATTCGAGCTGCCCACATCCGTCTACTCTGGCCCTGCCGATGCACACAAAACCATAGAAGACTTGAAGCCAGTCGCGCTGCTAAGCGTACTTCAGACCGGATCAAAGACGTTGCACAATTCGAACAGCGCAACACCACCGCTCGAAGATCGCTTCCGTCTGGCCTTTACACTTGCATTGACCTTTAGCAAGATCCATGGAGATAACTTTGTTCACAAAGACGTTAATAGCACAAACATCATGCTATTCAAGAAGAGCCGGCGCCACTCCGCTAACAGCAGAGCGTTGCAGTACTCACTGCGGACCCCTGTCATCTGCTCATTCGACCTCTTCTCCGACTACGACATTGAAACACACAACACAATGCCGACACTGAATATTTACCGCCACCCACAGGATCCCAAGGTTACTGGAGAGAAACAGCCTCACACCCCGAGTTTCGATTTGTATGGTCTAGGACTGGTGCTGCTCGAGGTAGGCTTGTGGCAGCCATTGTTCGATTTGTGGAAACAAAAGTATACCCTGAGCGATTTCAAGCAGCGTATCGAAGACGTGTACATCCGGAGACTGGCCTCAAAATGCGGAACGGCGTACATGCAGGTCGTGCGAGATTGTTTTTGGGCGGCCGATGCAAAGGGAGACGGTGCAGACGTTCACCAGGTCTACTCTCGCATTCTCACTCGGCTTCAACGTTGCTGTATGCTTGACGAATCCGAGCCCGGCTTCGATCTGAGTGAGCTGCGGCCCGACGCCACGCCCATTCAGCAAGCATCCTCGCTGAAGCGCAAGAGTGCCAGTCAGCCTCACCTTGCTCCCGAGGCCCAGCAGAGTCCTTCGTATAGAAGTGCGAAGCGATGGGCCTTGGAAAAGGGGTCGCAGGCTCTGGAGAGAACAAAGTCTCTCTCAAGAAAATCACCCGACTTGTCACTCACAAGAAACCCGTCCCGGGGCTCTCAACACTCTATCCGAAAGAGCATCTCTGAAAGCCTGCGGATGATGAGTCCCAAGCAAGACACGCAAGAAATGGAATGGGAACAGAGAGATCCGCTCGAGGAATCAGGTACTCTTGTTGCAACGCCGCCGGGATCGCAAGACCTAAACGACGCCTCGTCGATATACCGAGAGCGTGTCCTCCTCGCTGCTTCAACCATACAGCGTGCGTGGCGGCACTCACGCAACCCTCCTAGCCAATGCCTCACCCTGCAAGACTACAAGGACAAAATCACCACCATTCAAAAGGCTTGGCGGCAGACCAAGCAAAAGCAGAAGAACAGTACCGTTTCAGCTCTCGTTACCGACGGACTTCGTCACTGGCCGGAAGCTACTCTCGGATATCCGACGCCTGAGCCGGAGATTGAGAGCCGAACAGTTGATACGAGCAAAGATCACGTTACGTCATCAATTCAGATCGAGACGGATGTTGAGCCTGTTGCCCGGCCGAAGCTGCGTTTGTTCCCTGTAAAGTTCACTCCTGAAGTTGTAGACGAATGGCATTCTACCATGCTGCCTCGTCTTGAGCGACTGATTGAGCGTGTGCTCAAAGACTCGGAGGAAACCGTCAGCATCGATCTGGTGGCTGTCGGGGAGGTTTCGGAGAAAGCCAAGCCGACTGTGTTTGTTACGTGCAGTAGTGTAGCAAAGGTCAGGGCTATTTTGAGTCGTCGCTTCCGCTACGATGATACTGTGTATGATCTCAAGGTCAGAAGAGGAAAGATTAGGAGGTCAAAGATGAGTCGCTCTTCGCGCCGTACTCGGTATGCTGATTCTGTCTGCAGTCTTGACAGGGACTAATTCATGCAGGCCTCCACATCGCTCAATGATGAATACTGACGCTTATGGCGCTGACATGGCTGTCATGAATCCATACCACCAACAACGCCCACTCTGTGGAGCATCGATTGGCGCCTTCAATGGTCAGCACCTACCGCCAGTGTCATATGGCGGAGTCATCCTAGTCGACGATGAGCCGCTGGGTATGAGTGTCCATCACCTACTAGATGCGCCATCAGATGACGAGAGTGACGCTGGAGAAGAATACGACAGGCCATATCCAAACGAAACTACGCTGTCTAGTGGAGCAAATAACCCATGGCTGATGGGCATGGGTGCGCAGCCAGGGCTTCACTTGGACTCGGAAGAGCCTGCTCCAATGTGGGATCTTGAATTGTCTGACGACGAGGATTTGAGGAGCGAAGATGACGATGGCGATGTCGATGTCGACTCTTTTGACTTTTCCGACAGCGAATTCGATTCGGACAATGAGTCTGCTCAGGGTATGTCGACAATGTTCACCGTGCTACAATCAGGCTGACAGGATAGAAATGGCTGATTCCATCATGTCACGCGCAACCACGGGCGACATTGACGGTATCCTTCCTGGCGAGGGCGAGGAGATCAAAATCACTCAGCCCGCCCTCGACGACGTAGACGCAGATTTCTTTCCCAACGAAGAAGATCGTGATGACGACCACCTCTCGTCCCACGAGCTAGGTCACGTCCACGCCTCGTCGGGAATCCGCCGCTGGAAGCGCGACGGCATTCTTCATGAGATTGACTGGGCACTCCTGAAACTCAAGGAAGACCGTCTCCAGCCATACAACATCTGCCAGGGCGGCCGCCGCTTCTGCATGGGTGCCATGACGCCCGAGCAGCGAGCAATAGCATCCAAGCTCAAACCGCCCGTCGACCGGCGACAATTCACCCCTGAAGAAGACGAATACCCCAACGGCGTGGCGCCCGCGGCCTCGCTCGGCGGTCTTGCCGTCCACTGTTTCGGCCGCACTACCGGTCTCCAAGGCGGCATGATCAGCTCCGTCATGTCAGCCGTGCGCATCTATCACCGCAAGTCCTTCTCTCGCTCCTGGCACGTCGCCGGCGACTTTGGCATCGGCGGCGACAGCGGCGCGTGGGTGGTGCAAAACGGCAAGCACAAAGTCGTCGGCCACGTCCTCGCCTTTTGCCACAAGAACAAAATCGCATACATCTGCCCCATGGAGGTCCTCCTCGAAGACATCAAGCGCACCCTCGGTGCAAAACGCATATACCTCCCCGGCTCCGTCGAGCAGACTCTATATGCCGCTAAGAAGGCCCGCCAGCACGACGTCATGGGCGAGCTTGGTGAGCGCGTGCATGGCCTTGGTATTGTGGACTCTGCTGTCGATGTCCGTGAGGCGGCGTTGGGAACCGCGCCTCCGGCTGTTAATGCAGGCGGGATTTGGGGTCTGCGTGCTACTAGAGTGCCGGTTGCGAGGAGCTAGGAATATCTGTCTGTACGTGTGTGTTTGTATTCTCTGGGGAAGAGTGGGCGTTTTTATATTTTGGGCATCTGTGGTTTTAAAGGAAATACCCCCTCTACTTCTCTCTCTCTATTTCTCTCTACTCCTCTTTCTCTCTATCTCTCTGGGCTTTTCCATTCCCCAGCGTCGTTTTCCCCAAGTAATTATATAATATTACTTACATGCTTGAATATGAAGCTTCGACTGTGTAGTATTTCGTAATGTCCTTCGACTGAATAAGTTGAAGATGTGATGATGAAATCTTTCTGGTAGAATATCTGTTTGCACTTATATATATCAGTCTCTTAACCGAACAAGTTGGAGAATCTGTTCTTTTTTTTCCCTCTCTCTTTAACAGTATGCCGTGTCAATTACATCCCAAGCGTCTTTTGTTTTTATCGGATTGAAGCAGAGCAGTAAGTAGTGATAAGGTGAACGATATTGCGTGTTCAACTCAGATTGTTGAAATCGTTTATCTGTGTTTGATGAGAGAAGAAAGAGAGAGGTTGTCTCGCCTGACGATGTGTTGTTACGGTGGCACGAGAAGCAGCTCCATCTGGTTGCGAAGAGAAAGGAGAACGCCATGTCCGTAGTTAAATGCTACATTGTTGAACCAGTGACCACTGGCGGATAGAACCCTATGACATCAACACATTCTCTGCCTCGCCATTCCTGCGTTCCTAATACACACTGAGCGGTAAAGAATACCTTTGTATATACATAGCAATACAGGCCATCTCAGGGGTACGCAAAATCATCCCAGAAAGAGCAATTTCAGTGAACTATGCACGCTAATTGTCCTTCAAAAAGCAAAAAAAAATATTCTCATCTCAATGACAAAAACAGTCTTTGTTGAGCTCCTGCTCCTCGCAACGCGTGTCACCGGTATTTTGCTTTTTTTCAAAAAAAAAAAAAACTCTTTCAAATGAGGCTTACGTTGAGCGCGCCGGACGCTTGGGGACGAAATGTTATTTGCAGTGACGTAAACGGAGATGCACTTTCAGAGCTTGAGCTCTTGATGAACCTACTCTGCTACCAAGGCGTGTCTGCACGTGCATGGTTGAGCGCTGGTAGTAGTGCTAAAAGGGTGGCGCTAGTACGAGATGGGGTGTGGCGCGTCCCCTGAGGTGACGTTGTTGGGCGAACACCAACGACATTGATGGCAATGGACTTGCATCTTTGTCTAGACTTGTAGTAATGCGCGGTGAGGCATTCACCGGTGAAATCTTGGGCTTTCCTGACTTGGATATGCTCCTGATCAGGCCTCGTAGGGACACGCCATGGCGTTGGCCTCTCTACCACTTTCGAGCACGGTTATTGCTAACAGCCTCTGCAGTGTGCTATGGGTTCTTCTCAAGCCTATGCGCAAGGTCAGTTTTGTAGCATAGGGCGTGCGTGCTTGACTGTGCTCTTTTCGATGTTCGCCCTATGGTCTGCCAACAACGCTGGGACCCCAAGGTCTTGATCTGACTGTCTGATCATTCGAACGTTCTGTAGATCTACAGGTCTACACTTGCGGTGACCTGCATGTATACTACCAGGCTAACATATTGGATGACTGCATCTCGCCTACCTAGAATCAAAAGCTAGCGCCGGCTCACCGGGAATCCTACAATGGGGTAAACGTCTACTGCAAAGAAAAAAGCATCCACTTCCTTTTTCTCGGAGGCATTCAAGGCGAATTTCCGTTCAATGGGTAATTAGAGAAAACGCAGATCACGATTGGAACAATAATCCATCGGGGGTGCATGCCGGGTCTTAGAAGCCTCAACATAGTGATGCATCGACCCGAGTCGAAGCTTTCTCATCCGTGCCTTGTATATCGAATTCACGACTATGCCAGGATAGCAAGAGCCAGCAAGTCACAGTCTTTGCGACTTCAGGGGGGGCAAGGCTCTACAGAATCCAGGCCTGCCTCGAGCGTGTATATATATACCAACATTCCTCGTGTTTCTAACTCATCATCCTGCACATCCACTCCACAATCTACAACAACCTTCACACTCTTTTACCCAGCTTTGCTTACCGCAGTCATTCATTGTCAACGACTTTAATAACTACTACCACTTCTTCCTTAATCCAAAATAACAACCAACCAGCCAAAATGAAGTACGCTTTCATCTTCGTTGCCACCGCAGCAGCCTACGATTACGGATACGGCGACGCCAAGCACCAGGCCGACTCAACTCCTACTCCCACTCCCAAGCACACTCCTACTCCTACGCCTACCCCCGAGCTCGCCGGATACCCCACCATTGATCCCGGCTATGGCGCGCCTCCCGTGACGGTGACCCGACAGAACCAGCCGTACCCAAGCTGCGCATCTGCTGCCCCCGGTGGCCACGGCTGCGCCAAGTGGGAGAAGGGCACCTTTGTCTCGACCGTCATTCGCGACTGTGACAACAACTATGTTACTGTAACAAACACCGACCAGACTATTACCATCTCACGCACCAGGACCGTCATCAAGCATACTCCCACCCCTGAAGTCGGACATGGTGCCCCGTACGGAGCGCCCAACGGCGGCCATGCCGCGCCTACTGGTGGACACGCTGTGCCCACTGGCGGCCATGCTGCTCCTTCAGGTGGAAATGGTGCTCCCTCAGGTGGACATGGTGCTCCCGTGGGCGGATATGGTGCTCCCAACGGCGGACATGGTACTCCTACCGGCGGCCATGCCGCGCCCACAGGTGGACATGGTGCTCCTTCAGGTGGAAATGGTGCTCCCGCAGGCGGACATGCTGCTCCCACAGGCGGCCATGCTGCTCCCACAGGCGGCGCCCACAACGAAGACCCTGCAGGCACATGGTACGAGCTGTACGAGAAGACTGAGGAGGCCAAGTACAAGGACCTGGGACCCCACGCTCTCCCTGGATACGGTGGCTCTGGTCTCTGCGACGAAGGCGAAACCAAGCAGTCTGTTCACGTCAAGGAACTCAAGGACGGAAAGACTCACGAATACAACCGTACGCACTACTACCGCGGAAGCACCAAGCCAAAGGGCCATGGCGAATCTAAGCCAGAGGGTCATGCTTCCAAGCCTGAAGAACCCGCTGCCTCCAAGCCAAAAGAGCCTGTTCCATCCAAGGCAGCCAAGTCGGCTGTCCCCACGCCAAAAGCCTCCAAGGGAGCCTCCAAGACCACTGATTTCATGGGCCTTCCCCTCGGCGGCCTGGTCCCCGGTGCAGCAGTTCCGGAGCCCGCAGCCGCCAGCGAGACGCCCAAGGTTGGTGGCGATGCTAAGAAGCCTGTAGCCGAAGAGTCCGAGGAGACCAAGACTGAGAAGTCGGATAAGACTGAGAAGGAGAACAAGTCTGAAGATGACGACGAGGAGAAGTCCCCAGCTTCAGCCGAAGAGGAGATTGTGTCGGACGATAACTCCCCGCTCGACAGTGTCCCCTTCCTTTCCGACTTTTTCGGCTCGAGCGACAAGGAGTCTATGAAGCCTGAGTCCTCTGAGGAGAAGCCTGTCGAGTCCTCTGAGGAGACTTCCGAGTCCACCGAGGAGCCTGCCACTCAAGAGCCCGAGGCATCCAACGAGGTGGCTGAGCCCGAGGAGCCTCTCGCCAAGAAATCAAACTGGGCCGGCTACGCTTCTGACTTCAGCACCTAGTAAATCCTCGTACATCTAGTTACTGTAAGACCCCCGAGTCTGACACGTCCACGAGCAAGCACAGATCCATGTACATGGATAAAGTGGAATAGGGGGGCGCATATGTCAAGGTGCAAGCGCGCAAGCAAGCCATCTACCAAGTAAGCAAAATACCATCTAGGCTGATATAGACACACACATACACACAACGCGCAATACACATGCAATTTTCCCTTTTTTACCTCATCTCCTTTTCCAGTCCTCATGTATCTTTCTTCTTCTTCTTCTAGCCTCTCATTCAGCACTCTTTGCATCTCATTCCTTTTCCTTTTCCGACTCTCGTTTTTTTATCTCTCATTTTTTCTGATGTCTTGATGGTTCCACTCATGTATATACGCTTTGGCATGTCTTTCGTTGAGAGTTGTTCGAAAAAAAGAAATTTAGAATATAGAATATAGACGAATAGAAAATTCAATATGGAAAATGTGCTGATAGAATGTGTGTGTGAGAAGGTAGTAGTAGTAGTAGTAGTAGTAGTAGTAGTAGTAGTAATAGCACTTAAACAAACAAACAAACAAAACTCAATCTCAACCCCAAACAAAACCCAGGCATTAAAAACGACAAATCTCTTCCCCTGATACAATACGACACCTTTCCCACCCACCCCCCCCCCTTTTTTTTTAATCTATCTCATTAGTGCCATGAAAGTCTATACACTGTATACACACTCCCTGTAGCAACTCGACCTCTAACCCCAACTAAACAAGATTATTTACAAAAAGATAGGCGAACGCAAAAAAAAAAGATAAAAGAAAATAACACGCCTTCTTCTGAGTCTCCGCTTTACTAAACTCTAACCTAAGGCGATTGAATTGAATTGACTGATTCATCTGAAAATACACATATACACACACACATACATATACACACACACATACATATACACACACACATACATACAAACATACATAATAATTATACATAGCACAGACTATAAATACACAACAGACATGTAGATATAGACTATCTAATAGTTTGAAATAAAAGGGGTTTTTTTTCGATTTGTTAGTTGTATCTGAACGAAATAAAAAAAACATTAGATTTTATATACAAAACAAACATGTACTAAAAACACGTTGAAAGTGTGATAAGAGAGGGAAATGGGGGGAAAAGAGGTAGGTGCATAGGTAGGTAGGTAGATACTGTGTAGCGAGTAGTTTCTCACCAAGTGACTGACTAATCAACTGACTGACTGACTAACTGACTGACTGACTGACTGACTGACTGACTGACTGACTAGATATGTGTATGTATATGTATGTGTGTATGCAATAATATAATCCTCTCCTACTTTTTTTTTCTCTTTCACTCATGTACTAAAAAAAAAGAAAAAAAGAAGAAAAAAAGAAAAAAAATACACAGTTTATCATAGCCACAATGGATACCAATTAGACTCAAAGACCATCATCAAAATATCACTTCAAAGCCGCCTCTCCGCACCCATTTCCCATACCCCATTTCCCATACCCCAAACTCATCCATCCCCCTCCCCCATATCCACATCCCCTTATTTCCCCATAGTCTTCAAATACGCCTCCCAGCCATCCTCCAACAATACTCGATCCTTCCTCAGAACCTCATGTTCATTCCCTTCCATCCACAAGCGCAGCCGCTCACGAATGGCGTAGTCATGAGCACCCAGAATGCGGATTGCAAGCAGCGCAGCGTTGGTGGAATTGTTGATGCCGACGGTGGCTACGGGCTCGCCGCGCGGCATCTGCGTCATGCTGACGAGCGAGTCCCAGCCGTCCATGACGCTGGCTTTGACGGGCAGCCCGATGACGGGGAGCGTGGTCCACGAGGCGCACATGCCGGGGAGATGGGCTGCGCCGCCTGCAGCACCAATGATGACTTTGAGCGACGTCTGAGCGGCGTTCTTGGAGAACTCGCGGAGCCAGTCGGGCGTGCGGTGCGCAGACGTGATGCGTGTGGTAAAGGGGATTTGGAGTTTGGTTAGGATCTCGAGGCCTGCGCGGCAGACGGGGAGATCCGAGTCGGAGCCCATGATTACGGCGACGAGAGGCTCTTCTTTGGTGGTTTCGGGGTTCCGCGGTTCGACCGTCTTGCCTTTTTGCGCGTCGACAAAGTCAATGAGGGGTTGGATCTCGCGCTCGGCGGCGGCGAGCGTGGGCGCCGTCAGCGTAATGTGACCCATCTTACGACCCGGGCGAGCGTCTCCTTTGCCATAGAGATGGACTGAGGCGTTGATGGACTCAATCGCCTTCTTGGCTACTTGGATGTGCGAGTCTGGTGTCTTGCCGCCGAGAATGTTGAGCATGATTGCGGGTTCGCGGAGGCGGAGGCTGGATTCCAAGATGGGGATGTCGAGGATAGCGCGGAGGTGGGCATCGTACTGGGAGATGGGACAGGCCTCGATGGTGTAGTGACCCGAGTTGTGTGGACGAGGCGCAATCTCGTTGATGAGGAGGCTGTCGTCTTTGAGCAGGAACATCTCGACGCCAAAGACACCCTTTCCTTCAAAAGCGCCAATGGCCTTCTTCGCCAGGTCCTGGGCCTGCTGTGCAATCTTGGCGGATACATTTCGTGGCGGCGCATATGTGAGCTTGCAGATGCTGTCCTCGTGCACAGTCTCCACGGTAGGGAATGTGAGCACGCCGTCCTTGGTCTTGACAACCATGACCGCAAGCTCCATGCGAAAGTCTGCCCATCGCTCAGCGTACAGCGGTCGCTTGCCTAGTGCCTCGAATGCTGCATCGACATCTGCCTCGCTCTTGACGACAAAATTACCCTTGCCATCGTACGCCTCCGTCTTGCTCTTGAGCATGAAGGGATAGCCATACGACGCCCCCACTTCTTTCAGTCCTTCAACTTCCTTGCCCTCAAGATCGATACTGTCGGCGACACCAACTCCATGCTCTTTCAGGTACTGCTTCTGCGCATATTTGTCCTTGATAGTCCGGAGAGTCTTCCAGCTCGGCTCAACAACGACTTGTCCCGCAACCTGCTCCAGCATGTGGGTATCCACGTGCTCGATTTCGACGGTGACGACATCGGAGGATTGGGCCAGTTGCTTTACGGCGGCTGCATCCTTGAAAGAGCCCTCAATGTGTCCATTGTGTGCTGAGATTTGCTTGGCTGGCGTTGCTGCTGCGTCTAGTACGTTGACTTGGATGTTCAAGCGATTCGCGGCTTCAATCAGCATGCGACCGAGTTGGCCGCCGCCCAATACACCGACCTTGCGAGTGTCGTACATTTTTGCGGATATGGTTGCAGATCAAGTCACTGCTGTATGGCAGTGACTGGTTTTGTAGATGTTCAATTGGAGTCACTTATGCGGTAGTGACTAGGTTAGGATATTACGTGGGTGAGGGAGACTAGCGCGATGGTTGGTTGAATGTGGGGGAGCCGCAAGAAAATTTGTCGTAAAAAGCCCGCCGTCAAGTGAGAAGATCCTGGGTTACCAGATGCGGAAAAACAGTCCTGCAAAGGCGGCGGATTACTACAGAAGCACCGCGTCACAGCAGATGAGAATGGTCATGAGAATGGTCATGTCAAGAGCGTTTTGTTGCAGCCTTTTGAATACCCAACATTCGCCGATTTCGAGGAACCGTCTTCTCCAACCATCGAGGTATCCGCCAATGAATACTTTCTGTTGCTTCTATATCATTGGAATGAAAGTGAACAATCCAAGTCACAGTCACAACAAATATACTTCACGAATCAAAAATGAGATTTCATGGTGGACCCTGAGCCCCAAGAGCCCATTTGTATGCTTCATTTCATGTTGAGCATCGAGTATCTTTTTGCAGGCCTTCAAAGAGCCATTGCTAGTCATGATGCACGCCTCGTAAGTGAATTCCCATGACCGTGACCACGCCAAACCAGAGAAACCGAACCACTTGTAGCACAAGCTTAGACCTTGAAACCACGCGACCTTCTGCGTCCACGGGCACGCTCGAACTTGCGGCCCTTGCTCTCGACGTAGGGCTTCTTTCCAGAGTGGGGACCGAAGCCAAAGTGCTTGAAAGCCTCACGCGAGTTCTTGGGTCCGCGGAGGAGGAGGGTGTTGGCTCCGGTGGGGGAGCGGGTAGCGACCTCGTCAATGGTGAGGCACTCACCACCAGCCTTCTCGATGCGAGCGCGAGCCGAGGCAGTGAAGCGGAGAGCCGCAACCGAGAGCTTGGGGAGCTCGAGCATGCGGTTGTCGTCAGTGACGGTGCCGACCTGGTCCTGTTAGCCATTCGCCTGCAGTCTTGTATTCGGGCGCCGTACAATGACGATGGTCTTGCCCTCGTGGGTCTTGGCGGTGTTCTTGTTGGCCGCGATGGAGACAATCTTGGAGAGGGAGACGGGCTATCGCGTGTCAGTTGCGCTGTTTGCTAAGAATCCGTATCGTCGGCGGCTTACGGGACGGTTGGTCTTGGACATCATGAGGCGGCGCAGAACCGTCTTGTTGAAGGGGGCATCGGTGCGGCCTGTGGGCAGTTAGCACAGATTATGGGCGGAATTCCAGTGCGACAACTTACGAGCCAGGAACTTGTACAGACGCACCAACAGCTTGACGTAGGGGTTGGTGGACTTGGGGACCTCTGTGCACTCGTCAATCTCTCTCCTCTCGAAGGCTCATGTTGCGTCTAAAGACAGCTATCGCCAGCGCATTGCTGCGCCGACTCGACGGGGGAATCACATACTGCGGTGCCCGTCTCGAACATGGTGGCGGTCGAGGTCAATTCCCATCTTGACTGATTTTGAGCGTGTTGTGCTGGGGGTTAGTAACGACTGGGAGAGAGAAGTTGTCAATCAGAAGAAATTGCGAAATAGCCCAGCTTGGCGTGGTGTGGCCCGTGCGAAGCGAGGAAATCGCAACTCCACTTGCGCGCCTCGCCGCCACGGCGAAGCAGATGCACCAGACTGGTCGCTAGCGCTGCGCCGCCGTCTCGGCTCGCTGCGCCGACGGTGGAAAGAAACCTGTGCAGCGCATCCACATCTTTGGTCTGGTCGCATGTGAGTGCTCATCTCATCACATAGCGTCGCACGTTGCTTCACAAGCATTACCATTATGTAGCTAGAAAGTATGTATCTTCCGCTCGCAGTCGCTGTGAATGCCTGCAAGGTCTATATATGACAAAAACCGTGTCACTTCGTTTCCCCGTCATTGTTCCCCGACAAGTGTGCCCAGGGTTGCATCCTGAATCAAGAGCTTCTCAAAGCAGGCTCCCTCGGGTTGAGAGAGGCCCGCTGGTCTATGCGTATAACGTGAATCCCGTACATGTGAGGCTTACTCCAAACAACAATAAAAAGACAAAGAAGAACAAAGGCGCGAGATGCTGGCGCAGACTTGATCGATTGGGCTCGCTTCATGTTGCAAAATAGTATTCGCTGGCTGGGGACACGGGGCGCTTTATACAGCCTTGTCGCCAATGAGCTTGCCAATACCGTTATAGACCTGGTTGGTCGAGTCGGGAGCGTAGCGTGGTCCGAGGGAACCCAGAATGAAGAACATGGAAATGATGACGGCGGTGAATACCATGAGCTTGCGGAGCACAGGCCTGCTGTGGCCAAGCTCCTGCCACTTCATGCTACCCTGGCCAAGGTACTCCTTGAGCTTCTCTCCACCCAGCTTGTAGTAGACAAGACCGCCGAGCGCGATGGAGTAACCAAAGGCCTGGAGGAGGGTGACGGGGTCCTTGAAGAGGAACATGGACGCGAAGACAAGGAGAATGTCCTTGAGCACACCGGAAAGCGTGAGGACGAGCGAAGAGGTCCTGCCAATCTACGAATTGTAAGCAGGTGCTGGAGAAGAGGAGGAAATCAGACATACCAGGAAGACGACCGAGACGTTGAGCAAGAAGGCGACGGATGCGTTGGCGAACAGGGTGAAAAGGCCGACGCGGTCCACATCAGCCATGGTCATGGCAGGAAGCTCAGTGAAGATCAAAATGCAGCCGTTGATGACGGCGCACGCGGGGGCGTAGTAGTAGAGCGAGACGAGGGGGTCCATCTTGAAGTCGGCGCCGCTGAGCAGACGCTGAACCATGACCAAGCGGATAGCCTCGAAAGCGATACCGGCGCACTGGAACAGGAAACCGACCATGACGAATTGGATCTCACCCATCGAGGCAATGACGACACCAATGACAATGAACGACACGTTCCCGAGCGTCTTGAAGTTGACGGGCGAGACACCCAGGACCCAGGTGGTGATGAGGACAGCGACAGGCATGGTGGCCTTGGAAAAAAAAAGTCAGCATATTCCTGTTTCGCCGGCGCAGCGCTCTCAACGTACCTTGAGCATCTGGATAAAGGCCACACTGAGGTATAGATATGCCTGGTTACCGCAGATCAAACTCATGCTGAAGAAGATGCCGATGGGGACAATGGCTCGGAGGTAGACGCGGCCCGTCATGGGCACCTTCTTCCTGGAGTCGAGGACGGAGGTGAAGCGGGCGAGGATCTGGGTCATGACGGTGGCGAAAATGAGATGCCATGTTGTGAGGAAGATTGGGAAGTCTGAGCGTCTCTGTCAGTATGCGCTTCTTCATGGGCGAGCTGAGGGTAGACGCACGAAATTTGGCCGTGTCGAGGATGTACTTGTTGAAGACGATTGTGCTGGAACTCAGGGCGATCCAGGTGCTGCAGGGCGATTAGCTTGGTTGCTTGCATGGGGGGGCGAAGAGCAGGGTGTGGTGTTGACGTACGCAATGTAGACAGAAGGATGGAAGGAAGACGACTCGGGAGCCGACTTCTGGGCATCAGGGTTCACCGTGGGGAGGACAGGCTGCGCCGTGTCGCGAGAGGCGTCGACCGACGACCTCACCTTCTCGTCTTGAGACATTGCTGGGGGGGGGGAAAGGGTGGAGGCTAACGAGAGACTGTGGATAAGGAGGCAGTGGGCGAAGGAGAAAAAGAGAGAGAGAGAGAAAGTCGAGTTGGTGGTGAAGATGCAGGGAGAGGCTGCGGCGACGGACTGGTTTGGCGGGCGAGGGCGCTTCTGGACTAGCGGCGTTGCTGACTGATGAGGCGGTGGTTGCGCGTCCAAAGGCAAAGTGAAACCTCACGGGCGCGGCACAAGCGAGGGACGGGGCTTGTCAGGAGAGGAGCGAGGGTGGGAGGATCGTGTGGTATGGAGATGGGCAAGGTGCGGCGATGGGGGGGTGGCAGCGCTAGCGACGAGAGGGGCGGAGCGGAAGTCAGGCAGAGGGCGTTGGCGTGGTAGTGGGAGTGGGAGTGCGTGGGAGAGCGTGATGGGGAGTGGGCGTGGTAGGGCCGGGGGCACAGGGGGTGTGGGGACATGCACATGTGCAGTAAGGGCAAGGTGCGAGCGCCTACTGGGCCACGGCCATGGATCCATCTATGTATGTGAGGCAGCATGACGAGTGACGGCGACAGCGACGACGCGTGAAACCGATGTGCTGTGGAGCCGCGAGTGCGGACGCGCAATCACAATGGGCGCTTCTGCAGAGGTGTGCGATGGCGCCGAAATTGGGAGCCGCGCCCAGCAGGCTGCTTGGTGTGAAGGCGTACGCGTACCTACCGCCAGCTATCGACGTGCTATTGCCCTGGGTCCCACGGCCGCCTTGTCTGTGGCTCTGCCGTGGCCCGCCGTGCTCCAGGTACAGTGCTGGGCCACGCAGGCTCGACATTCCAGTACATTGCGCGAGACGGGCCCCCCATGGCGGAGGCGGAGGCGGGAGGCGAGAGGCGAGAGGCGGGAGGCGAGAGAGGCAAAGGCCTGAGGCGCGGCGTAGAATAGGGGGGGCGGGCGTGTCTGTATTTGGCACAGGCGTCATTGCACCGTCGCACTAGCACGACACGCAGCCTGGCAGACTGCTGCGAGACTACAGTGTTGATCGCAGCAGCACCACGCTGTACCACGGGCCGCCAGCGAGCGTCTTTTGACTGTGACTGACTGCACTGTGTGCTGACCTGGCCTGACACTGACGCTCCGCCCGCCGCGGGGACGTGCAGGAGGGAACGCGACACAGCAGCGGTGCGGTGCTGCTCCACAGCGACAACGGTTGCTACCACTACCGCTACCACTACCACTACCACCACCACTGCTACTACAAGACCTACTTTGGCCTGCTCTGCGTCCTGCGCCCCCCGCCAGCCAATGGATGCGCCCACGAGCTGCCACTGCCCACTGCCCACTGCCCACTGCACCCACGGCGCCTCCTCCCCCCATGACGCGCTGCCCCTTTTCCCTGCCACTGCCCTATGCCTCTGTCGCCTTTTTGGTGCCCCCCCAGACGCGCGCGGGCGTCGACTGGCTGGCCCCTCCACCCTCTACCCTGGCCCACTTTTAACAGCATCGCCCTTGGCATTCTTCGTCTATCTCTAGCTATATTCCTCCACCACGCCGCCCCAACTGTCGCCCGCCCGCCCACTGCTCCACCCTCCCTCACTCCTACATGCTCAACTTTGCCCGCCAGACCCTCAAGCGTGTTCCAAGTTTCCAAGAAATCCTGCAGGGCACCATGGGTTCCGCCAAGGAAGAAATGTACGTTCACCGCCTGCTTGCACAAGGAAAGAGAGAGAAACAGAGAGCTTGCCCTGACCACCCGCTGCAGTTCTGTCGACGTGCTCGTCATTGGCGCTGGTCCAACTGGACTCGGTGCCGCCAAGCGCCTCAATCAAATTGTACGTCTGCTCCCCCCCCCCCATGGCACGCTGCCTGCCCAGCTGCTCATGTCAACTGACAACCCCCCCCCCCCCCAGGATGGTCCCTCGTGGATGATCGTCGACGCCAACGAAACACCCGGTGGTCTTGCTTCGACAGACACGACTCCCGAAGGCTTCGTGAGTGCCCCAGGCGCCAATTGGTCCCTCTTGTCTAACCACGCCCCAGCTCTACGACGTCGGCGGCCATGTCATCTTTTCCCACTACAAGTACTTTGACGACTGCATCGACGAGGCCCTGCCCAACGACGACGACTGGTTCACCCACCAGCGCATCTCGTACGTCCGCTGCAAGGGCCAATGGGTCCCCTACCCCTTCCAAAACAACCTGTCTATGCTGGGCAAGGACGACCAGGCACGCTGCATGGACGGCCTGATTGACGCCGCCCTCGAGTCCCGCGTGGCAAACACCAAGCCAAAGGACTTTGACGAGTGGATCCTCCGCCAGCTGGGTGTTGGCATTGCCGACCTCTTCATGCGCCCATACAACTTCAAGGTCTGGGCCGTCCCTACCACCAAGATGCAGTGCGAGTGGCTCGGCGAGCGTGTTGCTGCGCCCAATGTCAAGGGTGTCATGTACAACATCATCCACAACAAGACGGCCGGAAACTGGGGTCCCAACGCCACGTTCCGCTTCCCCGCACGAGACGGTACCGGTGGAATTTGGATCGCCGTCGCCAAGACGCTCCCAGAGTCCAAGACACGGTACGGCGAACACAGCAAGGTGACCAAGGTCGACGCCGACGGCCACAAGGTACATCTCCAGGACGGCACCGTCGTCAATTACAAGAAGCTCATCAACACCATGGCCGTTGACGCGCTCGTCGAGACCATGGGCGACAAGAAGCTCATCGACCTCAGCAAGGGTCTCTTCTACTCCACCACGCACGTCATTGGTGTTGGTCTGCGTGGTGAGCGCCCTGAACGCATCGGTGACAAGTGCTGGCTGTACTTCCCCGAAGACGACTGCCCCTTCTACCGCGCCACCATCTTCTCCAACTACTCGCCATACAACCAGCCGCAAAAGGACGTCAAGCTCGCCACGCAGCAGATGGCCAATGGCTCCAAGCCCAGCTCCACCGAGCCCAAGGAGGGACCCTACTGGTCTATCATGCTCGAGGTGTCCGAGTCGAGCATGAAGCCTGTTGACCAGGCGAACCTGCTCAAGGACTGCATTCAGGGTCTGATCAACACTGAGATGATCAAGCCCGACGACGAGATTGTCTCGACCTACCACCGCCGCTTCGACCACGGATACCCCACTCCTTCGCTCGAGCGTGAGGGTGTCCTCAAGGAGCTGCTTCCCGCCCTACAGACCAAGGACATTCTGTCCCGTGGTCGCTTCGGCTCATGGCGCTACGAGGTTGGTAACCAGGACCACTCGTTCATGCTGGGTGTCGAGGCGGTTGACCACGTTGTCCACGGTGCCGTTGAGCTAACGCTCAACTACCCCGACTTTGTCAACGGCCGCAAAAACGAAGAGCGTCGTTTGGTGGACGGTGCTCAGATTTTTGCCAAGACGCCTCTTGCTCTGAGGAACAAGGGTGTTGACTAGACGCATGTTGAGCATGTTATAGATTTTGAGAAATGTTTATGGTATACCACACTTGTTTTACGAAAGGAAGGGCATGGACTAGGGCGTTGGCGCTACGCATGCATGGAAAGGCTAGTAGATTATCGTTGCCTTTGCGAAGATTAGTTGTTGGCAATGAGAATAGACACTGTCTTGCGCATATCAAGCGTTTCTACCTGTCACACATTGTAATCTGTTTGCTCCACCTACTCATGTTCAGTTCCATGTCCACAACAACCTCCTCCGATCATTGCCCTGAAACTGAACATTCATCACGCCCTACTACGAAAACAATGCTCCACCAGTAATTTTAGAAGAAAAATATGTATGTATGTATACGTAGCAATCGAAACATCATCATTCTGTTCGTCCTTTGCTATATCCGTACCACCACCACCACCAACACGAAAATAAAAACAAACAAAAAAACATCCTCTCCCCCCCCCCGTTTCCTCATTCCCAACCCATCACAACACCAACACCAACACCAATAACGCTAATAATAATAATAATAAAAGACAACAATAACAAATGCACGAGTCACGCACGGCTGATAGCCAGATAACCAGAGAGCCAGATAGGCGGAATAGAGAAATTAGGTAGGTAGATAGATAGATCGACCATCTCCTATCTACATACTATCTACTATTCTATGCTGTATAACATGGCTAGGTGTATGTATATTAGACAAGGGGGCAGGAAATTAAAAGGCGCAATGGTATAGTTATGCTGTTTGACGGACGGGAATTATCGTAATGAAGATGGGTTGTCTTGGCAATTTTAAAATTGGGTGGGGTGGGGAGTGGGGGATTTTAAAATTGCGCGTGGCGGGAGAGAGTTGGTTACTATCATCCGTTGTGTGTGGGGGTGTTTGATAGTGTCGGTGGTATTATTACAATTTTCGGGCGCGTTTGAGCTACAACATCCATGTATCCATCCATGTATTAGGTACATAGGTACATGGACAAATAGACAAGTAAATAGCATACCCGCAGCACCCACCACATGCACTGCGGGAATTCCTAACAATAACAATAACAACAACCTCTCCTCCTCTACAAAAAGATACATACACACCACACAGTCCCAAGCTCAATCGCGTCCATGTCAGTCATGAGTATGCATCGCATCACATTACATGCATGACTAATATCGCGCGCCCGCGCGGAGGCTACAAGTGGCTAAGAGGCTACAAGTGGCTAAGAGGCTACAAGTGGCTAAGAGGCTACAAGTGGCTAAGAGGCTACTTAGAGGCTAAGAGGCTACTTGGAGGCTGAAAGGCTAAAACACCTCGGCTATTCAAGCTGTCATGGCGGAATGCATCGAGGCGCGAAAACGGATAATAATGATAATCATAATGAGATTGGGATTGGGGAATGGGCATGGGGATAGGGATAGTGATGACGTTGGAACGGGACTGAGAAGAAGAAGAAGAAGAAGAAGAAGAATAACTACTATGGATTAGGTCTAAGTAGCGGTGCTGGTGTACCACGGATCTGTTTTTTTTTGTTTTATCTTAGCAATACTTAGCATAACATACAGTAGCATAGCATAGCATAGCATGCACTTGGCGTTTTCCCAATATCTGTTTATCCTATTTTTTTTTCTTCTTTTATCTCCCTTGCATTCTCGTCTCCAGATCGGAAGTTGGCTACATGTAAGTAAGTAAGTACGTAGCCATCGAGGGACATGGGGGACAGATGACGAGTTACGCCGAGTCCCCTGTTTTTTTCTTCGGTGCTATTCTATATACATACTTCGTCATGGACATGACTAAGGGCAACTATGTTTTTTTTTTAAAAAAAAATGGGGGGAGGAGGGAAATGTTGAGGCCGATGATCATTTCTCTTCATTGCCCACCGGCCTTATAAGCGGCTGCGCGGGGGGTTTTTTTTTTGTCTTGTTGGTCATGTACGTATGTGCTGATGTGTTACGCGTACATTTCTTTTTTGTTGAGTTTTTTTTTGGAGGGGCTCCGCGGGTGGGAGATCAAGTGGAAATGATGCGACGTAGATGCGGTGAGTGAGTAAGTTACTTGTAACGCACGTTTGTGAATGTAGGTAGGGATGGATGGACATGATTTGGGTGGAGCAAGGAAGGTGGGACGAGCGGCATGCTAGGATGGGTGGTGTGGCATTTTTTCTTGCATGTCGAGGAAACCACTAGTTTGGGTACTTTGTTTATTTTCTTTTTTTCGGCATGTCTTTGCGACACTTGGATAACTGTACATGTAATGTAACGGCCGGGATCCGGCTTCCTGTCTTGTCATTGTATCGCAATGGTACTACCGACATGCGACCGTGTAAGGATGGACAATGGCAGTACCCGTGTCTATGCCTTGCTCGCTCGAAACTTCCTCAATACTTCCCGCTCTTCTTCGTTCTGTGCAATGCTCTCGTCGTCCCCAACGGGTACGCGCTGGTGTTTCCACTGCTTGCCGCCAGCACCGTACTCGGCACTCACCTGCGCGTCACCTACAATGACCCACTTGTAAATAGTCAAACCCTCGAGCCCCACAGGCCCCCGCGAGTGGATCTTGTTGGTGCTGATGCCAACTTCAGTGCCAAATCCATATCTTTGCCCGTCAGCCATGCGGGTCGACGTGTTCCAGTACACGCTCGAGGAATCCACGGCTGCGAGGAAAGTCTTGGCAGTGGGCTCCGAGGTGGTCAGGATAGCATCGGTATGGTGAGATCCGTGCGTGTTGATGTGCGAAATGGCTTCTTCAACATTTGCGACGGTCTTGATGGCGAGGATGTAGTCCAAGAACTCGGTATCGTAGTCTTCCGGGCCGCATTCTTGCAGCAGCGCTGCAGAGTGCGGATCCAGCTTCCCTTTCAGTGCGAGCAGAGAGGTGCTGTCGCATCGCAGCGAGACACCTTTTTGGAGAAGCGCCTCTGCAACAGTGGGCAGACTGGAGGTGAGGGCCGATTCCTCGACGAGAAGTTGTTCCAGTGCGTTGCAACCAGCCGGGTAGCTTGTTTTTGCGTCGAGAATGATCTTGGTAGCCTTGTCCGCAGGGTAGTCGGCACATAGGTAGGTTGCACATATGCCGTCTGCGTGCCCGAGGACTGGAATGGTGGTTGTGTCTTTGACGTAGCGGACGAGTTTGTTGCCGCCACGGGGAATGCACAGGTCGATATAGGTATCCTGCTTGAGGAGGTCGGCAATGACATCGTGAGTCTGGACTAGCTGGAGACAGTCGGATGGTACTGCGGTTGAGGCCAGGGCTCGGGAGATGATGGACGCGATTGCTGCGAAGCTGTTGCTCGATTCACGGCCGCCCTTGAGAATGGCAGCGTTCCCGGACTTGATGGCAAGGGCAGAGATGTTGGCAATGACTTCGGGCCGGGCCTCAAATATGATGAGCAGCACGCCAATGGGACACGTGATGCGCGACAGGACCAGGTTGTCGTCGAGCAGCGTCTTTGCCGTCGTCTTGTTGATGGGATCTTCCAAGTCCCGCACGTCCAATATTCCCTGCAGCATATCCTCGTACTTGCCCGGCTTCCCCAGATCCAGCCTCTTTACCAGACTGGCACTTAGCGTGCCTCCTGCGGCGGCCTTGTTGGCGGACTCGAGGTCCTGGACATTGGCGGCCAGCACTTGATCCTTGGCCTCTGCTAGCGCATGGTGAATGGCCGTGAGGGCTTGGTTGCGCTCGTCGGTGGACAAGACGGCCAGCTTCCGGGATCCGAGGCGGGCAGCCTGGGCGACCTCGAGCGGTGTGGCGTTGGTGAGCGACATTTTTCTTTTCCTTCGGAGGTGCTGGGTCAGGTGGTGGTGAGACCTGGAGAAATCGATAAAGTCGAGAGGACGCGTGACTCAGAACGGCAGGCCGAACGAGGGGCAGCAGTACTCGGGATGGGTATGCAGGGTCTATCTCGGCCAATGGGTCGTAGGATGGTGGCGGCAGATGAGATGTGCCGCTGCGATAGTGCCCAAAAAAAGACACAAGGTTCGTCGTGGTGGTGGGTTGGGCTGGATGCAGTGTACTGTAGATGGACGCAAGGCGCCACACCCACATGCGGGCAGGGATGTGCTCCTCACGCTACGCCACCATCCCGGCCGGCCAGTCCAGACTATATTGCTCGCCAGTCCAGAAGCCTCGCATGCAAGCAGGAAGTAAGCCTTTCGGGGCTTCGTCATAGCCCGGGGCCCGTCTGCTGCGCACTCAGATTGCGCGTTGCCAGCAGCCAGTGGCCGTCGAGTGCCGTATTGGGGCTTGGTGTGGCTGGGGCGCCTACCAACCACCTCGGCCTCGTCCTGCCAACCTCGCCCAATTTCACCCACTCTCGTATCGCTCCCTCCCCGCCCTGTCGCACTACCCTGGCCTCTCCGACAGCTCATACGTAGGTCCTTGCTCCGAGATGGCTGGGAATCTACAAAAGCTGCAGAGCCGCCAGCTGCAGGCCTGTCATCATTACTCATTGTTACCCAACTGCCTCTCAAGTGCTGAGAAGGTATCCTGCCACCCTCGACCCTGGTCACGATACTCACGTGTTCGCGTACCAGTACTCGTTGATTACCCCAGCATCATTCCAACTTGACGGCGAGCGACTGCATCCGCCTTCCCACGACGCTCGCTACCGCCCTGCGCCCTCACCGAGATGCGCTCCACCGTTAGGGCCCTGGCTGCTCTAGCCTCGGCAGCCCTCTACGTGCCCTCGGTAGCCCAAACATGGTCCAACTGCAACCCAATCTTACGAACCAACTGTCCTCCGGATTCCGCGCTAGGAAAGACCGTCAACATCGACTTCTCTTCCGAATCCTCGAGTTTCACCCCCCAAGGCAACCCAACATACGGCTCCGATGGCGTCTCGTTTACCATAGCAAAGTCTGGCGATTCCCCCCAGCTTACTTCGCTGTGGTACATCATGTTCGGCAGGGTCGACATTGAAGTCCGCGCTGCACCGGGCGCGGGCATTGTTAGTAGCTTTGTCTTGCAATCCGACACTCTGGACGAGATCGACTGGGAATGGCTCGGCGCAGATCCAGACGAAGTGCAAACCAACTACTTTGGAAAAGGCCAGACTACCGACTACAACCGCGGTGCTTTCCATTCAGACCCGGGCAGCCAGACGCAGTTCAAGAAGTACACAATCGAATGGACACCCGAGCAAATTGTGTGGCAGATTGATGGCGTAACCGTTCGCACTCTGGAGCCCGCCAACGCCAACAACCAGTACCCTCAAACACCCATGCAGGTCAAGTTCGGCGCATGGAGTGGTGGCGACCCATCCAACTCTGCAGGTACTATCTCCTGGGCTCGCGGTCCTACCGACTACTCCAAGGGTCCCTTCACTATGAAGGTCAAGTCCCTCCGGGTCCAGGACTACTCCACTGGCAAGCAGTACGTCTATGGCGATCAATCCGGCACTTGGAAGTCGATCCGATCTGTTGGAGGCACCATCTTTGCAGGCGGCAATGCTCCAATCGCAGATGCGCCTGCAATCACCGCCACCGCGAATGGAGCGCCTCTGCCTTTCACTCCTCATCAGACGTCCAACTACCAACGTCCGAGCGTCTACCCGTGGATCCCTGATCCATCGGCAACTCCTACCGCGCAACCTACTTTTGCCAATTACCCCGGGCTTCCGAGTGGGTGGACCGTTTCTGACTCCGGAAAGGTTATTCCACCCAGCTCAGCCACTGTCAGTAAGCCTTTGATAAGCCCCTGTCTGTTGTCTCGGGCCTATGCTAACGTTATTTTGCAGATGTCCCCTCTCGCTTCGTCTACCTCATCGCCGCAAGCTTCGCTTACGGCCTCTTCTGGCGATGGGCCTAAGACTGAGTTTAGCTCGGATGACCATAGCTTCAGCACAATTCACACAACCCGTGCCCCGCTCACAACATCACCCACACGCACCAGGGTACAGGGCAATGCTGCAACCTCCATCCCCATTGCCCCTGCTGCAGCATCACTATCTTGGAAACTCATAGTCTCGAGCATACTGCCCTGGACCATTCTCGCCCTTCACATCCCCGGCTGCCTCGGCTTCTAGGCGGGTTGGGCTGCCCTATGGGCTCAAGTGGACTTCGGACCAGCGTTCTCCGTCCTAGGCGCTGGTATCGTCGCGATGTTGTTATGGCACATGAAACTTTTAACGAGTGGATACTTTGGCTTCAAGATTACCATCAAGTTATGGGCTGCCCCTTGGCCCGACGCCAGCTGGAAATGGAACTATAAATACAAGGGTCGTAAAGAGACGGAAGTTGTGTATAGACGCTTGTGGGGCTGGCTTCGGCTGCTTTACCGGGCTTGATTTTCCGTCTTTGTTTTTGCTTTTGCTTTTACCGGTTGCATAGCGTTTGAGCATTGGGCGTTTATTCTTTTACTGCATCATTCATTCCACATACACACACACACACATACTCACTGGAGACGTCGAATGGTGTGGATTCAGAGTCGGCTTCTCACGTTTTCTTGTTTGCTTTTCCTTGGCTGCATATCAGATTATGGATTAATGAGGACGATGTCATGTCGTAATGTAATGAATTCATCACGGTTTATCATCAAACTAAATCTTTGCATGGCACCTCATATTCCTTGGCTCTCGACGTGAAAATCAATCATGTCTAGCCTCTCTATCATTTGTCGCTACCGCCAAGATGCTACGGAAAGTCAGATCTACATAAGTATGTAGGTCAACAGCACCAGAACAGCATACATATGACTGCAATGGAATAAGAAAGGGAAACGCGGGGAACAAAAGAGTGCTTTTTATCTTTTCTTTCCAAGGGAATGATCACATTACTACATAGTATACAAATGTGAAGAAACAAAGACTATGTTCTCACTAGCATTCATTCAAAATCAAACACTGCTTATTCGAAATACAACCTATGTACTACGCACGTCGTCTCTAATACACATGAAAGCCATCTACCCATCCATCCATCCATCCATCCACCCGTTCTTATTTACTTCTTTTTTTTTCTAGTTAAACATACACAGCCACACATAGCTACACACATATATACTCGAAATGTCATGTATGTCTTTTAATTACTTTGTTCGTTTTCGCCCTCTTGCTACAGCAGCAGCAGCAGTAGCAAAGCAACTCCATCCCACTCACTCCATTTGCATTTCCACACACACACACACACACACACACATACACACACCCGTATACCATGAGCGAAAAAAAGAGAGAAACAAAAAAGATTGACAATTGATTTTTTTGGGGTTCCAAACAAAGATCAAAGGGAAAAGAAGCAAGAAGGCAAGCAAGTACTTAGTAGGAGAAGTAGTAGTAGTAGTAAGGTTGTAGTAGTAGTAGGAAAAAAACATTTTCAAAATGAAACCAATACAAAAAAAAAAAAAAACTCCAATCCCCTCCTCGTTCTGTGCACATTTCACCCCACCCCAACACCAACACCACACACACACATCCCACCCTTCACTTTGGAAAATTGAACTAGATATTTTTTTGTTTTTGGGGCCCTCTTTCCCTCTATCGACTCTTAGCAAGTCTAGCCACCACGACCCCCATATGGCTGGTGCCTGAAGCCGCCTCCGCCACGGTGACCTCCACCGCGGTAATTGGCGCCTCGGACACCAGCGTTCTTGGGGCCTGTAGGCGCGTTGATGGGGGCTTGACCGCCAGGAGGCTGGCTGGAGCCCTGGCGAGAACGGTTGTTTCTAAAGCCGCCGCGGCCACCGCCGCTGGGGCCAGAGGGGACGTTTGGTGGAGGTGCGTCGTCGTACATGCCATCCCAACTTGCTGGACCGCCGCCCTGCGCCGCGCCATAGCCAGCGGGACCGGAAAGTTGCTGCTGGCGGCGGGTTTGTTGCTGCTCGTACTTTTGCTGCTCAAAGGCAAGCTGGTCTTGGGCCGTGTATGCGGGCCGGGGACCGGCGTTTTGGCCGCCTTGAGGGCTCATCATTCCTGGGCCACCGGGGCCGCCTGGTCCGCCGCCGCCGCCTTGCATCTGTGCCATTTGCATCTGCTGCATTTGTTGCATTTGCATCGGGTTCATGCCGCCTGGGCCGCCCATCATCTGGGGGTTTGGTGAACCGTTGCCGCGGTTCATGCCCTGGTTCATCATCTGTTGTTGCATCTGCTGCATCTGCATTGGGTTCATACCGCCCATGCCACCCATGGGGTTGCCACCCATGCCGCCATTGGCCTGTTGTTGAGCGAGCGTTTGCTGCATAGACTGGAAGTACTGCTGCATTCGCTGCCAATATTGAGCCATCATAGCCGGAGACATGGCGCTGTTGCCGCCTTGGTTTTGCATGTTTCCTCCGCCATTTTCATAGCCTCCGCCCTGATTACCATTTCCGCCGTCGTTGAATTTGTTGAACTTGCCGCGGCCAAACTTTTTGTTGTCGCCGCCTTCGTCGTCACGCATGTTGCCACGAGGCTGAGCGCGCTTGACCTCGATTTGCTTACCGAGAATCTGAAGTGGACCGCGAAGCGTGGCATCTACCGCTGCATCGCCATCAAAGGTGACGAAACCGAAGCCACGCGGGCGGCCGGTTTCCTTGTCCATCATGAGTGTGGCATCGACTACACGGCCGAACTGTTTGAAGAAGTTTGTAAAGTCTTCCTCGGTTGCTTCTTGGCTGACACCGCCGACAAAAATTTTGCTCGTTCGTTCTTGCTCCTCGCGAGGAATCGCCCGCTTGGGGTCAATCTGATCATTGTCAGTTAATAGTTCCTATGTGAATAGAGAGTGAACACACAATCTTGCCGTCCAGGTAATGCTCCTTGACCATGACAATGTTGACGCACTTGGGATCCTTGAAAGTAAGAAAACCAAAACCTCGAGATCGACCAGTCGCAGAGTCACGCATAACTGTGCACTCGCTGACTTCTCCGAATTGTGAGAAGTAGCCCTTTAGTGAGTCTGCATATTTGTTAGTAACGATTATGGACCGAGGGATACAAAGGAATATTCGTACCTTCAGTTGTCTCCCAGTTCAAACCGCCGATAAACATCTTGCTACAATCAATGTCAGCACGTCGGTGTGGGTTAGGGATGAAAACAAAAGTGCAAAGGCGGCAGAGAGGCGCATCATAAGTTGCCGAAAGTTGATATCCAAGGGTAATTCCAGATAGTGAACGGTAAAGTTGATGCCCCAAAATGTGCTCATGTGACCGATAAACAGTCCAACATTATCACCACCGTCCTGAGGCATCTATACGGCGAGGTCGTTTGTCCAATGAGAAGAGGCGCGCCATGTCGAATACGAGGTAGGGTTCGTCCAATGTTGTCGGAATAGCCGGGCCATTATGTACCCTTGGCGGCTCCGAAGGTGTGAACAGGCCAAATGAGAGTGAGAGCCGTTCATGCTGGTGACTTGGACACGAGTGGTGCCGACGGATTCTGGTGCTCAACATTCGCGCACCTTTTGTTGTCCCAATGTTGGTTGTGATGATGGCCAGATACCGCATTTAAGTGAAGCCGACTCCCATGCCGCATCCTAATCCTAACATGTCGAACCCTGCGGCGAAGACTAACCATGCCGACTAGCGACGCACCCCACGTACTCAAGATCGATATTTCGAGGTTCAAAAGTAGCCCTGCAAAGGCACAGTTTGATTCGGATGAAGCGTCTGTGTTTTGCTATGGATTCGAGTGCAGATGTCTGAACAGACTTTCATACTACTCGGTAGCTATCCTCTGCTTGCGTTTGTTGGTACGCGCTATCAAGTACCTAGGTATATATCGACATGAGGCGCTGCCAAGATTGGGCAAGCCACGATAGTCCTTGCGAAAGGCGCGTTGATAGTTGTTCTGAGTATCGCAGAGCCGTTGACCCGTGTCTTCCAGCTTCTTCCAACAAACAATCTTAGCGGCCTAATCCGCCATTTTCTGAACGCCTTGCCAAACGGGCGACGTGGACTGCATATCTTTGCGTAATGTCAAGCTCCTGAGCCTTCATACCAGACCGGTCATTCACGACCCAAAGGCGCTCCGGAGTAGTACAAGCGCAAGAGAACGTCTGGCGCATGCTCCATGATCATGCACCCAGACCAATCAAGCAACCGACGTACCCTTCTGTCGCTGTCTGATCAACCCATATTACGTCTCATACGGCCGGTCATGGTTGCGATCCTGGAAACGGTATGTCTTCGGCTGGTGCACGTAGTTGTGCCGCGTGTATACATATTTACCTTGTGATGCGCCTCTGGATTTTAAGATGATCTCTCAAGCATGCACGACTTACCCGTCTTCTTTTACATTAATGGGCCCATAGTTGTCATCTTCGGCAGGTGCGTTGTCGTAAGACTGTTCACCTCCTGCATTGAAGCCGGGCTGCTCCATGTGTGTGTCCTCGCCTCCTGCGCCTTGAGCCTGCCAGGAATTTTCTCCATCCTGGCCGTGGTTTTGGGTCGTGTCCTGGGCTGGCGCGCTCGCAGGCTCGGTGGCTGCGTGCTCTGGTTCGGCCTTGGGCGCCGGTGCGGATTTCGCTGGGGCTTGTTGTGACGTGGGCTCCTCGTCGTAACTGGCTGGGGGTTAGCACTACGCGACTGGGCGTGGCTGGAGCCGACTACTCACAGATCATCGAAGATGTCATCCTCGTAGTTTTCGTCTGCCATTGTAGGAGGCTGGAAAGGAAGGTATGTGGCTGTGAAGCAGGGCTAGCGAATTAGTTGGATGGCCGTGACCCCTAACAAGTGAGCACTGGTCGCGACACCTGGATCAGAAGCTCTTGCTGGGACGAGAAAAATTAAGGTAAAAAAGCAGGCTATTAGAAGCGCTAAGAAGCAAGGGCCGAGGCGGTGGGCGGGGAGACGCGATGTCAGACGGGGAAGCTGGGCGAAGGGTGAAGGGAGAGGTGAGAGAAGAACCTGAGATGGAGCGTTAGGAGAGGAGAAGCAACGGGCAGTCGCGCTAGTGACGGTGGAGCTTGGCGTGGCAGGCGCGATGGATGGGTGGAGGTCGGGCGACGTTGGAGCTCGGAGCCTCGCAGCGGGGCTTCGTCGAGACACTCTCTCGAGCAGAGACGCATTCCACCATGGCTTCCAAGAAGCAGCAGCAGGTTTGTCTTCGCCCGCCGTGCGCGCGCAAAGGGCGTGTGTTTGCTGACCAGCCGCCAGGAAATGGTGCAGGTCGGTTCGTGTCTATCCAAACCACCAAGCTTGTATCACGGTATCGGGGGTAGCTAACATATCGCTTCCCTGCACACAGACCGCTCCTCGTACGTTGCTATGCCCGAGTCGCATCCACCCGCTGGACACTGACACTGGACGCGCAGCTCTGCCTCTCCCTTCTGGCGGACGGCCTCCAACAGCGCCACCTCGCCCCCGGGCAAGAAGGTCATTGGCGCATCCTACTCGCACGCCGATATCCTCAACTTCAGTTCGCTGTACGTGTTGCTGGACGCCTCTCCCCTATCTGAAAACCTGACCGCCATAGGAGCGTCTCTGCGTCGACGGCGCGACCTCGCACCCCGCCCTCGGCCACGCACAGTCGCGAGTCGAGCATCGCGCCAGGCCGGTCCAGCAAGACAACATCGCCCCGCCCTGCGCGCCCAACATACGGCCACTTCCTCAATGACACACATCAAGACTGGAATTATGGCGACGACCACGACGACACCGACAACATGTTCGAAGACGACGAGGACGAGTTTGGGCTCCCGAGCATTGCAAACATGCGAAGAAAGGGCCGTCGGAAACAGCCTCCGAAGTCCAAGGATTCGGTCAGCACGGTGAACAGGGACAGTCTGGGCTCGACCGCATGGCGCGCCATAGACAGTGGCGACATAGCCGAAGAGCGCGGCATACCCAACTACCCAACTGCCAACAAGACAGAAGGCAAGATACTACGACCTCAATACCAGGAAATCCTACGAGACCCCGCAAACTCGCTGCACCTCATATCTCACCCCACCATAGATGCGAATGCTTCGGCAAAGCAGATCGAGGAGCACTCGGCTCGAACCACCCGAATCAACAAGTTCAAACGGATACTCCAGGCCAGCACCATATCTCTTTCCGATTTGCGTGATTCAGCATGGTCAGGTGTACCGTCTGAGGTGCGAGCCATGGCATGGCAGTTGCTATTAGGCTATCTACCCACCAGCAGCGAAAGAAGGGTCGCAACACTGGAGCGCAAACGGAAGGAGTACCTCGAGGGTGTAAGACAGGCTTTTGATCGAGGAACCTCTGGTAGCACTGGCGCAGTCGCGTCTGGCATCGCTGGCGGTGCGGCATATCCTGCAGCCAATCGAGGGCGGGGGCGTGGGCTGGATGAAGCGATATGGCATCAGATCAGCATCGATGTGCCTCGGACAAACCCGCACCTGGAGCTCTACAGCTATGAAGCAACACAACGGTCGCTCGAGCGCATTCTCTACGTTTGGGCCATACGGCACCCTGCCTCAGGCTACGTGCAAGGCATCAATGACTTGGTAACCCCATTCTGGCAGGTCTTCCTTGGCGCCTACATTTCAGATCCTGACATAGAATTCGGCATGGATCCGGGACAGCTGCCCAAGCAAGTGCTGGACGCTGTGGAAGCTGACTCATTCTGGTGCTTGACCAAGTTGCTTGATGGTATACAGGACAATTATATTGCCCACCAGCCGGGCATCCAGAGGCAGGTATCAAGCCTAAGGGATCTCACTACACGCATCGACGATGGACTGGCGAAACATCTTCAGAACGAGGGTGTCGAGTTCATACAGTTCAGTTTCCGGTGGATGAATTGCCTTTTGATGCGTGAGATATCCGTAAAGAACACAATACGAATGTGGGATACCTATCTGGTACGTAACATTGCTCTCAGCCTAGAGCGCACAACTGACTTAACCCAGGCCGAGGAAGATGGTTTTTCGTCGTTTCATCTCTATGTCTGCGCTGCCTTCCTCGTAAAATGGTCGGATCAGCTTCGCAAGATGGACTTTCAGGAGATCATGATGTTTTTGCAATCACTACCCACTCGGCAGTGGACCGAGAAAGACATTGAGTTGTTGTTGAGCGAAGCTTTCATATGGCAAAGCTTGTTCAAGGGTAGCGGCGCCCACTTGAAGAACACTGGCTCCAAAGAGATTGGTGTGGGGATGGGTCCCGACTTCTGAGAGAGCGCTGATGTTGTACGTTGACTAGACGCACGCCAACCATGTCAAAGGCGCGGGGCTGTAGCAATCCATGTGTGGGTGTCGCAAATGTTGTTCCCATGACTGCCACAAGCAACGCTAACTCGCGATGCTTGGCGTCCGTTTTTCCGATTTCGACGCCATCGCCGAGCAGCATGTATCATTATCGCACTGCACCAGTACTTATCGGTTCAGATACCGAGGTCAACAACGATGGTTAGGAGCTACCCCGCCCTCTGCCCCACTACGCGTCGTACGACTACGCCTACACGTAGTATTAGACGCCGTAGAGTGTTCTATCTACCCAGTCCAACCACCTGAAAGCCGATTCCAGTCTTCTGAGAGTCAAATACTACCGCTTGCGCAAAAGACCGTACTAGTAAATAGGCGTCTCCTGAACTCACCATGGCACCGCCACCCCGCCCTCCCTTTTCGGAGCTTCCGCTTGATAAGAACGGTCCACCAGGAAATGCGTGGGGTCTGTACGGTCCCGACGACGAGCTTGGTGCCCTCAACATGATCACACCTTCTGTCGTCAAAGCCGCTGCCCAGGAAATCCAAACCGGCGACCGCGTGTCTCTGGACTGGTATCTAAATCTGCCATCCCACCCGTCTTTCACACGACCGTCGTTTTCGTGGAAGATGAAACCCTTTTTGTATCCAGATGGAACAAAGCGAGCTATCAACGACGACCATGTGGATTTCAACACGCAGGGGAGTAGCCAGTGGGACGGCTTCCGACATTACGGATATCAGAAGGCCAAGAAATTCTACGGCGGACGCTCGCAGGAAGAACTTGAAACTTCAGATGTCATTGGTCTCGACCGTATAGTCAACTCGGGTGGTATCACGACTCGAGGCGTCATCCTCGACTATCCGCGCTATCTTGAGAAGAAGGGCGAGAAAGAAGTGTATTCCATGGAAGGCAACAGCATCTCCGCGGACGTGCTGAAGGATATGATGAAAGAAGCGGGCGTCCAGCCAAGAGACGGTGATTTGCTCTTACTCAGAACAGGATTTACCCGGGATTACTACAAGCTGAGTGCAGAAGAGCAGAAGGCACTCAGAGATAGAACACCAGACTATCTTGGCGTTCGATCCGACAGAAAGAGCTTGCAGTGGCTTTGGGAAAGCGGATTTGCAGCTGTTGGTAAGCATGTTCTTTTCTCAGCCTCTCAGCCTCTCAGTCACTTTCATATTTCTTTCTCATGCCCAAACCCTTCTGAAGTTAAACGTTTCTTAACCAAAACTACAGCATCCGACGCTGTTTCTTTTGAAATGGCACCGATAGCAGGTCCACACACTGCTCCCGGTGGCGTATGGGCCAACGAGCCCTGGGAACAGGAGATGCAAGGCGGCGGGTTGTTGCACCAATGGATGATTGGTGGTTGGGGCGTCATGATTGGCGAGATGTTCGATTTGGAGGCTCTGTGTGAGAAGAGCGCCGAGTTGAACCGAAGCACATGCTTTGTCAGCAGTGTGCCATTGAAGGTACGTTAAAAATCTCTCTTCCCTTGTTGTTGTTATGGTGGATATGAGTGGGTGCGTGGGGATGGGGGGATATCAAACGATATGAGATTCAAGCAGCAGCACTAGATCCAAAGCTAACCACAATAATATACAGGTACCAGGCGGTGTAGCAAGTCCACCAAATGCCGTAGCCATCTTTTAAGCATATTTTCCATATTTTCAGAATATAGACTTCACATGTGCACGTGAGTTTCTTGAACCCAAACAGAGAAATAAAAACCATGCAGGACTTGTCGAAATGAATTGTACATGCACGAGTTTCCTGGTGTGCACCACGTGATTGCAGCTTTAGCTGCATATTAAAAGCAGTCACGTGTTTTGCCTTAGTTATGTTTTTTCTACAAGGGCTCAAAATGCAATACTTTGTTAGTAGAATCGATTCTTATTAGCTCTAAGAAGCTCTGCTGTCATTCGTCTATTAGGTGCTAAGATATTAAGAATCTCCGTCTTAGGTTAGTTTCGCCAAGCTCTCGTCACATGACAAACGCCAAAACAGCCAGAACGCCGGAGCAGCCAGAACGCCAGTATAGCCAGCGAAGCCAGAGAAGCCAGAGAAGCCAGAGAAGCTAGAATGCCGGAACGTCAGTACAACTAGAGCAGCCAGAACGGCCGGAACGGCCCGAAAAACAGCTAAAGCTGCACCCCTTTCCAGCTCCCTTACGGGCTGTAGGAATGTTTATATCTGTTGTTTTCTCGTCCGTGTGCTTTGCATGCGGTAACCTAATAGCAATTTGTCTAGTCTTTGTATCTTGTAAGTAGTGTATTACGATCTAATAACGAAGAGCCACGGCACTTAACCAAGGAACTCAAATCGCCGCACTAAGGGAGGCGGCGGTAATCAATGACCCCCTATTAGTAAGACCTTAATGTAGCTGCCTACATAATCGCTAGAAGACATAAAGATGGCGCTGAATCGTGTTCTTTTGAAGTGCAACTACCTTGACAAAACGAAGGTTAACAAGAGTTCTACCCTACCCACCATCTTTAAAATGCAATTCAAGTCTATTCTGTTTACTACAGCCTTTCTTGCTGCACCTAATTGGGCAGAAAGCGTTCCTTCCTGGGCCTGTGGCAGCGGCTGGCTAAGTAACGGGGTACTTGTAAAGGGTGGTTCACCTGTGAGCTTCCACCAACAATGCGAAACATGGCAGAATATCGACTGTGTAAGCGTTACCTAGCTCTCTCCACTTTGAATATTACTTACTAAATGTGTTTTTTTTCTTCTCATGTAGATTGCTCCCAATTCTGCGAGTAGTAAGAAATCGCATGTTCAATGTGGTGGAGCTTTTCCGTACCGCGTAAGGTATTATGGAGATGTCTACAATATGGATAGTAATCCTCATCTTGATTATTGGTCTGTTGTTTGGAATAACGCAGGGCCTAAAAATGATGGCCCACAATGTGGTCTTGCATGTGTTGGGAGCCAATAGAATTTTTAGTCTATTGTTAGACTCAGCCTTATACTTGTAAAAGGGTGGAAGTTATCAGCTATCTAAACTAATCCCGCATGGGTCAGTGTATATATCTGCTGTATGGATACTTAGATCCAGTCAGGTGCCGCCACCTCCTAACAATAATAGCTAAGGAAACTAGGATAAACATTCCTACAGCCCGTAACGGAGCTGAGAAGGGGAGGGGTACAGCTTTAGCTATTATTCTGGCCGTTCCGGCTGCTCCGGCTTCTGTGGCTAACTAGTACGTACCTCTCTATAGAAGTATATAGATCTAAATAAAGGGCAAGAAAGTACACAGATCTTTGCATCTATGTGCTATCGCTCTACCAGTCTAGTGGAGGGGCTAACACCTGGCGTGCTTACCTGATAGCTTAAATTATGTATGTACACACATGACAACGACATCAAGTAACAGCTTCAAGTAAGATAAATGAAGAAGTGGTACTGTCTTCAATGGAAACTCCTCACAGTGGTACCCAGCAACTCCACGTCCCCTTTCCCCCACCCAATCATCCAAACGTTCAAGCAAACCGCTCAACCTGCTGTTCACTCCAGTCCCAAAACGCCTTTGCCGACTCCTCGCCCTTGGGCGCCCAATAATCTTTTCGGAGCTGCGTGACGCGGCCCCAGGGGATAACCCATTCGTTGGGCTTGAGGGCCGCAGCCTGTGGCGCGAGTCCTGCGAATAGCTCCGTGTACGCGCCGTACACGGGGTCGTGCAGCAGGAACTTGAGGAAGAGGGATTGCCAGGCGGGGATGTGGCGCACGAGCTCTGAGCGCAGGTTTCCGGGGTTAAGCGACTATTTTTGGGGGGTTAGTTATGTGTGAGAACAAGGTAGAGGGAAGGGGAAATGAATGAATGAATGAAAGACATACCACACTAACCAACCCCTCACTCTCATACCTCCTCCGATACTCCATGGCATGCAGGATATTCCCCGCCTTACTAACCGCATACTTGACCGGCTGCATGGCATCTTTTTTGTAATCCAGATTCTGAACATCGACGCCTCCGGTCGGGGCGACAACGTGCGCAGCTGAACTCGACACCCACACGACGCGTACACTCCCCTTGGCTTCTTTCTTAGCCGTCTCGAGCAGCAGCGGCGTGAGCAGCTTGGTAAAGAGGAAGGGAGCCACGCAATTGGTGCCGAGCTGGAGTTCGTAGCCTTGTTTTGTCGTTGTGCCTTTTGGCGGCACCATGACGCCTGCGTTGTTGAATAGGACGTCGAGGCGCGATTCCTTGGCTAGGAAGGACTCGGCGGATGGCTTGATGCCTTCGAGGTCGTTGAGGTCGAGGTGCAGGTAGTGCAGTGTTCCCTTGGAGTCCTGGTGTTGGCCTTGGATCCAGGTTATGGCGGCCTGCGCTTTTTCAGACGACCGTGCTGCCACGTACACGGTGCCGTTGTGCGAGTAGAGGAGCCGCGCGAGCTCTTTGCCTACGCCTGCTGAGGCGCCTGTCACAATGTAGTCTTTTCCTTTGAGATCTGGTAGCGATTCCTCGGTGAACGAGGGCGCGGGCGGAAACATCTGGCTGAGTTGGTTCCCCATGTTGGCAGGAGGAAGCTGAGTAGCGCTGCGTTGGTGTTGGCTGTTTTGGAGTTGTCAAGTTCGCGATCGTAGAATTGTCATACGCTGCTTCGTTTAGATCTTCGTCGGTTGTGCCCAAGCTATATCAACTTGATCAACACCTGCTTCATGACACTATATATCTCATGATATCAGCGGCTCGGTTGTTCCCCCTAGAGAAGGCCCGGATCATCAAATGCGGCCGGAGACCCCTCCGAGTGGCAAACCAGTGCCTTCCATCACAATCGAGCGCTGTTAAAACAAACTTAAATCCGCAACCTTGAATCGTGGCTACAACTTAGAGCCGTTGTCGTGGCGCTATGAGAAGCCCGGATGAAAAACGGACCTGGCCCAGCCGCCTGCTCGATTAGCCGACCAAGAGCATGTAGGCTGCATCGTTGACTCGGCATCTTGTGGGAGAGTGCTGATTGAAACTGCTGTTTACGGAGATAAGCAGCATTACCGGAACCTGAAAAAGAGGCTTCTGTCTACACGCATAGCGGACGAAAACTGATGTAGAATGCGACCAGGCAATGACAGTATACTTGTGCTTGATTACACTACCTATTATCTGCATAAATGACATCACATGGGTCCCCTCAACAAGCCACCACAACATCTGAACAAAACACCTCATAATCGTGTTCTTGTTTAAATTTCTTCTAATCAGATTACTGAACGTAGGTCCCGAATTTATTTCTTCTTGATATTCTTTCCCATGGCAAGCAGCGTCTCCTGATCCCGGATACCAGCCAACTGTCCTTGTTGCGCACGCTTGACGGTAAGCGCAGCAATCAATGCAGCACCAACACCAGAACCGTCCTCAGCAGGCAGCACTTCGATGGGGTCGCCCTTGCCCTTGCCATACTTGGCAGGCCAGTCCATAATCTCCTTGAGCGCTTGAGCCTGTCGGATCTTGAAGTGAGGGTACTTGGTGAAGACGGAGCCGTCAGCACCGACATGTACTTCATCCCACTTCTTGTGCTTGCAGATAGCAGAGACACCGCAGGCAGTCAGACGAGCAGCGCGCGTACCAATGAGCTCAGCAAGGCGGCGAATGAGCTCGAGTTCGGGCTTGGTGCATGTGATACCAAGCTTCTCCTGGAACAAATCGGCCGTATCTTGCAAGTTTTCGAAGCGGTCCTCTTCAATCTGAGACAGAAATCCAGCGTCAAGCGAGTATGGCTTGTCAAGCTTGCTGGCGTTCTGGCCTTCGAACATGGAGCATTCGGAGCCCTTGTGGAGATCCTGGAGAACCAGACGGAAAATCTCACCAAGGTACAGACCTGCAACCATCTTCTCGAACGACTGCTGGCCGGGCCGAGGCGACTCCTTGTCAACAATGACATCGTATTTTGTCCGTGGCAGGACCTGGTGTTCATTGTCGAATGCACCCCATTCGCAATTGATGGCCATTGGCAGACTTGGGTCTAGTTTCATGTGCTGGAGCTTGGGAATGGCACCGCATTCCTCCATGTACGCAGCGTTGCAGCCTGTACCGAAGATGCAACCAATCTTGATGCTAGTGTTGGTGTATGCCGACGCAATCATAGTACCGGTCGTGTCGTTGACCAGCGCCGCGAGCTTGATAGGCACACCACGCTCCTCTAGGGCCTTCTTGAAACCTGGCACAACGTCTACGCCTTCCATGCCGTGTACATCGAAGCCCTTGGTCCATCGCTGCAGGACACCGTGATCAATGGCGTCTTGTGAGACGGGGTACGAAAAGGTGAATCCGAGAGGCAGATGATCGAGCTCCTCGCCGTCATGGTGGTATTCAATGAATTGCTGCAGGCAGTCGGCGACGTAGCCCCACAGCTCCTCGGAAGTTCCAGTCTTCAGCTCTTCAGGCATACGGTACTTGGACTGTATAATCTCAAACTCGCCCTTCTCTTCAGTCAGGGTGACTTCGCAAACACGCAGGTTGGTGCCACCCATGTCGAGCGCAAGATAGCTGCCCGTCTCATTGCCATCGGGGAAGGCCATGCACCAGGTCGGGATCATGGGCTTATCTGGGTCAGTAGTCTTCTGCCAGTGTCGCGAATAAGTTGTGACTCACAATGCTTCCGCCCTCGACCGACAGCCCCTTGACCAGCTCTCCAACAAAGTGATCAGAGATCTTCTTCAGCTTGTCCGTGGACACGACAAACAGCTCTTCCAGCTTGTCAATCTGGTCCTTCAGGTCCCGGGGCATGTCCGCCATGGAGCCTATCGCAGTTGTTATCATCCCTGGTCATCGCGGCAGTGGGCTGCGAACATACCCTTCCGCGACGGCGGTCTCTTTGCACCTAGTAGCACCATGATTCCGGTTGTGGAAGTATATCAGGTAGGGATGGTATGGTCGTGAGAGACGTCGTGGGCTGAAGCTGGCGGGTGGGGACCTTGAAGTGCTTGTCAGAGCCGCTATCAGTATGACGATGATGTGCGTGTGGAGAATGCTAAACAGAAAGGAACCGCTCAATCGTCATCTCCCGCGGGCAATCCCACTTTTGTAGACGATATTTGCTTTCTCCACCCGCCCAGGTAGCTTTCGGAAGCGGTATGGCGAGCTAGGCTTACCAAGACTGAGTGGTCATGCACACCCCACGATCAAGTCCGCCAATGGGTCGGGCAACTGTTCAATACGCGTGATAGGCGCCAATTGGTTGACGCGATCTGAGCAGAAGAAAAGGTCGAGGGGGGGTTGCGGGGGGGCAAAGCTGAGGAGGCTATGGGCTGAAGAGCCATAGTGAGATGGGTGTTAGCCCCGCCACCCCACGCGCCATGTGTCGCATGCTGGCAACCTCTCCGAGCTTGGTTGGAGTGCCGTGACGCACCCCCTCCCCATTGCCGTCTCCTTACCGCCTTCGCCCGGCCCTTCTTGGCGCCGGACTTTGTGCTTTTCCCGCGTGCAGCAGCACACCGCAACACAGCTATACACTCTATCAACGCCTGGATTCGGGTTCCGGATTTCAGTCGTTTCTTAATCGTGGTCAAGTATATAGCTAAGTGTGTAGCTAGTTGTGTTTCCGCACACGGGTATCATAACTCCAAGACCCCCAACTGTAAGTACACAGCAACCAATGCCATCTCCCTTGCCCGCCGTCGTTAACCTGCCCTGCCTCATGATACTTTCTGCAAATGCCCGGGCAGTATCTGCCGAGGACCGCCAGAGCTGATGGTACTTTGCCTTCTGCTCGCCGATCCACTGTCCAGCCCAGCACTGAGCGGTGCTCCGAAACCCGCGCTCTGCGGGAAATGCTCGTTGGTTGCGCTCAGAGGCGCGCCCATTATGCCCAATGCCATCCCCCGTCCGGTGCTCGCATTATCTCCACCTGAAAACATAGACCCTCCGCCAGGCGGTGCTCCGAGGGCCGAGCGAATCATGCCTTTCATGCGTATATACTGGTATTTCGATCGTTGAGATGTGTGCGTATACGTTGCCATGGGACGCGGTCGGTGTCGGCCTAGGGCAGCCATGATGGCGTCTTTCTCTTCGTCAGAGTCGACGGCACCCGAGGGCTCAAGATCCTCAGGAAGGGGAGCGTTAGCATCGATGAGCGACCCTGAATACGTGTTAGCATCGGCTTTCTCCAGACGACCATGTAGTACATACGTTGTATCTTGGCCTGGTTCTTCTTTTGGTATTGCGCCAGCAACATGTCGTACGGCAAACTACGTCCTGGCACAGCTCGCTTGAGACCCATTGAATGGCTCTTGCAGGTCAGACTCCTGGCGCAGTATCCACCATTTGGCAGAGTCACACCACATTGCCTCTCAACGTCGACAGGTCCCTTGGGCTTTGCGCCCTTTTGCTTGGGTTCGTCCTTCTTCTTTTTCTTCGCATTGGGCGCCTTCTCCGCATCGTCATCAAGTTTGCGCTTCTTGCCCTTTTTCGCACCGTCCCCGTCCATGGAAGCGCCCTTTATGGCCGACTTGCGCGACTTTCCGCCCTCGTCATCTTCGCCCTTTTCTTTCCTAAGAGCGGCATCTTTGGCCTCCTTGGCCTCCTTTTTCTTCTTAAGTTTCTCTTGTTTCTTGTGGAGACATTCGCGGATATGTGCCGCCGAGGATGCGCGGAGGACTGGCCGTCTACAGTGTTTGCATTGCACGGTATCTACCTTGTCTTCCAATGGGCGGCCGCTGGGGAAGCCAGTGATGGTCTTCTCGTCAAGAGGGTTAATCACGGGTGAAGTCGTCGACGGAGCAGGTTTGTTCTCGACGTCTAGAAATCGCATTAGCAAAATACAAACAGTGGGAAGACGTGGCTATACTTGTCGCATCGCTCTCCTTCCAATTTCCCGATATCGATGCCTTAGGCACCGGTTTCTTGATCTTTAACCTGATCCTCGGCTTTTCGGACTTTACGACGCCTTTGACTATGCTTGTGTCTAGCAGACTGCCCATGCCCTCAGAGTTCGTAGGAGTTTCTGCAGTGCATTAGTGCCGACACGGATGTGGGATGCGGACACTGCGGCGCGAGCTCACCCTTTCGCGCTCCATTCGCGGCCATGGCTACGGCCTCGCAGCGACGCTCGACTCCTTCGGTGGTCTCCTGGGTACTCTTCAGGGTTGTCCGGAATGCGCTATCAATATCTCTGATGCCTGATTACTTCTGTGGGATGAGTTAAGATGGGGTGCGGAGGCGCGTGTCGTCAAGGTCGCTGATCGTGAAGCTGGCCCGGCGTGCACGCGCTAGTCCAAATCCGACATGTCATCACATGCGCGTGTATGGTTACCATGCAATTGGAAACAACTATCAACCAACAAAGGTTTTCAACATGGCGCGGAAAACAGTGCAGGCATATGGCTGTGTTTGGAAAGCCCATGATATTGTTGTAAAATACACTGGCCGGTCACTCATGGCAAATGCTCAACACCATACACCTGCGCATGGTGCTGCGTCTTGAAGACACTATGTACAGTTTTGAGAGACCCGCCCCATGCACAATATGCCTAGTGACTTCAGTATTAAACCCGCTAACTAGCAACGCCAGCGCGATGCCATGTCCTGCCAAACGCCTTGTAATGCAAGTGATGTACTCTGAGCGCCATTGCGCTTGGTATCAAAGCTCCGTAAATCGCCTAAATATGCTGTTTCGTCATTCGTAAAGACACGCAAGTTTTCTCAACCGCTTGTTGTAGTGACGAACGCCTTGCGAGCATGTTTCTGTACAGTGACCATGGCCTTGATCTGTTTCGTGGGCTGCGTACATCGAGAGACTAGGCTAGCGTCCTCGACTCTTGCTCTTGTTCGCCTTTGTAGGCTTTGCCTTTCCTTTTTTGGGCGGTTCATATTCCTCAAAATGGTTGTGACCGTAGTCATCACGCATGATACTGTTGGTCCAGCGGAGACAGCGGTCCTTGGGCGCCTCGTCAGCGTGCGTCTTATTCCGCGTCGACACTCGGGATCGGTTGTGGTCCTCTTCATCCTCCTCTTCCTCTTGAGGCTTGTTGGATTCTTCCAGATGTTTGCGCATCTTGACCATGTATTCTGCAATACGATCACGGAAGGCTTGCAGCTCCTTACGCAGTGTGCGCTCCCGTAATCCACGCTCATCAAGCCAGGCCAGCAGCTTGTCAATGTCGTCGGGGTCATCGTAGTATCCCCACTCGGTAGACGTCGAGAGATGCGTTGAGCCTTCCTCTCGCTCCTTGCGCTGCGGAACCGTGTAGCCGAAACGCTGCATGTCTTGAGAAAGGGCAGGCTCCTCCAGGTTTGGGCCGAGTTCGTATTCACTAGGACCCTGTACCCAGATGCGCCCGTTTGCGTATCCGTACTCGGCAGTCGAACTGTTAGGAACGCCGCCGAATGGCATCCCGTTGTGCTCAAACCAATAGTACTTGTTCAGGAACCGGTCTTTACCAAGAATCTTGCTGCGGTGCACCAGAGTCTCGCGCAGATCATCGTCAAGTTCGTTGATGTTGGCTTCGCAATCCCTAAGCTCATCCTTCTTCTTCTCAATGGATGCGAGGAGCTTTTCCCATTCCTTTTGCTTCTTGTTCCTCTCAGCCTCAGCCTTGGCCTTCTTGACCTTCTCTTTCCGCGCATCTTCAGCAGCAGCTTTGCGCTTGTTCTTGTTTGATGGGCGGGTCCTGGTCTTAGAAGTGGCAGCATCGTCTTGGTCATTGGCATCAGCCGCAGGCACATCCATGGAATCCTCGTTGACACTGGCCATGGATACGTCAGCCTCCTCGTTCGCCTTGCCATTACTAGGTGACGCTGGAGTGTTTTCAGGTAACTGAATCTTTCGCTCCAAGTCCAGCTTGCATAGATCGTCAGCCAGCTCTTTTCTTTTGCGCTGAAACTCAATCTTCTCCTTGCGCAGGCGAGTCATCTCCTGGGCGGCGGCAGTAAGCTGCTCGCGGAAGTTCTCGGTATTAACAGTCAGACCCAGCAGCATGTCGAGTGCCGAGATGCGGAGATTGACATCAAGGCTCTTGTAGTGTTCGGCGATGGTTGCGGCGGTGGATTCTTCCTCGGGCGGGACGAGTTGCGCGAGAATCTCATCACAAGCGTCCTTGCGGGTTGGGTCAAAGGAGAGGCGATAGAGTAATGCGACGACAATAGCCTGCCATCCGCCTTCAGTGAAGTTTCGCACCTTGCATTGCTCAACCCAATCGTATTCGGCGACAAATTCAGCAGCCTTATGGATTTCCTTTGGTGGTTCAGGTGTAGGTGTGCGTGCTTTCGCAGCGAGCTGTGCGACACCCGACTTCCTCAAGCTGGCTCGGGTTGTCCTGACTGGTGGCTCAGGCTCGGGAGTTGGCGTTGCTTCGCTGCTTGAGTCCTCGTCCGATGACTCTTCATCATCCATGTGTGGCAGGGAGCTTTGGATTTTTCCGGATTCGCCGATAATCTGCTTCAGAATGGCACAATGCATCTCCACGAACAGTTCGCAGTCGACCGTCTTGTGCGTGAAGCGCATGGCATCCACGAAATCATCAAACGTGAAAGAGTCGAGCATATACACAGTGTCGTGAACATTGAGCGTCTCCCAGATGCAGAGTAGTGGGCCAATGCTCTTCATCAGAATACCCGTCTTCTTTTCATCTGCAGGAGGCTCGACTCCTTCAGGAACATCGTCCGACAGGAACTTGAGAGGAGGCCGATTTACTTGAAGGCGGGGCGTTTTGATCTCCAGGTCTTCGCATGGATACTTGACGTATTCCACGGGGCGTGCCGGTGGGGGTGCTTGTTGCGGTTGTGGAAGGGTCGCAGGTCTGGATGGTGGCTGATGAGTAAAGCTAGTTGTGAATGGAAAGGTAGCCGGTGGGCCATTTCCAGGTGGAGGCATTTGCATCAGCTGCGTAGCAAGAGGTGGTTGGAGGGTGGGCAGCACGTGAGGTGGAGCATAGTTTTGCAGAGGCGGCGGTCCGCTGTTGTGGAATGGTGGCAAGCCGGTATTGTGAAATGGTGGCGCATCGACCAGATACTGCGGCGGGCCATTGACAGCGACAAATGGATGAGTTACGCCTTGCTGGGAGTACGGAGGGCCGTTTGCGGAGAAGTTGACGAAAGTTGGCTGGCCCTGTCCAGGAGGCGGAGGTGGCCGTGAGCCGTTCAGATGCGGGCTGTGGCCGTTTGTAACATGCGGTGGGTATGGCTGTTGGATTGGCTGGCTGACACCGTTGGGAATGCCTTGGGAGGCCTTCTTGGCAGCCAACAGAGCATCCCTTGTCTTGCCATCAGGCATCTTCGTTGGGATGTCGTAGCGCTTAGCGAAACTATCCTTGACCATCCATGGGGCGCCAATCCAATCCTCTCGCTTCAGTGCATTCCGGAGAAACGCCTTTAGGATGAGTTTAGAATATGTCTTCTTGTCTCGCTGAAGCTCTGATGCCTTGTATTTGGTAATGGTTTCGCCGGTATCGTCCATGGTGATGACATAAGTATACGTTCGGATACTATCGTCCATTGACTGGCCAGTGAACATGCTGTGTATCCGGCTGTTGTCTGTAATCTGTGTGATTTGACCGAAGCGGCGTGCATGGTCGCCTTCGACAGACACACGGTCATGTAACATGAAATGCTCCTTAAAGTGCTGCCAAGGCGTGTCAGTCACATGTTTCTTGGGGAATGTTTGACCCTATAGACATACATCGTATACGTCATTGACTTTGATACATGTTAGCAATGAACAGGTCCCGAGGATACGAAGCCGACCTACCTAGGTCGTCCATGCGATGATGGTCCTGGAACTGGACATAGTGAAGAACAGGAGATTTCAAGCCGTCAGGAAAGATGGTGTTGATCTCTTTGGAAGCTTCCGTCTGCACGGATGTTACCTCCTCGTCGGCCTTGACGAGTATTGACGTGGAGCCTACCTCGCTCTCTTGGGCCTCGAAATACGTGTAGCCTGAATGGCCGGTCGCTTGACACGTAAAGTTGCGCTGCCGTCTGGTTAGTCATGTTACGCCCCGCACTTCGATCTGTGGCTCACTTGCCTGTTGGTAGAAGTCCTGCCTAGGAATATGTTAGTAACAGCCTCGTTCCTGACGTCATTTTGTGGAATTTCCTACCGCTCAAGGTATCGCTCATAGTCGACAAAGACCTCTCCAGTCTGCTCAATGTACCACACCTAGCCACCGATTTTAGCATCTGTGCGATTTGGGTTGTTCAGGTGCGTGACGCACCTCGGAATTCTCGTCGAGATTTTTGGGTCGCGGCTCGAGTTTGACGGGTTTGCGCTTGAAGAGAACCTAGAGCATTCTCAGTCCATGTTCGCGTGTATAAAGCGACCCAGGATATACCATTTTGAAGGGAGCTCTAGCTCATGTAGGGTTCTCGGTCTCTGATGTGCCGCGTCGCAAACTTCGGAAGCGTCGCGACAGTCGAAACGCGTCCAGCTTGCTCGCTGGGGGCACAACTTGGGAAGAGGCGGGAGCAATGGCCCCTCTGGGGAAGGTTGTTGGACTGTGTATCTTTCACGCGTCAGAAAAAAGTCTCTCCAAATTGCAGTCGCACTCTTGGGAGATCCGAACAGCGTTCCGAGACGCGTCTTCCAGTTCCGAAAGCGCGTCCAGGCAATCTATTGCCAAGTTGGTGGGCGTTGGCGGCGCAGGAGGTGGGCAGGCGAGAGGTCGTGTGGAGAGGAATTGTCGGAGGGCAGTCAATGGGGACAAAAGCGAGTGGAGGGTAGTAGAAGAAGCCCATAGTCCCTTGGCGCTAGGTGCCATACTGGATTCGGCAAGGACCGCCTTCGCACCCTACCACCCACGCTTCGAAGCTACGCACCCCACTAACATCACAAGATCAGCGTATTTGGACTCGTTCTCATCGTCGAAATCAGTACTACCAGGCTGCAGCAGCTGTGCATCAATTTATTTCAATCGATCAAGAATCTTGCGTTATCAAGTTGCAGTGAAAGTCGGTCATGGCAAGCTCATGCCGCGAGCCACCTCGAGCAAACCCTTGGGCATGCTGACCCACTTGCTGAGACACGCCATCTTCATTCCCGCATCTAGTCACACACATGGGTGCTGAGCCACATACACCAGGAGAAGGGTTAATTGTCGAGGGCGGCGCGGTGTCTTGTTCACTTGGCAGGCTTTCTTACCCTATTTTGCCACTATCGTCCATGTTTGTCCCCTGTGCTTCACTGAAGCTGATGTTTACGGCTACCAGGCTCTCAGAAACAGGAGGGGAACTCGATAAGCCGACCTCCTCCCGAGACGTCCGCTCTTAGTCGACCCATGTGGCTTCATGGCATGCTTAATGAATTGGGCATGAGTCAAGTATGTATCAAGGTGGGGTGTTTGTAAAAGTTTGATGGATAGAAATTACAAGCGAAAAGCGTTTCGAGAAGCCATGCAAACAAAGTGCACAATGATTTGATTCTACAGGTTAAAGTATACTACCAGAAAGCCAACCCAGCTCCCTACCACACCAATGGCCGAGTAGGAACTCGTGAACATGAGCGGCAGGAACTCATAGCGGGACCCAAATACAAGACGGTGGACCAGCGAACAATACGCAATGAGGGGTATTGAAAGTGTTATGTAAAGGAGAGAGAAGCGATCCAGCAGAAATATTCGGGGTTTGGGTGATCTGACATGTCAGCGAATGGTTGAACACGGGCAGGGTGTACTTACGCCGGGGCTAGCCTGTCAAAAGAAATTAGGAACAAAACAAGCCAGAAGATGGTATAAACCGTCTTGACGGGAAATTCAGCCGCAGTGTAAAGGAGAGGAAACAGCGAGACATGGCCGGAGACGGCCAGAGGGCGAAAAGCCCCGAAATACCGGCGATCCTGGAGAGCTATCAAACTGAAGGGAATGATCACAAGCAGGATTGCTTTTTCGTGGACGTGCCAGCCAAAGAGGAAGGATGCGTAACCGCAGAGCGTCACAGCACCGACAAAAGCTTCCCAGGTGGGCTTGTAGAGGAGACGGAGAAGGACAGGCTAGGCAGCATTAGTTGAATCATTTTCAAAAATGGCTTTGTGCGTACTATCTGTGCGCCGAGCGTAAGCAAGAAGCAGGTCAATGGGACTATGTCTGGAAGCACGGCAAAAGATGTGTCCCCCACGAGACCCCGTGTGACGCTGTTCACTGCCTCTTGGTCCACATGCAGTCCAAGACGGGGAGCCACTGGTAGTGTTAGCATTGTCAAGCAATAGAGAGCAGCGGCTGCGTACAGTATATCAGGACTCGGTCCACAAACGAATACATTGCCCAAACGTTGGGTGCCCAGTAAGCATGGCAGAGCCCCCGCGAGAAGGGAAACAGGCGACGGAACACCTGCTCCAGCTGGCCCCAAAGCGCGAAAGGACCAAAGGCAGCTGCGAATATGGTAATAATGCCAACGCCCAGCTTGACACAGTTGAAGAATTGAATGGTCAAGTAGGGAAACGACGAGCGCTGCTTCAAGCAGTAGGCGCGCAGTAGATAGACAAAATACGCGGGGGCGAGATACAAGTAGATGTGCTTGAGGCACAAGAGGGCAGCAAAGAGCAGGCCGGACAGCAGGAGAGTCGAGTTGTTGCGTGCCAAGACCATGGACAGCACGAGGATGCCGTAGAGGAAGCCATTGTACTGGAAGTGAATGTGGTCGATGATCAGGAGCCCCGGGGACAGCAAGACGGAGAGTGCAGCAGCGTGGGCAGTGACTTTGGACTTGGACGTCTTCACGTAGCTGTGGTGAGCTTAGTAAAGCATGCAGCAGGTGGGGGTGCGGGATAAGAGTACAGATGCAAGGCATAAACCAAGACAAGCTCTGTGACTATGACGGAAGTGCGCTGGAAATAGACTGTCTGCCAGGTGTCGTATCGCAAATATTTGACATTGAGCAGGCCGGGGTCAGCATAGGGCGCTACCTGGGACATGAGCCACTCAAAGTAAGCAAAGAAAGGGGGGTAATCAAGAGTCCATTCCGAGGTTTTCTGGGGGTAGAGTTAGAGGCTAACGGGCACATGATGGCGGTGGGCGGGCGTGGCAGGGCTGACTTCATAGTACCACTCCTTGATGGGCAAGGAGTGCGTGAGGGCCAGCCAGTTGCGATGGACCTCGAAGTCGGTTGACTTGCTGGCGAGGAGAAGTCAGCGTGGCGGGCGGGCAGGCGGGCAAGCGACTTGGGTTGAATTGGTCAGACGTACTATGCGGGAAAGAGCAAAACCTTGAGCGCCGTGGCCACAAGGGCGCACTGCGCAATGGACGGATACAGCTCTGCCATGTGTAAAAGTGACAGCGGATGGAGGCAGCAGGACGCGAGACGAGAGCACCGAGCACAGATGCAGAAGCAGATGTCGGGGACGATCGTCGTCGGGGGTCACGTGCTCGCTTACGGGATACCCCTGCCAGTTGGCTGTCGAGGCGAGTGTCAGCCAAGCCTCACGACTGGCGTGCGAGGGGGACGGGGACCAGGAACACGGCAAACGACCAAATAAGCAAGTCGGTTTCCAGAAGCACGCAGGCAGGGGGTTTCGCATAAGTCGTGGCGTTTGACATTTGAAGCACGGCACGAGGAGTTCCCTCTTTGTTCCCCCGCCGGGCGTGGTTTGCGAAACAATGCACTGCACTGGGCGGCACGGCAGGGCACGTGAGCAGGCAGCCTGTCTATCTCTGGCCCAGATGGAACGTGGCAGGCTCAGAGCGGCACTAGCCCGGCGCCTATGCTCGAAACCGGAGCGCGAGATTACGGCATGGGCCCGTTTGGGGGCGTGGTTGTGGTTGTGGTGCTGAGTGCATGTGGTTGTGAGCGAGCGTGAGTGGGTGCGCGGGTGCGTGGGCGTCGTGGTATAGGATAGGATGGCATAGGATGGCATGGCATGCACTATCAGGCGGCTCGTCTAGTCAGGGACCGAATCTGCACCTGTGCAATTACCCGCTGGCTGCAGCCCGAGAGAAAGCCCGCCGCTACAGTCACACTCGCGCACATGTGTGCATTTTCTCTCGCGCGCCCTCGCGCGCCCGCCCGCCCGCCGTCACCACGCACCGCACACGGCGCACCCCCTCGCACAAGCGTGTATATGCGGCGATGCGTCGATGCGTCGATGCAGCCAGACAACTGCAGGGCCCGCGACCAGCCCCGGGGCGACTCAGTGGCAGGCATGCGCGTTTAAAATAAGCAGTGCGCTAGCTGTCCGCTTTTGGCCGCCTCATTTGCGCCTGCCTCCTAATGGGCCCTGCTAGTGAGCATTTCTCACCGACCTCTTCCTGCCTTCGCCTCCCCCACGGCTTCACGTCGCATCCCTCTTCTTCCAGCCCTTCATTCATTCCCTCCTCTTCTCCCCCGCATCGACGCTCTTGACAAGGCGCGCTTCTTTGCCCTTCCTTTCCCCCCCAGGTTCGCTCGTTTGGTGCCCGCATCAGACACAAGCCACCATCTTCATTCTTCGCCAGCTCCCGCGGCCACAGCTTTTAATTGCCCTCCCGCCGCGTCCGCCATTGCCCTTTTGCTCCTCGCCCCGACGCTCGTCTTGTGTCGTGTCGAGTCGAGTCGTGCCGCTTCGCCCAAGCCGTGTGTGCGCGCCCCCTCTGTCTCTCTCTCTCCCTCTCTCTCTCGGTATACCTGCAGATCCCGTCGAGTCGAGTCTTCGGCCTCGTGCCTCTTCAAAACACTGCGTCGCCAGTCCTGCACTGCCTTCCCACGCAACCATTGCGCCTTCCAACGTGCGTATCCTCGCAGTCCTGCGCCGAACCCCCCCGTCTCTGACCGCCGCTCCCCCTCCAGATTGCTCTTACGCCTTGTAATACCGCAGCATACTTCGCAACCCTCAGCCACCACACTGCAACCGGTTGCACCTTCCATCTTCTGCCCTACATATTTCGTCGTCCGGTCCAGCGAGTCCCGGACGCAGTAATACATCTTCACCACGGCGGTCCTCTCTCAAAACCCGCGGGACAGCTTCAGTCTGCCCCCGCACCTCCTCGACATGCAGCAGCACGACGGCACCCCCAATGCCCCTAGCGGCCCGCGTCTCCAGACCACGTTCCCCCGCCAGATGAACGGCGGCCACCACGGCTTCTCCCACGGCGCCTTTGCCACCAACCAGCCTGGCTACGGCGACCGCCACCCGGAGCGCGCCAACAACATGTCCATCAACACGGGCAGACTGAACCCGGGCAACCAAAACGGCGCCGACCTGCAGACGCCCGGAACCGGCTTCGACATGAACTTTACGCCTCTGCTGCCCTCGCAGCTGCTTCTCGGTAGCCCCTTCCAGCCCGGTTCACCCTCTGCCTTTGCCTCACCGCAATTCCAGAATTTTGCCCAATTCGCCAGCCAGAACCAATCGCAGCAGCAGAACCACCAGTCTAACCACGTTAGCAGCCCCTTGCAGCAGCCGCTCTCGCCCCAGCTCTACCAGAACATGGTTTCTCCCACGAGCGGGTTTTTCGGCGGTCCGCAGTCTCCCACGGGTGGATTTTCTGGTTTTGGTGCGCAGGGCCTGGGTGGGCTCGGCTCCTCTATGCCGATTGCCCCTGGCCTCGTTTCTGGAACTAGCAGGACCGTCTACCTGGGCAACATTCCCCCAGAGACGTCTGCCGAGGAGATCCTGGGCCACGTAAGAAGTGGCCAGATCGAGTCAGTCAGACTTCTTCCCGACAAGAACTGCGCCTTCATCTCCTTCCTCGACAGCAGCTCTGCCACGCACTTCCACTCTGATGCCATCTTGAAAAAGCTGTCCATCAGGGGCCAGGACATCAAGATTGGATGGGGAAAGCCCTCGCAGGTGCCCACTTCGGTAGCCTTGGCGGTGCAGCAGTCTGGCGCTTCCCGAAACGTCTACCTAGGCAACTTGCCCGAGGATGTTACCGAGGATGAGCTGCGCGAGGATCTCAGCAAGTTTGGCCCAATTGACACGGTCAAGATTGTGCGGGAAAAGGCCATTGGTTTTGTTCACTTCCTGTCGATTGGCAATGCCATCAAGGCTGTTTCGCAGCTCCCCCAGGAGGCCAAGTGGCAGGCCCCCAGGCGCGTGTACTACGGCAAGGACCGATGCGCCTACGTTTCCAAGACGCAGCAACAGAATGCCGCGCAGTACTTGGGCATTGCGCCTGGCTACGCCCATGTTTTGAACGGCGCGGACCGTGATATGATTTCTAATGCCCTCGCCCAGCAGTCTGTCGCTGCTGCTGCCGTGGCAACGTCGGCCGGCGGTGTGAACAACCTGGGTAACCGAACCGTGTACCTGGGCAACATCCACCCGGAGACGACCATTGAGGAGATTTGCAATGTGGTGCGTGGCGGTCTTCTGCACCACATTAGGTACATTCCCGACAAGCACATTTGCTTCGTTACGTTCATCGACCCTACTTCGGCGGCTTCTTTCTACGCTCTCAGCAACCTTCAAGGCCTAATGATCCACAACCGCCGTCTGAAGATTGGCTGGGGCAAGCACTCCGGTGCCCTTCCCCCTGCGATTGCTCTTGCCGTCAGCGGTGGTGCTTCTCGCAACGTCTACGTCGGTAACCTCGACGAGTCCTGGACCGAAGACCGTCTGAGGCAGGACTTCTCCGAGTACGGCGAGATCGAGCTGGTTAACACCCTCCGCGAGAAGAGCTGTGCCTTTGTCAACTTCACCAACATTGCCAACGCCATCAAGGCTATCGAGGCCATCCGAGGCCGCGAGGAGTACAAGCGATTCAAGGTCAACTTTGGCAAGGACCGATGTGGTAACCCTCCACGCCAAATGAGCAACCAGCAAGCCCAGGCTCAGCAGGCTGGCAGCGATGGTCTGCAGTCGCCGTCGCCTATCAACGGCCTGCACCCCAACCGTGCCGGCGCATCAGTCTCGCCCACCGGCTCTGGCGCTCCCGGCTCTGGCCAAAGCACCAACGGACAGTTTCCCTCTGTCCAAGCACCTGCTTCGGGCAACATCCTCAACTCAGGCAACAACAACAACCCGCTCATGATGTACCTCCAAGCCCAACAGCAACAGCAGCAGCAGCAACAACAGCAACAGGCAGAGGCTAGCATGCAACAGCAGCAAAACCAGCAGCAACAGCAGCAGTCTTTCCAGTCGCCTCAAGCTGCCTTTTACGGTGCTGACCTGAACACTCCTCAGCCGCATCACTCTCACAGCTCGCACCAAAGCACTTCGAGCTTTAGCCTCATCAACGGCACATCAACTGGTGGCTCTGGAACGACCACGGTTGGTGGACTCCTTGCGCCCTCGAACCTCAACTCTCGCGGCCAGCACTCTCGCGCCGTCAGCCTTCCCGCTTTCACCCAGGGCCCCTTCAACCACTCCATGCCTCAAACCCAGGCCCCTCAACAGGGATCTTTCGGCAGCCTGAGTTCGGGCATTGGAGGCTTTGGTAGCGGCAACAGCGGCTATGGCCTTGCGATCCAGGGCGATGGCGGTCTGCCTGGATGGGCCGAAGAAGAGGTTGGTGCCCAGTAGGCATCGCGGCCGTTTTAGATACTCGCCCATGTCATCTTGACACAAGCGATGTTTCACCTTCAACGACAACTTTCTGGTTACCCTCTACCACCTTCTTTCTCTTTTGATACTTTCTTTCTTTTTTGCTTTCTCTTTCTTTTTTTGGTTCTAGGGTACTTACGGAAAGGGCGTGGCTTTGTTGATCTGTCCTGGATCTGATTGTTCAACTATTTGTTGTAATTGGAAAATGCGCGCTTTGCCTTAATACTTGACCTTCCCACCTTCGTTTTATTTCTTCATGTTTGACATGTTTCTTCAATGTTTTACTTTAGATACCTGTAGGGATACCTAAGGGCAAGGTGGAGGGGTATGAGGCTAGAAATGTCAACACGAGTGACTGGGCATGAGTTTGTCTGCAATGTTGTCAATTGAATTTGTCTAAAAGCCATGATGTGTGCAATGTCTATGTTGTGAGGGTGACTATGGAAGTATGTGTTGGGTGAGACCATGAGCAGTCAGGTGATGAGTGTATTCCATGTTGACGAGCACGACGTCAGAGACAGGCCATAACCAAGCATATCCTGGTGCAGTTGATTTCTCGGCTTGGGCATGGGAAGTCTTTGTACTCGTATTGGAGCGCCGCATTCGAGACTGCCAAGAGCCAACAATGACGGTGGCTGGGTATGGTGTACGCAGCGCGCGCACTCGAGGATGTTCCACCACAAGGCGATGTATTTGATTGTGACATGGGCGTAACGACGAGGTCATTCAACAATGCATTCAGACACTTCATCCACGCAACCTAAGAGCCTCGCACCACATGCGCACAGCCTCGTCACGTTCCTGGCCCTTCTTGGCCAAAGCCGCGGGCGCCATCATAAACTCTCGAACTTCGGAGCGCCCCAAATCCTTGCCCTCTTTGATGGTATTCCAGCAATCGCGTATCACAGCCTGCGCATGCTCAAAATCGACGTCTTCCTCGTCGACCTGCATAGCCGCTCCGTTGTCCGTAGATGTGTACCCCGAGTCCGCGCCACCATCGTCTGCGGCCTCTGCGCCAACCGCGACAGTGATGCACAGCACTATGCCTGGAGACGACGCAGCGCCAGACTGGGGCCCTTCGCGCGTCGCACGCAGCTCGCCAATCTGTATTGTGCAAAGCCCACCGGTATACGACGAGCCCTCGCGCACGGCAAGCACGTGTCTCTGTGTCCACAGCGCCGAAGACTGGTTCCTGAGCATCGAGGCATGCGAGTCCTGTTGGCGCAGCGGTATCGACACAATGGTCGCGGGATATGCGACGGGCTGCGCATAGATATATGTGCGGCTCGCGGCGAGGGTCGACAGGTGCAGCAGGTGCTGGTACGAATGCGCGTACGGCTGTGGTTTACCGTCTGCGCCCGTGGGCGGCTGGTGGCCGGGCGGAACGGTATCGCGGAACGAGCGGTACGACAGCGACCATGGCGACTGGCGCGTGGCCGTCTGAAAGCTCGTCTCGATGGCCTGCGTGAGGCTGCTGACTGTGGCGAGGGCGGCTTCGACGGTGGTAGAGGGGTTGGAGATGAAGTAGAGGCTGTGGCGGCATTTGTGAGCTTGGAGCGGCGAGTGCGTGACACAGCCACATGCGGGCAGATCAAAACAAACATTGGCTGCTTACCCGCTGTACTTCATCTTGCCGGGTTCCTCCACGAGCAAAGACGGGGGAGGGGCTGGCGTGCGACGTAGTGGAGGTTAAAAGTCAGGTACTACCGCGAGCGGGAAGGGCAAGCTCATGGCGGAGCCGACCGTTACGATCGGCGCATGGCCCCACCCCTGCTAGCTTCAGGGTTCAGTGACGCGAAACCGCGCGTCGGCGTGTCGGCGCTTTCAGCCTTAGTTGTCCCTCGGCCAGCCGGTCCCTTAGCCCAGCCCCATGTCCTGTCTCCCACCATGGGCGCCTTCGTCCTCCTTCTCTTGTCTTTCCCCCATCCCGCCATCTACCCGCACTCTGCATCCGTCTCGTGAAAGCGCATGCAGACGCTGCTTTTCCCTTGATTCCTAGTTTCCGCTCTATTCTGTTACTCCGTCAGCTTGCGCTCGTTACCTACCTACGTACCCCATTCCTTGCCTAGACTTTTGTGCCCTTTTGTTTCTAGAAAGTTATCGTTTCGCTACATGAGATAATACCCGCAATAGACTTTTCCTTTCCACCCCTCCTCACCCCCGCTCACCATGAGCCCCGTTGTGCGCCGCATTGCTGTGCTGTTCATATCTGCGGCGCTGTTCCTCCTCGCCTTTCGCCAGCTCGGCGCGCGAAACCGCCTTCCTTCGCCTACTCTGATCGCCTCCAATCGCATCTCGAGTCCCGTAGACTGGAAAAAAGTGCCGCAGAGACACCCGGTTTCTTCGCTGGCCCCGCTGCCCACGGGCTCCGCAACCCCCATTCCCAGGATCCAGCACGAGTTTGGAATTGAGACGGAGCACAACAAGGCCGAGAGGCGCCAGCGGCAAAAGGCTGTCAAGGAGGCGTTTCTGCATTCATGGCGCGGCTACAAGCAGCAGGCGTGGCTGCAGGATGAAGTCTCTCCGGTAACAGGGGGCTTCAAGAATGGCTTTGGCCAGCGTGCAGCGACCTTGGTGGATGCGCTGGATACGCTATTCATCATGGGCCTGGAAGACGAGTTTGAGCAGGCAGTGCATGCTGTGAAAAAGATTGACTTTACCACTGCAGCTGTCGAGCGCCTGAATGTCTTTGAAACAACTATTCGCTATCTAGGCGGTCTGCTAAGCGCGTACGATTTGAGCAAAGGGAAGCACTCGTCGTTGTTGCACAAGGCCACGGAGCTGGGTGACATGCTATACGCTGCGTTTGACACACCCAACAGAATGCCAGTCACACGATGGGACTGGGCAAAGTAGGTGTATTTTTTGTCTCCAATAACTCTATACTGACTCGCCACAGTGCTGCCCTACATGGTTCCCAAGAAGCTGATGCACAGGCACTCAGTGCGGAAATAGGATCACTGACCCTGGAGTTTACACGTCTCTCGCAGCTCACAGGCGACGCCAAATACCACGATGCAGTGCAACGAGTCACAAACGTACTCGAGAAGCACCAAAGCAAAACCAAAATCCCCGGCTTATTTCCGATTCTCGTCAGTCCGTTCCGCGAGGAATTCGATACCGGCAACTCCTTCACCATGGGCGGCATGACGGACTCGCTGTACGAGTATTTCCCCAAGCAGCACTTGCTCCTGGGCGGCGTTACAGACCAGTACCGCAAGATGTACGAAAAGGCCATTGAGCCCGCCAAGCAGCATCTCTTCTTCCGCGCCATGGTTCCTCACGGCCAGAATTTCCTCATCCCAGGCAACGCGCGCCTCAGCTCAGCCGGCTCGGTCAAGCTCGAGCCAGACGGCCAGCATCTCGCCTGTTTCGCTGGCGGCATGGTTGGTCTCGGCGCCAAAATTTTCAACCGCACGGCCGACATGGACATTGCGCGGAAGCTCGTTGATGGATGTACGTGGGCGTACGAGGCCATGCCTACGGGTATCATGCCCGAGACGTTTAGCATGGTGCCGTGCGTCAACGACGACGATTGCGCCTGGGACGTGGCAAAGTGGCATGCAGCTGTCAAGAGCTCGTACTCGGGGTCTCTCCATGCACAAGACTATGATATCCAAGATATTATTAAAGAGCTTGGTCTCCAGCCGGGTTTCTCGAGGATTGGAGATCCGCGGTTTTTGCTCCGGTGAGTTCATCTGCTTTGTCCTCTACAGCCTCTTTTCTAACATATACCACACAGCCCCGAAGCCATCGAATCCGTCTTCATCCTCTACCGCATCACGGGCGACTCTGCGCTGCAAGACACGGCCTGGCGCATGTTTGAATCCATCCAAAACGCCACCATGGCGGAATTCGCGCACTCGGCTATTGCTGATGTCACGGTGCCCAAGGGCCAGGTGCCGCTCAAGCTCGACGAGTGCGAGAGCTTCTGGATGGCCGAGACGCTCAAGTATTTCTACTTGATTTTCAGCGAGCCTGGCTTGGTCAGCTTGGATGACTATGTTTTGTAAGTACCAGCCCTTGAGGTTCTTGGACTGCGATGAGTAGGGGTGTTTGGAAAAGAGGCTAATGAGAATACAGTAATACCGAAGCGCATCCGTTGAAAAGACCGAATGCGGCTCGTCACTAGATAAATAACACATGAAACGGAGTTGGGCTAGAAAATAGATGCGAGGGAGTTTTTACACGGCATGCTTTTGACGCGCTTAATTATACATGCCTAGACTTTTTTTTTTCGCTCCGCGTTAGCGATGTTGTAGGTGAAATGCATCGGTTGTTCTGGTACCTTATTCATAGGGCCAAATACGTGATTCTTCTCTTCCACTGGGAAACTGGGGGGCTTTGCTGATGTGCTGTGTTTAGTGGGTGTTGTGAGATGTGTGGTGGAATTAAAGTTGGGATATGTATAGTGATCGAGGGGAAAAGGAAGGGTGCAAACTGAGGCTTTGTGCTGTGTATTCTTCTAGCAAAGAGTCTTGAGACTAACATAGCAGCAGCCATTGACGTATTACAACTCCGCAAGTGCCGTGCCCAAAAGCCGTTGGCTCTTTTTCTTTTCTTTTTCCTCGATACACTTCCATCGTGACTCGTACTCGAACAAAAAATTCTCTCCCGACTCTTCCGCAGCAGATAACGTCGCATGAAGTAATCCGAGTTTGGAGCTTGCCATTCATTCCAACCGAGTGCGGGCTTTCCTCGAGTGCGGGGTTCATTACGCGTGCAGTTAGTTAAGCCCGGGTTGCGATAAGTAACGACGTGCTTTGTACAGCCATTCCACTCCCATCTTCTCATCCTCATAGTTCCTTGTGGGCCAAATATCACTATCGATTCTAGGTATCGATGCATGCTAAACCTCGAATCCCTCGGCCATTGGCGTCACGCTGGGCTTAACCTTCGCTATCTAACATCCATATAGTAGCTGTCTCAACATGGTTAAGTACCTACAAGCACCCCCTCCGCTGTGCCGCATACCAACATTGACAAACAACAGCGAGCTACACCCATCCATCTTCGATTAAAAAAAAAGTCACACCATCCAGCGCGGGTCATGAGGGGTTAAGATGCAAGGTCTTGTATGGAGCAGGCCCAGTCTTCCGAACGACTTATCAAGAGGCAGACTTATATCCATCCTCGACAAGGTAAGTCGCTAACTCCAGTCTTGCCCTTGGAACGACGCCAATACCAATATCGTCAAAGCCGTTAGCTACTAAAAGCATGAAACCCATGAGGGAGGGACTCAACTACCTCAAACAGTATAACGCGCTTCCGTCCCAGGGATCCCGATAGCAACAACCGTTTGTGGTGGTGGTTGGCGTTGCATTGCCGAGCGGGAATGATTATGACGCCCGTCGCCCCCCGCGTGACTTGGGCCATGACGCCGTACACACATACGGCCTAAGCTGGGCACTCTGCACTTGTCGAGCCACTCAAGCGTCTTCCCAGCGTAATCTTTCTCTCTCTCTCGTACGTATGGTGCCAGGTTTGGGGATTTGGATACTGCACACGGCTAGCTTCATGCGTGCCCGCAGCGATCGACGCACCGTGATAGCATTGCACCCCACCACCACTGGCCTGTCTGCTGCGGCGCCCAAACTGTTGTGCAGCGGTCATCCTGGGGGATACTGTATGTAGGTCGCTGCAAATGCATGCATATCATCGCGGCGTACTGGGCTGGCTGCTGCTTTTTAACACGCGGGTAATGTTGCTGCGTGCGAGGACTTGTACTTCAGCCGATGGCGCCCCGCACCTGGTCTTGATAAGGGATTCTGCGGCTTGTTTTCTTGGTATTATATAAATCGTGTTGGCTAGACACAGGTTTTGTTTAATCATACAGTGGGAGATTGGGTCTTTTTTGCCCGTGGGCTTGCCGTGCTGCAGTGCTGTTTCATTATTGCATCTTGCTGAGCTGAGCATTTCAGGAGAAGCACTGTCGAACATACACTGAAAACTAATACTAGTCTGTCTCATGACTCTCAAGTTACTCTTGCTGCTCGTCGCAGCTCTCGCCATCGGCTCGACGGTGGTGCTTCGACGCAGCAAACGCAACATCTTGCTGGAGCGACTCCGCGTAGGCGGACGCAGAGTATCTGGTGCAAGAACGCCTCCCAGATCTCTCTCACCCGACAAGAAACCCGCCATCCCTCCCGAATTCAATTACTCGCAAGCTTTTCCCCCCTCACGACGAGACGCTCTAACTGGAATCTTGAACGAGGAAGACATCGACGAGCCAGTGGGAGACTGGACAAAGGACATGCTACCCATGGACATGTCGTATCTCGACGCCGACGACTCGAAGCGCCTCCCCTGCGGCTTTTCCATCAAAGAAATCAAGGCTCTCGGCGACTTTCCAGACTACGCTGCTCTCAGCGGTGTACCTCTTCCCGCGGCATACCCCGAGTTTGACATAGCCAAAGCGTTGCCCCGGCCCTACCGCCCGTTCCGCTGGCCGTACCACCAAACCATGTGTAAGGAGGGCCCCTTTCATATTATCTTGGAAAAACAAGAAGAAATACAGTAACATATTTTCTTTACTCACACAACCAGCACTCAGCAAGCTCCAACCCGACTGGTGGCTCGAGCTGGAAAACACATACAAAACACGCATCCAGCAGCGCCTGGCCCTGTACGCCACGCACGGCCCAAACGTGCTCAACGCGCTGCCCGGCTCCGAGCTCGCATGCAAAGAAACCATGGAAACGGCCCTGCAATTCCTGTGCCAACGCTACCCGCACTACTTCCGCTTGTCCCCGGACAAGACGACGCTGCACAACGCCATTCTGGGCGTGCAGACAAACCTGCTAGATACGCCGCCGCTGCATGTTTTGCTCAGCAATGTACCAGAGGACTTTGCGGTTATGCAGCGTAGTCATGAGAGCGGGCGCTATGTCCTGCGTGCAGGTGTCATTTGCAGTGCGATTGGGTGGAATCTGGGCTCCAAACTGGGATTGCATTTGTCCGAGATTCATGCGCCGATTCCGGATTATAAGGAGAAGATGGAGTTTTCCATGGAGAGGTATGTGTTTTCTCTTCGTCGTCGTCGTCGTCGTCGTCTGCTTCATTTACGCACACTTGAGGATACAAACACTGCTCAACAACGTCCATCTATCCCCATGACCCCCCCCCCTTTTTTTCAAAAAAAAAGAGATATGAACACGAAGAGAACCACCAATTCAAACAAACACACCCACTCACTTTTTTTTAAAAAAAAAACAGATACTTTACCAAACTCGCCACTACATGTCCCATCCAACGCGGCTCGTGGGGCCTCGAACTCGACCAACCACTCTACGTACCTCCAGATTCACACTCTTCGTCGCCAAGCCCAACCCAAACGGCCACACCCCCGGATCTTACCCGCATCCACCTGCGCGTAGACTGGCAAACACTGCGTCGGCTCCCCTTATCCGGGGCCATCCTATTCAACTTCAAAGCCATCTTCACGCCCGTGACTCGTTTCCGCACGGAACCGCGGGTACCAGGGTTGCTGGTGGGGATTCTGCGGGGCGCAAAGAGGGCGTTGCTGGCGTACAAGGGCATGGGGCGTGTAGAAGGGGTTGTGGTGGATGCGCTGGAGAAATGGCACGAGGAGCAGGTAGCGAGGGGCTGGGTGCATGGGGAGTGGGAGGCTGAGACGCTGGGGGAGAGCCCGTGGTTTGAGGGGTGGGAGGCCAAGTGGAGGGGGGAGCAGGGGTTTTGACATTTGGCGGCTTGGAAGCATGGGTTTGTTTGTGGTAGGTAGGTGGTAGGTGGGTGGTAGAGGTAAAGAAAGAGAATGAGAAACAGAAGCAGAAACAGAAACAGAAGAGAAAGAGAAAAAAAAAAGGTTGGCTTGAACAGTCATGTACATGACCTTTTGAACGAACAGAACGACATTGCAAAATTCATAACAGGATAATATATATGAATCTCAGCAGAACGAAACAGACATGTACAAATACAGCTCATAACTACATAAACATCATGTCTTGATTTGCAATCGCTTGGGTAACTTGGCGCGGTAGATCCATGCCGCAGCAGCAGCAGCAGCAGCAGCAGCCGCACCCAGCGTGCCCAGCACCAACGTGGTATTGCTAACGAGGGTTTCCTCGTGTACCCTTCCAATCTGCGTCTTTTGCTTGCCTGTTCCAAACACGACTTTGCTAGCGCTGATAGCCTTGTTGGCAGTCTGCTCCTCCTCTGTATCATGAGCCATGTTTGGTCCGGCTATGGTTTCAAAGTCGTCCCAGTCGACTTTGCTCAGCATCTCTTGGTACTCGATGACGGTGCCCGACCAATTATTCGTAATCTTGCCCTGCTTGTTCTTGTAACAGCTATTGCACTTTGGATCGGCAAACGAGCTATCCATGAGTATCTTCTGCATCTCGTCGTTGTACTCTTTTGTACGCTGCTCTTTGGGAACAAGGCCGATTCTCGTGCCGCGTGCTCGGGCGTCGAGAACAGCAGACACGAGAGTGTTGAGATGGCGGGATTGAGCTTCAATCATGAGGATGATGGAATTGTGGCCGAGGTTGGTGTTGGGGCCATAGAACATGCCAAAGTTTGGGAGGCAAGGCACAACGGTGCCGTAGAGAGCAGAGGCTCCGCCATTGGCAGCCCACACATCTGAGAGGCTGCGGTTCTGAGTGCCTGTAATACGGATTGGGTGGAGAAATTCAACCGTTCGAAAGCCGGTTGCGAGCACAATGGTGTCGTGGACGTGGTGTGTGCCGTCTTCCATTTCAATACCCGATTCAGTGATTCTCTTAATCTTGGTCGTTTCAAGCTGCGTTCTTGGGTCTGCCAGAGCCGGGTAGTAGTCGTCAGATATGATGACGCGTTTGCAGCCCGGGTTGTAATCAGGAGTCAGTTGCTCCCAGAGATCAGGCCGATTCGGGAGCTGCGCCTTCAACATATCCACAGTGCTGGTGCGGATTAGTTTGGCAAAATCGCTCTGGCCATCAATGACAGCATCGTAAAAGGATTCGCGAAAGTCCATCATGGCGCTGCGGATGCGCCACCGGACAGGCGGAAGGTAGCGCAGGACGGCACGTTTGAGCGGACTGACGGGGCCGTCAAGGCGTGGGATAAGCCAATTTGGGGATCGCTGGTAGATTGTCAGGGACGACGTCTGGGGCAGAATGTCGGGTATAATTTGGGCGGCTGTTGCGCCTGTTGATTTGGTTAGTCGTGACTAACCATGAAACACGCAACAATATATACCGTTTCCAATAACCCCAACACTCTTTTCTTGGAGACTGTAGCTCCAGTCCCACCTTGCCGAATGCATGATTTTTCCCTTGAAGTCGCCGAGGCCTTCAATCTCGGGGTATCGAGGTTGATTGAGCTGGCCGACTGCCGAGACTAGGAAATCGCACTCGATGGTGTATGCAGGGCTAAATTCTGCATCCTTGCCGCCCAGTACCTTGACGTCGACGGTCCATCGGTTTGTCGAGTCATGCCATGTGCCGCCGAAGCTGGAGCTCTTCTCTACAATGATGAAGTTGTGGCACTGGTTCCGTTTGATCAGGTCAATGGCCATGCACATTCCTTTGCTTCTCAGCCTCTTGCCGGATTAGTATATTGGTAGATTACTAACCAGAGATGCCGGCTCCGATAATGACGACTGCAGCGTCAGTGTGATGTCTGTTCCCGACGGCGGCCTGAGGCCATGGGTGGGAGCCGGCCATGTTGAGTGACGAGAATGTCAAACAGGGGAAAGACACAAAAGAGATGAGGAGTAGACAGGGAGAGGGGTCATGGATGATAAGGGTGGCAAGCAAGCAGACTAGCTGGAAGAGAAGGGTATGACGCGGTTCCGGTGGGCGGCACGGGAGGGACAGGCATTCTCCAAGCTGATCAAGACGAGTATAGGGCGAATTGGGTGTATCATTGCAGTCAATGGTGGAGGCCTCGGAGGGTGTTGTTGGACTAGGACGGCTCCGAGGTAACTTCCCCTCTCTCTCTCTCTGCCCAACCGGGGCTAGCCTGGGGTTGTCCATAGTACAGTGTGGTGCTTTATCAGCATGTAGCGTTGCACGGCAGGTATTGGCACTTGATAAGATGAGGTGGGCGAGGAGCGTGGGAATTGCCCCAAGGGGGGAGTGCTGGGTGTTGCAGCGATATGCAGGCAGAGGACTATGAGGGTGAGCGGTGGTTGTATAGTTGTGGCCGTGGTGGTCGTCATGGGCGTGGGCGTGGGCGCGGGGCGCATGAGTGGGGAAAGGCGGGCATTGATTGGAGCGCCAACATGCTTACCCCCGAGTCGAGTGGATGATTCGTATCACGAAGCGTGCAACAGGTTTCCGGCAGCAGCGCAGATTAGTGTGAATCTTACATGTCATGGCCAAATTTTGTTGCGACGCTGACGAGGCGCAGGCTGAGGGCGAGGGTGTGGCGTGTGTTGGATAGGCTTCTGCCCCTCGTGCTCCCCGCGCCTATCTCGCAGCCTCGACCGTGCTCTGTGCTGGTGCCGTGTTTGAGCATTGTGTTTTGTGGTGCCATGGTTCGGTGGGCGCGGCTTGGTTGGCGTGGTTCTGGCGGAATTGCGTGTCATGGCGAATTGGCCGAGCGCCCAAGGCTGGTGTGCGGGAGCGGGCGTCCATGTGCTTGTTGAGAGCGAGTGTTGACTCACGGCAAAAGCATGAGTAGTGGTGTTGGGCAGACGCATTTGCCATGGCCGCGGCGTGATTGGGCGAGGCGGGGGCGGTTGGCGAGCGCACGGGCCGGGGCTTGGCACTATTCTGGGAAGCAGAGGTCGAGGGGTGCGGGTGCATGGGAGCGAGTACACCTAGTGCAACTTGGATCATGATGATTATGGCTGCCCGCTGTCTTATCCCTCGGTCATGGCTAACCACATGGGGTCTGGCACCCTGTGCAGAAGCTGGTACTGCGGCGTCAGCAGCGTGTGCCCATGTACAAGTAGGTGAAGGATGGTTTGTCTCGCTGCTGCCATGATGTCAGGATGGCGGTGCAGCCACGGCCACGGTGGTTGGCTGGGGCTCTAGACTGGCAGACGCAGACGGAATAGGCGGCGGGCCTTGGGCGGGAAGCCAGTGCTGACGGGCAGTCTAAGTTAAGAATAACGAGCAGCGGCGCGCCATGGCATCGTCTAACGACCGACCGTGATTCTCGCTTGGTCGCTGGTAGCAGTCGGGTCGTGGGTAGCGGCGTTGCAGCGCACGGGCCGCGCCGAGCAGAGCAGAGCAGCATTGCATGGGCAGATGAGCGGACGCAGGCCAGAAGACCAAACCAGAATAAGAAAAAAAAGATAAGCACGCAGGACAAAGGGCTGGCTGGGTGGTGACGAGGGTTAAGGCAGCGACGGGTTTAGCCGTGGTTGCGCATGGAGGGTGGGTTCCTGAGATATCCAGCGGGGCGCTGGGTAATTGGAGATGGTCGGCAGGTGGACACGATAGGCAGGCCAAAGGTTGAGCCCCCGGCAGCAGATACGAGACGAGACGTTGAGGCGACCGTTTGTCGGTCTGTGAAGACGGTCGGTGCGGCGTGGGTGGCACGGCGTCAGCCAGTCGGGATATTCTCGAGCTCGCATGTACGTGGAGAGAGATGACGCTGACGGGCAGGGCGAGGCGAGGCTTGTTTTGGCCGAGGGAAATTGGGCGCGCGCCGGCATTTGTGGGTGTGGGTGTGGGTGTATGTAGGTGGAGGAGGCTGAGGAGTAATCGAGGGGCGTCGGCGAGGGGCGCAGCAGCATCAGCATCAGCATCAGCGTCGTCGTCGTCGTCGTCGTCGTCGTCGTCGTCGTGGTAGCGTATAGTACTTACTGCAGCAGAGGGGCTTCTTTTCCTGCACCCCGCAAGCACCCGGCCAGCTCCAGCTGCCGCTCCAGCACAAGCGCCGCCATAGTTGGCCAAGGCGGTGCGCTTAAATTCGATAGCGTGGCCCGCTCCAGCACCAGCACGGCCCACCGACGGCATTGGCATTGCCATCGAGTCGTTCCTTGGCCTGGATACGCCCGACCAGCTCTCCACTCGCCGCCTGTGGCTGGTGCTGCTGCTTTCTCTGGCTGGCGGCGCGCAGCTGGGGCGCTGTGAAACGGCCGGCTGGTATCGCGCGTGCTCAGCCGAGGGCGCGCGCGCACTGCTGTACTTGCAGCGTGGCGGAGGCCGAGTCGAGGTGCAGTCGAGTAGCAGCTGGTAGCTGTGCAGTAGGCGTCATGGCTGTCGTCGTAGTCGTCGTGGTAGCAGCAGCAGCAGTCGTAGCAGCACCACACCCACACCGATAACAAGGCCGTCTGCGCGCAATGCAGCCGGCCGGGGCCCAGCTGCTGCTGCCGTGCTCATTGGCCGTCCATGCCAGCGCGCATCCGTGTCGAGGCCTGGCCGTCGTCGTCGTCGGCTTGGGCTGCTCCCTGTCGACGGCTAGTTGCTGTTCTGAAACTTGCTGCACCTCCTGGTTGCGAGCCACCACCGCGCCCCCCGCCCGCCCTATTGCTGCACTCGCCTGCTATACCTACCCCATGTCGCTCGCCCTCTCCTGCATCTGTTTTTTTCTCTTTCCTTCTTCTTCTTCTCTGCCTGCCTGCTCCCGCTCCGGCGCCCCTCGATGCATGTCATCCTGCTGGCCCTCGCATCGCCGTCTCCACCACGCCTCCAGGCCCACGGTTGCCCTTGTGCGGCTGCTCTGCACTGCGCTGCGCTAGGCGCCAAGTAGCCCGCCTTAGCCATTGTTAGCCGGCCGTCCACCCTCGATCCCGCTGCTGCTCGCCGTCATCGCCGTCATCGCCGCATCCCGCATCCCGCATCCCGCTCACTCTTCATGCGGCGAAGACCCCAGTTGCGCCATCCCGCGTTGGAGCCCTGTCGCGAAAGGCCGTTTTCTTGGTTTTCGACCGACGAACGCAGCGAGTCCTTGGATTGCGCACGGCTGAGTGCGCGACTTCGCGAGCCGGGGAAGACGTATTCTTTGACGCTCTCCTTGATGCTGGCGGTGCGGCTGGGCGGGCGGGCGGCCGACATGGAGGGACGTCGGCGGTCGGTCGTATCTTGCTGCTGCTGCTGCTGCTGCTGCTGCTTCTTGTCCAGCTCTCGTCGCATCCACTCGGTTGCCTGTGCATCTGCAGCGGCTACGGGGTCGTCCAAGTGGTGGGAAGGCTTTTGGTTGGCGAGGGTCGACGTGACGGCTACGGGCAGCGTCACGTCTTCATCTGAGATGTTGGTGGCAGCGGCGGGCCTGGCTACATCCATGGAGGCTTTCCCCAGGGTTCGCAGTTTCTCGTCCTTTTCGGCGTCGCGGTCGGTGAACCAGCCAAAGTCGGCTCGCTTTCGGCTGCTGTTGGCTCTTGCTGGGGCGTCAGCGTTTTGCCTAGCTCGAATCTCCATGTCGGCCTTTGCGCGGGTGCGGGTTTTTGTGCTGCGCGAGCGAGGCAGAAACGAAGTGGACGAGGCGGGCTCTGGGGGCGCGCCCGTGGGGATGCGCACATTGACGTCGGCGGGGAGCGGCTTGGATTCCTTGCGCGGCTTGAAGCCGGCAAAGTCGAGCTTGGGGTCCGTGTTCTCCATGCCATAGTCGGAGGGCTTGAAGTTCTTGAGGATGAGGCGGCATGCGGCGCGGAGCTCGAGCTCGGTGTGGCTGTCGAGGACTCTGCGGTTGATCCAGGGCGAGTTGTCGCATATCGTGTCCTTGGACGTGTGTCTGCGGTGCGAGGACGACTCGCGCGAGTGTGACGATGCGGGATCCGAGGCGCGGTCGCCAAGATCGCTCTTGGGGGCCATCTTCTGGGACATGTGAGCTACTTTGGTTCGCGGGTGGGGGTTGGTGCAGGGAACGTACGACGGGGGCCAGGTTGAAGGACAGCTTCCGGGCCATGGCGATTAACAGTACGGTGGGGGGGGGGGCGTGGGAATGGGAATGGGCAGAAGGAAAACGTGGGCGGCACAGGGTAACAAATGGAAAAAGGGCAGGCTTGGGCCGGGGCTTGGGGACAAAATCGACAACCTCCAAGGCCTCGGCAGACGACTCTGCACAGCCGAGAAAATCCGAATCAAACGGCCTCAACCTGAATAGAGAGCTTCCCCCGCTGCCCAGTCTGGATACCTGGAAGGAGCCAGCAAAGCCCACAGAGGAGCTTGTGTCGCCCAAGTCCCCCACAGCAGAAACACACATTGCAAGTCTTATGCGTTCACAAGACCAGCCCAGTGAGCGCTCGCCTCCCAGCCGGAAACATGACCGCTCCAGTGGACCCGACGCAAACTCGACCCAGTACAACGGCTCCTTCCCCGTCCGCAAGTCATCCCGGAAGCACGACACCCAGGCCATCGCTCAGCCCCCGAGGACCGGACTCGAGAGTCCCAGTCAACCCGACCATTTTATCACGAGCTGGTCATCGGCCACCAACCTCCACCAGCGTGTTGACCTCAACTCTAGCACCCATACCCGTCAACGCAGTGGGGACAGCAGCTCGGCCGCAAACAGCAGCGGGAGCGCAGGCGCATCCGCTTTCTCCCGCAGGATGAGCCTGGTAGAGGCACAAGCACATAAGACGGTCTCCAATGAACAAAAGGCTCCACCAAAGGATGAGCAAAAGTTCAAGCTGAAGAAAATATTCAGCGGCTGGATCCACAAGAAAGACAAAAAGGACGACTGGATGCACAAGATGGAAAAAGAAGGCATTAAAGAAGGCATTCTCGTCCAAGAAGACAATGCCTTTGCACCGCCTGTAGTGCGTTATTAATCTGGTGTTTTTTTGTCTTTTTTTCTTTTTCCTTTTTTCTTTTTTCTTTTTTTTTGCATACTGATAATCTACCGTCCTGGAAACTACAAAAAGAGAGAGCCAATCCTACTCTTGGATGATGCGCTTCACTGGCCGGATCGTGTAAAACATACTTATGACACTAACGCATCATGTGCAACGAATTTGGATCCAGGGGACTGACAGAAAGAAAGAGAAACAAGGAAAAACCGACAAGCTTTTTGGGTCAGGTTGCCACTTTTCTGGTTCAGGGTCAGGGGAAATCTCAAGGTGTTTGGTTTGATGTTTTTCTTTTTCTTATTTTTCTCACTGCTTGTGTCTTACCCCATTCTTCTTTTCCTGCATTGTTCTGGAATCAAGCCGGGAATTCTTTCTGTCTCTCTCTCTCTCTCTCTCTCTCTCTTTTTTTTTTCTTCTTCGCTTTTAATGGCTTGGATTCGCTCACCACGCGCTAACCACACGGCTTTTTTTTACTGGACTCATGCTCACACTGACAGCCATTATACGTACATTCACACATAGTACCTGCATTGTATATTGATATACCTTAATCCCTCCTTAATCTGCGCTTTGGTCTAAGCTGCGCTACTACTCCAACATGCACCTGTGCATACAAGTTGTTTGTAAAAAAGTATAATTCGAATTGTTTTTGAAATCAATACCGTCTGCTTCGTTGAAGTAATGTTCATCTTGTTTATTCAAGTGTATGACTCTTGTATCTCATCTCACGTCTTTTCATTCATGACTGACTGTATTACATGTATATATATATCTATTTATACGAGAATGGAAAAGTCACACTGGATTTCTTTCTTGATACAAACTCTCCATCTCGGTCCCCTTTTTTTATCTTACAAACTGGAGTGTTTACGGACTAGACCAAACACTCTGATGTTTTCCCTTTTCTACCGTATCTTACTTCACTCACACTCATACTTCCACTTCCACTCTCCACTCACCTTCACCTACTTATCCATCCATCACTCTATTCAGCACCAAGCCCAAATAAACAACCCGAAAGCCTCTTACTGTACTCCCCAGACTCTTACCACCCTTTCATTCATTCATCCATTCATTCAACTCGGCTTAAATGTGCAACATAATAACGCACCAATACACTTGCACACATGTATTGCCTCACATACGCTCTATATGTAACGCTCGTATTGTGCGTCGGAAAAGTCGCTCTTTTACTTCTACTTCTACTACTACCTCTTCTTCTTCCTCCTCTTCTCACTCGTATACTAGCACAACAACAACAACAACAAAACCCGCCTGCACCGCATCCCCCCTCCTAACCCTGCACCACACCACCCCGTGTCCCACATGTCTGTACAAAATCTGGCTCCAAACCTGGCTTGACAAGTCTAGTCGTTCGAAAAAGTTTTTGCGTCTACTGCAGGAGCGAGATGGTGATGATGGTGGGGAAGAGGAGGATACACGTGTCGTGCGTGAATTGGTAAGCGCGCTGCACCAGAAGATGCAGGCGGAGATGTGGATGTGGAGTCGGATCGAGGGAATTGGACTTGGACTTGGATTTGGATTTGGACTGGGTGGGGGTAGGGAGAAGAGGAGGAGGAGGAGGAGGAGAGTGGGAAATGGAAATGGAAATGGAAATGGTAGGAGAGGATCCGTGTTACGGTTCGAGGTATATGCGAGTGATATTGGTATGCCCAGCGAAGGATACGAGGAGGAAGAGGAGGAAGAGGAAGAGGAAGGTGAAGAAGAAGAGGAAGAGAAAGAGAAAGATAAATCGGGGTATGAGAGAGACTCAGAATGGAATTCAGAGACAGACTGGAAATGGAAATGGGAATGCGACTCGGAATCCCGAAATCCAACAACAACAAGAGAATTTGAGAATGATGGTTTGGGGATTGGAATTGGAATCTCGGATTCCCTTGCTACGTATAACGCGGATACGACTTCTTGGAGCAACCATGGCCATGGCGACAGAAACCATGGCAAGACTGACTCGGATCTTTTCGACCACAGCTTCTGGACTCAGGACATAGATGCAGATGCAGACACAGACGGAGACATAGATGCAGATGCAGATGGAGATGTACAACGAGACTCTGACATCAATCCAAGTACCTGGCCGTGGGATCCTCCTCCACCACCATCACCCCCTACTCTTCTTCTCCCCACCACCACCGCAATCGCCCAGCCATTCAACGCCGCAAACCCGGAATACCAGACTCCAGACTCAGAAGATCATGCTTCGGAACTTGATACTATCATCACTTCACACACGCCTTCTTCACTCGTAGCATGGGATTCTTCAGATGTAGAAACGACTCCGAGTACTGCTCTCAATGCAAACGGTGATTTGTATACCACCACCACCACTACTACGACTACTGCAGAACACCATGACGAGCACACACGCAAAGTCGTAGCTGCGTTCTGGTCTGTAGTCAATGGCACGACGGAGATCAGCTCAGCATCCGTTCTACGCTTATTACATGATTTTAGGCAAGATGGAACATAATAGCACGCGTTTATCCTCAAGCCACTTCACCATACCAAACGTCAGACACAGTCATGCCATTACTACCAAGCATATCCTGTATTCATACCAGCAACGTCAACTACCCTAGTTCATGCTCTAAAACTCATAAAAGCGCCATTTGCTATGCATTTGCTGCTCCCAGAGCAAAGTCAAACAAGATCCGGAAAATCGCTTGCACCATGCGCCATGCTCCGAGCCAGAGTCGACATACAAGCTGCTTCGCCCAGCGCAACATCCAAATGTGTATGTATACGACGCAGAGCCCAATCGTCACAGGAGTTAGGATACACAGGGCCACCGAGGCTGGACCCATCAGGGCAATAGCTGCGATGCACTCCCACAGCCGAGTCTGATATTCAGAGTCCGGCGGCAGATCGTCGTCATCCTCAAATGGAACCGAAAGCCGCCTGTCCGCCTTGGCGAAGAAAACTGGTCCTTTCCTCGGTCTATATTCCATTAGTCATACATAATCATAACGCATCAAGACAGGCAGGGTAGACAGGGATCACCACCTGTCCACTCCTGAGCCTCCTGACATGACAGTATTGAAGAAGTTGCCGTCGCCCCCGTCGCCGTAGCTACCACCAGAGTATCCACCACCTCCTCCGTATCCGCCCATGGTACCCATGCGGTTCTTGCCCTGGTTCTTGGCATGCTCTACAATAGAGCTCTTACGGCCAAACTCCTTGGCTGCTGATACCGAGTTTGTGATGGACGACAGCAGATTGACAAGCTGCACATCAGACGCCTCTTGTTGAGATTCGAGCGAAAACGTGGCTGAATCGGGAGGGGCAAGAATGTTGATACGAGCAAGCATGGCTGAAATGCTACGAAGAATCGAGTGATTTAGCGGCAATGGATGTTGCTCGTCAGGTGTCGGGTTGATTGGGAGAGATGCATCCGAGAGATATGATGGTGGAAGGGAGTTGAGATATGCGCGAAGCAGCGCTATGCGTCGACTAAGCATCCGGATGGCGTTCATTTTTGCTGTCAGAGTCGATAATACTATGCGATGATTAGCACCTGAGGTCGTCTGCAGTCAAAGATGACTTACTCTCTTCGTCATCTGCATTCAAGATGGACGACTCTTCGATTGGGGCATCTTCTTTTTCCTTTTCCTTCTCTTTCTGCTTGCCTCGCGCATTTTGTTTGGCGTCTTCATCGGTCGTTGGAGTCTCAGCGCTTGACGCTGCTACATCAACTGAGCCTTCGACTGCCGTTGCGTTTCCTCCACCACGAGCTACAAAGTCTACAGAGATCATTTCCGCCTCTCCAGTCTCAATCGAGTATACCAGCTCCCGGAACTTGATTGACTTTGGCTGTACTGCGCCGTCGATATCCATGGCCTTGTCGTTCGGGTCGCTCGACGTGGTGACGGAGACGGACTCGTAGACGGTAAGCGGCAGCTTCCCAGCAGCCGTCTCCTCGGAGAATGCATTTTCGGGGTGGAAGAGAACGAGTAGTGGCAATTCGGTGTATACTTCGGATATGCGTAAATGAATGGGAAGAAGGTGAGGCTCGGGACCGGAGGCAGGACCAAGGGTGAACCATCCGACAATGTCTAGTTGAGGCTCCTTGTGTACATCCTTGACTGCAGCTACCGTAAGCTTTCATCCTGTCGACTACAATTGTGACTTACAGTCCTCCAGGCGCTTGCTGAACCATTCGTCGTCGAGCGTGGTCTCGCCATCCTGGTTTGACAGGAGTTTTGCCTGGAAAGCAACCTCCATAGTAATGTTCTGTCCATCCTGTACGCCCAGTATTGCCCCAACGACCGGCCCTTTCTGCTGCCGTAGCGTGTGCCGTGTTACGCAGTCGGTGATTGTGAGGAGGACTAGCGGGTGAAGCTGAACGGTGGGACTAGCGTCCGAGGCGCGGGTGCTTGATACGAGCGGATTCTCTGATGAATCCGCCATGTTGCTGTGCACGCAGGCTGAACGAACGAATGTACACGCTGGAGGAGCTGGGGCGGTAATTGGAGGTCAAGGGCCAAGGTGGAACTGCAAGGCAATGGCGGCGATGTCTCCAGTGGTGGGGAGCTTAGGCTGCAGCTGCCACTAGTCGTGGGGTTGTGCCAAGGCGCTAAGCCGAGCTCTGGCGTGTAACTGCACTACGTGACGCGACGCCCTTTCATCTGCAACCACTTCTTCACACTTGCTTGTTTGCTGGGCATTATATCATTACATTTTCTAATCGACACAGACTCCTATCGACACATGTCCCATCCGATGCCCCCATAGCAATCTACCCTAATCTTTCCCAAAAAGCGAATGGTATCTCAGTCTTGAACTAGAACCCAAAATCCACACCATGAACGCCCAGCCACGACCGCTAGCCATCCTGGTCGTTTCTACGTAACCTCTATTATTCGTAACAGCCGGCCAAAGCGAATGCACAAAATTACAGCCCGGCTGAATCTACATCTCGACAAGGACCTTGACGACCAAGTTGCCGTCCTTGTCCTTTGTTTTTCCCGCGAGCTCAAAAGCTTCTTTGGTTGAGGCCAGGCCGTGGTATCTGGTGATAATGTGAGCAACTGACTCATTATCCTATAGCAACACCACTTACCGGTGTGTGATCATGTTGTCGAGGCTTGGGAGCACGCCTGCAGAAAGGATCTTGATACCCGTCGGGTAGGTGTTGGCGTAGCGGAAGATGCCAATGATATCGACCTCCTTCAGATGTGATGCCGACATGGGAAGCGTCTGAATTGGCGTGCCCATGCCAACCATGATGAGCTTACCACCAGGTCTCGTTGCCTGTAGGCCCCGTAAGCATGCTTCCGCGGTAATGCAGGAGATTCACTTACATAAAGTCCAGCTTGCATGCACACCTCCTTTCCAGTGCAGTCAAAGGTTACATCTGCGCCCTCGAAATCAATCTCGCCCAGCGAAGCCATCTGTATGACATCTGCAGCCAGCTCCTTCGCGGCAGCGAACTGGCCCGTTGCTTCAGTCTCCTGTGTCTGTGGTGTCACAAGGTAACCCTTGTGTGCGAAGCCGTTCGCGAGAGCATAATTTATGCGTCCATAATCCATGTCCGCAATGACGACTGTCGTAGCACCAGACACTTTGGCCATTGCGGCAGTCAGCAGACCAACCGTGCCCGCACCAAAGACAATGGCAGTGTCCCCCTGCTCAATCTGGGCTCGTCGGGTAGCGTGGATGGCTACCGAAAGAGGCTCCAGGAGCGCAGCCGACTCCATGGACACGTGAGAAGGAAGTCTGATTAAAGTTGTCAGCTAAGGCTCGGTTTTCGGGACGATCATGCACAACATACTTGTGGCACCATTTGGCGGGATGGTTGATGCGCTCCTGAAGGGTCCCCTGGAAGTGAGGGACCGATTTGGCGCTACTCCGGAACCTCATCTTGGGGCACAGGTTGTAGCGGCCTCTCTGGCACGACCGGCAGTTGTCGCATGGCACGCCCACCTCGAGGGCAACGCGGTCGCCAATCTGGTAGCCAGTGACATTGTTGCCGATGGCCACTACAACCCCGGCAGACTCGTGGCCTAGGGACAGAGGCTCGCAAGCCTGGAGATCGCCGTTGCGGAACTTGCTGTAGTACGAGCAGTCGCTCCCGCAAAGTCCCGTGGCCTTGATAGCGATCTGGAGTTCATTGGCGGCGGGCTCTGCGATTGTTCGAGTTTCCTATTCGGAACTGTCAGCCTGGCATCTCGGACACTCTATACGAAGAACCCCCACGAGCAGTGGGTAATAAGCGTGGGATGGATAACGAAAGCGGAAGGCATACGAGCCGCAAATCCCTTGGCCCATGCAAGACGGACGCTACAACGGTAGACGCCTTTGGGTAGTGCCTTGCTGGGATTGGGTAGATATCTGCGAGAGCTGAGGGAGCCATTACGAGAAAAGATATAAAAGTACGGCAGCGGGTGGCAAATGGCACGGGAAAAAAGTGAAGGGGGAGATAGCTAACAGGAGCCCAACCCCACGGGAGCGTGGAGGCTGATATACTTGTTGAGAAGACGCGTTTGGATCAACAGCGATGAGCACACGCTGGGCTTGCCTCAGATTCGTGCATCGGCGAGATAGTGGCATCGCATGAGGCAAGACTTAACGGTTCCACGTCATTTGCCAGGCGACTCAATCTGGCGGCACGAGCATGGATAGGGGATGCGCGACCAAAGCTACTTGGTACGGTAGGGCTTCGCGTAGTCATTTCTTCATACCGTTACTCTGATTGCATGTTTGCGGCTAGATCCCCTGGTGGGTACGCCGCAGAGAGTATCTGTAATTCGCCCGAAGAGCTAGCGGCAACCGACCCTGAGCACGTTTGGGCCCGTTTTACCGAATCAGCAGCATCAAAGGGCCGGAGCGTGCAGACAGCAGATATGATATACGAGCAATAGTCATAGCATTGTGTCGGAAGCGGGCAGGCCCTTTGCTAAGGCCCGTCTATCAGAGACGGTGTAGGCGTTGTGAAACAGCGATAAGGCACTCTGCGCGCCTATGGAGCACCCCCTCGAACGGTTACGTTGGGATTGCTTGCAGTGGATCTGTCACTTCTTGTGGCCCTCTGTAGCTGCATGGATCCCTGAGCGCGATGCAGGAAACATCAGCCTGATATGCGGGCTGTCCGTTGCCAGGGGTGGCACGCCGTCGCCGTCAAAGCCATATCGCCGCCATCCATGGGTCCTGCGCGAACCCCAGCTCACCATCAGTCCTGGGCCCCAGGGCCTAATTGCCGACGGAAGAATTCGAGCGCTGAGTGGCCAGAAGCACTTGGCTGATCTTCGAGAAGGCCTTTGGAAGCCGCTCGTGCAATCTAACCTGGCGGCGTTATATTGCACGGGTGGGTGTGAATGGCTCATGCCTGGACACACGGCAGCTTCAGACTGAGCCGATGGGCGCGCCAGGCCATGGCTATCGGTCCTGTAGCCAGTTGCCTTGGCAGTGCTCTGCTGGGGAGGCGCAATGGAGGGCGCAGTCCGAGAGCTGTTGGCTCGATGTCGGCTTGTAAGGTCGGACGTGCGTTACGGTGTGGCTACCGCCAAAGCTAGTTGACGAAATTCATGAATTCGCAACCAAGCTGTCGGTACAAAAAGGCGTAGGGCTTTCTTATCGGAGCGACTCCAGGATCAACTGCACAAACGACTGGCCCGAGGGATAGCTAATAGCCAACAGCTGCAGCCGGGACCGACGAGTGGCCACCCAAGAGCCATCGAGATTTGACATGTGCCGCGGCCGTCTGCATCAACATGACGAGAAGGCACCGGTAGCGCGCTGCAAGGTCATGTTGGATCTGCCCATCCAACCGAAACATAAGGTCGAGCATGGTCCATTCGGGACCGCACGAAATGAATAACGGTGATCGTGGACACATGGAAATGACTAGACAGGGGTGGCGCCACGAGCCAGACGAGCATGTCGTTGGTAAGCCCTAGCAAAGTACCACGGAACAAGTAGGTATCTCTCCGACCGCCGGGCATACGGCCCCCTCATTTGACAGACGACGCCGTCTTGCTCGCAATCAGACTGCACCTGCGGGACGGCAAAAGCACCAACATGCCGGTATGGGTGCCGTGTTTTGCACATGGTCAAAAGTTGCACGGCAGAGCGCCGTGGTGGTTCCAACGTCGCCGTCGTCGTCGTCGTCGTCTTGCTTGGCAGATTTAGAGGTTGACTGTTCTGCTGACTGTTCTGCAGACTTGCATCAAACGGTAAGTATCCCAACGACAAGTGTAGCGAGGACACACCATTGGCACCTGCAGCCAGTCCGCTTGATGCTCTCCGGCGCCGCGGACTACGAGATGCAATTGTATAATGGGCATGCCGATAGCACGCGATGGCATGTGAGAGTCGTACGCATGTACACACTGGCGACATCGACTTGCTGCTCAACGCTATTCTCCAAACCCTGCCGATGGCCCGTACGAACCCTGGTCCTATATGCATCACCAAGCAGCCAAACCCTCGACACATCTGCATGGACCTTCAAAAGCAGAAGGCGGTGAGCCTGCTCAGTGATGCCGTACCCGTCAGAGGCTTCCAATTTGTTTGGCGCACACATGTTACCCCCTTAATCCCCACCTGAGACGAGTATATCTCAGGGACCCGCATCTTTGTATTGCAAGCAGCAATGTGAGCTGCCCCAAGTCGGCTGGCCACCCGCCAAATTTCCGCCGCGATTAGTCGATGCTAGCCCTCTGCAGTGGAAGATACTGTGGGAGGCGGTCTGTCTGCTTTTGACGTAAACGGGGCCGCATCCCCTATCGTAGCCAGGCAGCATCCAATCCCAGGGAAGCTTTGCATATTGCGGGCGCATGGCTCCGCACCAGTTCGCCCGCAACACCACCATCACGCCGAGTCCGACTCATGACCACCAAATAGCCACAGGGTACAACGCTCCATCACTACTGGCTATATGCTCTGCCGCAGCGTCCCAGGGCTGTGGTTGGCGCACGGACGGGGGACCTGCATCCGGGATATCTCTTACCAGGAAAGCATGCGAGCACCTTTTCATCACCAACGATATTTCCTAAAATTCAAGCAACACTGCGACTCTTCGCTTGGAAGAATGCACGGTGACATCCAGCGTGTGCATGTGCTTGATTCAAGATGGGCCAAAAAAAGGCCAAAAGGATGCGGGTTCCAGAACACGCAGCGCTCCCCGTCGACCGTCTAATACTTTGGCCGTTTCTTTTCAAGGTTAGAACCTCCGGAGATACCGAGAAACTCAGCACCACTGCACGACGCCTTTATTTTAGAGGGGCAAAAGCACCGAGCCGTTAGCGGTGCCTTGTAAGCGAGGACCAGAAACACGGAACATGTCCAAGCGTTTACTCCCTAGTACATGTGAAAGAGAGAGCGAGAGAGAAAGAGAGGGAGAAAGAGAGGGAGATCCTGCCGCTTTGCCATGTCGGAGGCCGTGCATTTGGCCGATGATGAGTGCCGGCATCATGACTACGTCCCGCTAAGACAAGGCAGTTGTGTGCTGACGCAGACTTGCATTGCCATGTTGAGTGCCGTCTTGGATTTTCTTAGCAAAGCTAGCTCGACACGAATTAATCATTGTTTACTCAGCGTCCACAAAGCACATGCCGAACGAAAAAATATGGGAACAAGTCGCATGTGTTGACCTAACGACTTCCCGATATCGCTCCACATGGCATGGTAGACGCAAGGGTCACAGGCACACGTCAGACTATCACGGATAGAGCCGCAATCTGTACTACATGTTTGTCTGTACGTACACCTACATACATAGCCGGCAGAGTGATCTACGCCATGCTACGTACATCCAACGCTAGAGTCATGCGACGCACGCACTCACACACTCAAAGCACACACGATTCACTACGCGAAATTTTCTGGCACCTGCACGACGCAGCAGTGGACCGCGGATAGGGTAGGCAAAACTTGGTCGGATGCACCCGCAAGCGTGCGTAGCTGCACCCACTACCCAAAAGCCATACATTGCATTTGTCCATCTAGTCTCGAGTAGCAGCGGAACACGGTCGTGTATCTCCGGCTACGCAGCACGCTAGCGAATCCTCTGGATCCTCCTAATTTTACAAACGACCATCCTGTTGCTTGTTCTTGCTGTCGACTAAGCCCTCTGCGGTAAGCCATTGGCGGATAATCTCGTTCACCTCGTCTGGCTTCTGGATCATGGCCCAATGCGACGTCGCCACCTCGTCCCTGGTGAGCCTTGGAATAAAGGTACCCATGTGTTTTGCCACGTCTGCTGTGAGGACGGTGTCCCCAGAAGCTTGAATGAAGAGCGCGGGCTGCGTAATCGTCTTCTTGTCAAGGAGCTCTTGCTCCTCTTCCCAGTTTGTGCGGCGCTGGCGGTACCAGTTAACTAGATTGAGGTACACCAAGTATTAGCTGGATGTCATGCATGCGTGTGAGCAGGGGTGGGATAGCATACGGGTAGAATGGATGCCATGGACGTTATACTGCTTGACGTAGTAGTCCAACATCTGATTCGCCGTCAGTACACCCTCGCTTGTCAAAGTAGGATTTCCAGTCTTTCTTTATGAAACAATGCAGTGCGAATCGGCGTCTTGCCACACAGTCACGCCAGTCGTGGCTGAGGCACAGCCGATCTTCTGGATGTTCTTCCCGTCGTTCCTGCACCGAACGTCGAGACAGGCAAATGGGTTTTCGAGCCAGCCAAGCATGTGACTTGCCATGGGAGCTCAAAAGAGCAACCCCTTCGCCTCTCAACCCGTCTCCCCGGCTTCCAGTTCCAGCGTCCTCGCCGATGTACAACCGCCACGCGTCCCAGCATAAGAGATCAACACGTACTTTTCCATTCAGAAGCTTGTTGTCTCCAATCTTGTCCAGATGCTCGGCGATCAAGCCCTTATGGGGGTCGAACAGAATCTCACCGTTCGGTCCCCTGCCCCCATACATGGCTTTGAAAAACTGCCTAATTGAATTTTCGTCCTTGATAAACGTCTCCACATCGCCAGAGGCAAGGTGAATCTGGTAGCCGAATTGGGGAAGAGGTCCTTTGACGAGATCTTCGAGAGAGAAGTAACTGTCCGAGGGCGGCATGTATGGTGTGCAGATTGCAAAGACATGGGATACGAGGTCGGGGTACCTGTGGATATTGGGTAAGTCCGTGTTCCGTATTCAACGAGGGTGCACCTGTTGACATTGCCTGAAGACGTAGAAAACCTTACCATGCAGTGGCTCGCCAGACAACCATACCTCCCCTAGATACATCTGGCGTCAGCAAGCCGTCACTCTTGGATCGATCGACACAGCACAAGAGCTTACCAATCATGACCACCTAGTATGATCTTCGGAGCGCCCACTTCCTTGGCCAAAGCAGCAATATCATCTGATGCTCGCTTCATACCGTACATGCTAATTGGGTTTGGCGGTACGGGAGGTGCATCCTATGTGGTGTCGATCAGTAAACTACCATTCCCTAGCAACATCGATGCTCTCGCCACGGCAAAGCAACAGGCATGATATCGACAAGGGAAAGGAGCAGGGTCAAACATGATTTGCTTACCGTGCCAGCATACCCCATCATATTCGGCGCCACGACCCTCATTCCCAGCTCCAACAGCATGGGAATCTGATAGCGCCATCCCATGGCCAAGTCAGGCCATCCATGGATCTACCTCATATATTAGTAACGTGATCTGTATACTCAGTCTGCCACACCATATCATATCACATATACATCCCAGCATGACCTCAACAGGGCCACGCCAACGCAGAGGATGTGATTTATTCTAAAGTATACATACAAGGAAAACAGTCTGGCTCCATTTTCCCGACCGCGGAACACCATAGAAGTATTCGTACTTGACGCCATTCAGCGTCGCGGTCTTGACCTGGATGCGAGGATCAGCCTCGGCATCGATGGCATCGACACGAGACATGATGTGCCGGTTCCGCGTCCGGTTGTTTATTTCCGCAGATTAAGCGGGGGAGAAAGCAGGCGAGCACGAGTTAGATTGTGGCTAATTGCGTTGAGAAGAAGATGATGTTGCGTATATGTGTGTATGTATATATGTATACATATATAGGAAAAGAAAAGAATTTGGTAGCTTTTTTGGGAGGGGGAAACCGAGTGCGCTAGCCACGACAGTAGGTACGTCACCAGCTTACTTGCCGAGGTGTCGGCATTTGAGCCAACCACATGAAAAACGCGTCTTACCATAGCCTATGCTTTTGTTATTAAATATTCAAAGTTAAGTATTTTCGGGACATATTTAATTAAAAAAGTATAGAGCTGAAGGGATCGTACTGATACCCCCTAGCCTCCTAGAGAGAAAGAGAGTCATGAGAATCCAGAACTCTTCGAGCTCTAGCCTGACACTTCTCACACGTTATCTTTTTCTGTAGAATTATAAGAAAACAAATGGTCTTCTTGCAAAGGGTCTTAAGATAAATAACTCTGTAGTAAGAATCCAATGCAATTAAGTTCAATTTCAGACATGCAAGTTCTTCTCTAATCCTAGCGCTAACCGTCTAGTTGTAATACACACCCTCTTCATGTTAGAATCCGCGTTTTTGTTATGTAACGTGTTTTACAAGCGAGCGCCGCGTACAAGCAAGCGCCGCACCCCACTAAACCTGCGCACCTCTATAAGCCTATATTATTATTATTATTATTATTCTAGTTTAACGTCCTTTTTCAGCCTAAAGGGCTATACAAGACGTGTAGGGTTTTTAGGCCTACAAGTATCTAAGTAGGTTGTTTCTAGCTACGATATTTAGGAGGGGTTTTAACTAGATGAAGATAAGGCTCGTAGCCTATTGGTTGGTAGGTAGGGGGGGGGGAGGATAGGGTGGGGGAGGTGTATGGCTACCTGTTACAGGTATTACTCCTCGTTTTCTGTGTTTCCCTTGTACTAGGCTTGTGTTCTAGCCTTTGTTTCTTGAATAAAGGTAATAGTTGCTTCTATACCCTCTTTTGTTTAAAGGAGGATAGGTAGTAATAGATCGCCTTCGCAGGCTTCTCTTAGTCCTTTCCTTTCCTCTCTATATAGATTACATCTAAATAGAATATAAGGTAGGTCTTGTATAGACCTATAGTTGCAGGGGCAACTATTAGAATCCACTTTCCCTCTCTT